CTTAGTTTGATCTCACTTTGGTATCAATTTATACTAATTGGGTAATAAATAGTGTAACTACTACCCCCCCCCGGAAGCGGTATATAATACCCGCGAGGAGCTAGTCGAAATAGTGTAAAAGTATACCCTTTCCTAGGGTTATTATACTACTATACTTCGTAGTAACCCCGGTAAAAATGTGACTATATAATATATTAGATTAGGGACCCTAAAATGGTCTACTAACCCCCTAATTAGGCAAAAACCTCGCAATACTAGCTTAAAACGGTAAGATTGCCCTTTTCGACTCTATATAACTACTAAAAGCGGTAGTTAGTATCTCTAGATTAGGAACCCTACCTATAACTATACCGCTAACGATATAATAGGCTACTACTAAGCTCGGAAGCTTACCCCGGATGAGATTAATAAGATTAAAGAGCTATCCTAAAAGGGTATACTATCTAAGAAGATTATCGAGATATTATAGGATTAAGCTACCTACCTAATCATATCGCGCGATATTTATAACGAGATCGCTATAATTCGCTAAAAAGAGAGGGGTAATCGATCTAAAATCGAATATTTGCTATTTAATATAGCTAAATATAAGTATAAGTATAAAATAGATCTCTTAGCTAATAATAAAATTACCTTTTTAGTACTAGCGTACCCCGATAGAATATCACTTACTAATTAATATAATAGGGTTTTTATATTAGACTATATATATAAAATAAATCGATATAAAATACCCTTTTTAGAAGTAGTTAGTATTATACCGACTAATTAAACCTTCCTATTTATAGTCTATTTTATACGTTATAAGTAGGAAAAGGGCTATAATTAGGCTTTATAAACCTTATTCTAAGAATAGCTAAGTTTACCCCTAAATATAGTACTTATTACTAATCGAGATAGTGGATTATTAGTAGTAATCGATAATATCCTTCCTAATATAGCCTATTTAATATATATTTAGTATATTAATAAAGCTATATTAGCTAGGGCTAAGAGTCTTATTACTATAGCGGCTAATCCGATATTAGATAATCCGAAAAATAATTATTTTAAAGCCTTTATATAATAATAGAGGGATCTTACCTAGTTAAATACCTTAGATAAGTATAATTTAAGGTTATTAAACCTTAAATCCTAGTTTAATTATCGTTTAATTATATATTTAATAGATATTTAGCTAATTTATAAATAGAAATTTATCCGATTTTAGATTATAAATATTACCTATTTCGGTAATTTAGTATCTTCACGCTCGGAAGGGACTTACGCGTAGCTAAAAAGGGAGCTTAATAGTATAAGTAGGAACCTTTCGTCCGTATTAGATACTATTACGATAGTTATTAATCGATAGTATACTAAGATATCCTATTAGATTAAATCTAATAAGATATTAACGCTAAAGATTATATCTAATTAGCTATATAAGGGTATTCGATCTAATATCTCGAAATATACTATCAGACTAATCTATTAGTAACGTGAATTAGCCCTACAAAATACCCTAATTAGGTATTATACGGGCTATTTTACTAGCTCGATAGGGCTCCCGTATAAGTATCGACTATCTACCCTAATTAGGTTAAATTAGCTAATTCTATTAGATAAAATTGACCTTTTTTGGTATATTAAACCCGTTTTGGGTGCACAATCAGCCCTAGTTCAATCTCCGATAGTGCCGAAAAAGACAAAAAGGGTCAGAAATAGTCCAATAGGGAAGGAGGAGGGTCCAAAGAAGCGGAAGGCTCTAAGCAGGTGCTCACAGTGCGGGGAGGGTGGTCATACGTTTAGGGGTTGCCCAATGCGGAAATTATAAGGTTATTTTTGTTATTTGGTATCATATATAATATCAGATTGATAGATGAGGTTAAAAATCATATGACCTTATCCGACATCCTCCGAAAATGCTGACGTAAAATGGTGCAAATGGGAAAATCGATGGTGCGCAGATCCGGACCCCTTTTTTATAATAGACGAATTGCCTTCCTTCTAAAGGAAGGCTAGTATACGATAAAACATAATATAGATTAGTAACTAACTCTCCCCTCCAGTAGATACCATTAATCGGGCTAATAAGCTTAGCACTAAGCTTATTAAGGAGCTTACTAAGTTAACGATCTACCCGCCTACTAAAGCCTAGAGAAACGCAGATTAAACGTCTCATTAACGGAAATACGCTTTTCTCGTAAAGGCTTGCTTGATATATAGATAGCATAGGGTTGTTGAGATAATTGAGATTTGAAGTACAAAAAGTTGGTTTTTTGAGAAGTGCTGACTGCTGAGAAAATAAGTGGTGGGGCGCACGATTGCCTTCAAATTTACGGTATCGCTCTGATCTCTTCTGAACAGGCAAAGGGACGATTTCATTAAACTTACGACTTTGAATTACAGTGGAGTAGCTCATCGACAGCAGGCAAACAGCCTGAGATTGGAGCCAATCACCCCCTCTCTGAGAGCGAATCCATCCCTAAGACATCTCTCTGATCACAGTATCCTTTATGACTATAATGAATTTCATTGTAGCCAGAACAAGTTCTATCGCGCCGGCAACAACATTATTCATCTTCATCAGAAGAGCCATTAGGGGCATCGCGGGTTCAAAGGCTATCAAGTATTATAAGCCTCAAGGGAGCGCTCGCTTCGTGTGGTTATCATACCAGAGGTTGGAGAGGATAGTAACGAAGAGGAGGGGTCAGAAGAGTGGCCAAGAATGTCCCAAATGGGAGGTCTTTGGATAAAACGGATAATAAAAACGCACGGAAATGGCAGTGCAGGAAAAGACAGGTCAGCACTATGGACACGTGCAGCATATGCATGCATGGAATCGTGGTGTTCGGGGCTGAATGAGCTGAAGAGTAGAGCGGCATGAGGGAATTTCCTCACGAATCAGAAAAAGGTCGGTGCGCACACACATACAACAGTGGGTATTCGCTGGTCATCTAACTACTAGTCAATATATGGCAGAGCGTACGGGATGCCCGGTTCCCTTGAGTCTATGGTCGTATGTGGGAAGACGTAATTGCATCTAATTCTATACTCTTGACGCCCACCCGCCAACCTTCCTGTTTCAATCACTACTTCTGCGCCGCCCAAAACAACACTCTATTTCTAACTTCTGCATCCTCACTGGATCTCCCATTATAGATTTAATAGTAGTAGACACCAGCTATGATCCATTACGAGTGCGGAAACCTTCAACCGAAAAAGGAGCCAATCCGGCCAAACATGGTAATTTGTTGATGCCGTTCCCGCGGCTCGACGACTAATGTAATAACTGACTGGACTAGCATTCCATGCTACCATATTTCCCCCAACGGCCTATCTACATTCAAATGACTTCTCAGAGTCCATCAGGAACTTCGAATGCTTGTTCCTCTTACCAGTTGTTGAAGGCATTGATATCAAAGCCCTCCCACAACAGCCTTCCATACTCAAGTTCGCGGGTCACTTTTCCCTCACTATCCCACCATATCGTAGATAGCATGATCATACCCGTGGAATCACCCTTCTTGATTCCAGGAGGAAGGTTGGGCTTGGCTGCCTCGGGAGGATCAACGTTCAATGTGAACCGTGACACGCTTTCCAAGACCGCAAACGAGCCGGGCTCGGAACTGCCGTGGAGCGAAATGGCCTCAACTGAGATATTTGTCATAAGACCGCCGAACCCCTTGTTCTGTTGGTACCAAGCCTCTTTGGGTGACCTGACAATACCGAGAGCTATATGGAAATAAAGTGTTAGAATGGTAATGGAGAAGGGAGATGGGAAATGGGCTCTTACGGATGTCGGACATGCGATAATCATCAGCCACCATGCTGTTCATTTTATCGGCATCGGCATTGGCGAAAGCTTCGAAGTACTCAGTAATGCGCGCCAGCAAGACCTTGTCCTCATGGTCTCGGATGCGGACATTGTTAAATGCGGGCGAGGTCGAAGCCATGTTGTATGGTATGTGATGGCGGTTTATCAGTCGCAGTAGGTGTTGCCAAATGACTATGGTTGCTGAAGGGTTGGGCCAGGAATCGAAGCCGTATTTATAGTTATATTCCTCAATTCGAGTAGATATTAAATCAAAAGGTCCTCAGGTTCTCCTTGCCTACACTGTGCTCCGACGCGCAGCTTGTCACACTTCAGCTGCAAGCTGGAACCGGTTACACATAGTTCAGAGCTACACCGTAGTGTCTGTAATGATCTACATGAGCGCCACCTGCAGGTTTTGTTCCACAGTGCATAACAGCCGGACGAGGTTGAGGGTGGAAAAGGAGTATAGAACATCTCAAGAAACTGAAGCTGATCACGGAGTACTCCGTAGGCGGAAAACAATTCACAAATAAACAGTATCGTGGGCCCGGGTGCCCTTTTGGTTATGGACGGAGCATCATGGATGGACTGAGTGCTCAATTTGGAATAGATGCCTCTGATGAATCCCGGAGTACTCCGTAATCGTGAGCCGCCAATCAAAGCCATTGAGTCTGAGTCCAGACTGAAATTTACTCAGTGAGCCTAACTGCCTAGGTCTGCCCTCGTAAAAGTGGCAGCCAAGATAGGAAAGCCCCGCAGAGGAAATATCCAGGGGGTACGTATACGGAGTACTCCGTAGCTACCTACATGTACCTACATGTAGTTACATACATGTACATTGTACATACATCGTGCATACATACCTACATCGTAACTAACCTATGTATGTAGGTACCTAGGTATCTCCATTGGCTTCCTTCTCCAGCAACCATCATGCTTGCCTCTCGATCTGATTTTTGTTTTTTGCTTTCTCCCCATTGGGATTTATAATGATGTCACCCTTTGATTCTTCACTTCATGGGAATCAATATCCATGATTTATACCTTGTATCATCATTTATGCTTTACAAATCGATCATATGCACTTGCCATCATAGAAACCAATAAACAACTTGCAATTTCATAGTCGTAGATTATGCGTGAGCCTTTCAACAATTGCAAGATGTCAATTATAGACCATATCCTCGCTGCACTCCCATAAATCCTATAGTTTATACACGACAAAAGGCACCATCAAAACCAATGCCATCCATGATTCCAAACTCACTGATAATGAACCGGCTATCCCGGGGAGGTCAGAAGAGCCCGTGGATGATGTTGCGTCCGATGGATTATCAGATGTGTCAGAGGAGTCAGACGTGTCAGACGAATCGTCTGATGTATCATCTCCAGAGCCCAACGAAGATGAGCCGCCGCTGCCGCTGCCACTGCCACTGCCGTTGCTATCAGTACCATCGCTACTGCGGTCACTGTTCGCGGTGGTTGTCGGGGTCGGGTCTGGTGTGCTGGGAGAGCGAGATGGGCCTGCAGACGTCGAAGTAATGATAGGTTCCGAGATGGTCTCTGTTGTATCAACATCTGGAGTCTCCGTCGGCTCCCAGTCCAGATATGAAGAACTCGTGATAACTGGAATCGTGATGTCACCGGTTCGTTGCTGGGACACAGAACTTGCCGCCAATGGTAGGACAGTTGTATCCCGTCTCACAGCAGCCGCCGGCGAGACAAGTATGACCGCCGACACAACCGCGTCCACATCTCGGCTCGCCTGAAATGAATGTACAGGGCGAGCCAATTGGGCAGCATCCGCCGGTTCCGTCTGAACAGGCGGTTTGTGTTGTTGCGGGGCACAACTACGCTTGGCGGGGTACGAGAGCTCGACCGGTGATGAGGGGAGCTACTGGCAGCATCCACTCCTCGCGCCAATAAGATGGCAGCGCAAGGCTAGGGTCAGGATGGATTGACAAGTGCGCATGATGAGAGATGTTTGAGGTGTCTCTTTTGGCCAAGAGAGTAGCAGACTGCAGGACCGATTGAGGATCTCAAAGAAAATGGGTAAGGGGTGTTTTCGAATTCCAGAGAACGAAAAATGACGCTTGTTCTTATACTTTGAGTCTACCAACCATCGTATTCAAAAGCTCAGGGGCAGTGTTGTCGTCGTTGTCTTCGATGAATCAAGCTCGTATCCAACCCCGCCTTTCGGCTGTTAATGATTCCAATGCACTGATATAGCCCATTAAGGGCAGAGACCTCTGCCACTTCGTATCGCCACATACATGGATGAGGCACAAGCGGTGGAATTGTTGGAATTACACCCAATCAGATGGTTGATCCGGGACCAGAGACCTTTATACGGGGTAGGCCGAAGATCACAACCTAATTTGATGCTGCGGATGTGCCTTTGAAAACAAACACACGGCTTTGGACTGGCAATTCTTGAGATTCCTTGGGAATCTGATACTCTGCGAGGTACATGCACACCGGTGTCTGTTGTACCTAGGTACGTGGCCCACTCTTCTTATACAACATAGTCTCAACTGCACCCTCAATTTCGGGGGTTCCAAATTAGAGAAAACATTGGCGAAGAGAATTTACGAATAAATTGCGAAGGACCAAACTCGGGAAGAAATCCTGGGTGTAGTCAGGATATGATATTGTGGGATGACATCCGTTAGGACCCCGGGTTGGACGGACATGATCGCGGGCCTGAGGCACTCTGTGGGTTAGAGGATATGCTTTCTGTATCGGCGACTCTCCAGCAAACGGGGTACCTTTTTCTTGCTTTTGAGGGTTGGGCGTGCCCCCAGGATAACCACAGCAATCGAGGGCAGTTTTGATGTCGACAATCCGACAACTTGATATCCCTTGTTGACCACGGGCGTGACTTAGACTGCAAGGCCCGATTGAGATTATATAGCGCACTCGAGCCCTCATACTACTGCAATAAAAGATATAGTTGAGGATTGACAGTCTCTCTTAATACCTATCATGCATCCCGGGCGTAGAAGAAATAGGACCCGAATCCGCAGCAACATCAACAGCAAAGCTGGCTTGGATAAAGTCCTCTAATTCCTCACTCACAGTCTTGAGCTTTTCCTTAACGCTCGCAACACCTTCTTGCCCAACGATATGGCGCGATGGAGGGTTTTCATGGCCGCCGATTGATGTGATGGCAAATACGGTCTCAGAGACCAGCACCTCAAGATGTGCGGAGCTTAGTGGTGGATGCATGGAGACAACTTCCGGACTAGAGAATGGTCCATTTTCAATGGAGCTAACCCGGGCATTTCCATCGTTTGCCCGACTGGGTGTGACAGGACTGTCAGAGAAGGTAGAAGCATCAGGTAATTGAGGTACTAGATGGTTGAGGATGCCGCGGAAAAGAGGCGCTTGATTGTTGGAAGGTGAATAGGCGGGGAAAATGGGAGGGACGCTAGTCACCAAGTTGGTGAGAATACCAATCTCAATGCTGCATTGGAAGATGGTGAGCTTAATGTTGAAAGGGGCGATTTCATAGGCCAAGCTCTGTGATATTGGTTAGTTCATGTAACGGGGTTCAGATGCCCAAGTATGCATAGAAAGACTGACATCGCAGAATCCTTCTAATGCCCAGCCTGCGGCGCAGTACATCCCCAATCCGGGTGTGCCAATATGCGCAGCTGTATATTGTCAGACAAATACCCAAGCACCCAGGAGATATGCTTCTTACTGATTCCCGAGATTATCATCACATGTCCCGATCGCTCTTTTCTCATATGAGGGAGCATGGCCTTGATGATATTGAGAGGTCCGAAATAATTGACCTCGAATTGATCGCGCACGAGATTCAATGTCTGAGTGGAGGCGGAAAGCTCTTCGACTGTACCGATGAGGGCTTTAAAGCAGGTCAGTACATCCCTGGTATAGTAGAGCACCATGAAGACCCAAAGTCCCACCTTGGCTTGTACAGCACAAAAGTATGTCGACCTTTCCGAACGTTGCGACTGCATCTGCGACAATCGCCTGGCATTCTCCCATCATTCTGTATCTCGAAATCTCATCAGTCAATCAGATCATTGAAAAAAAGCTTCTGGATTCCTGGATAGGACAGCGCACCGGATATCTAGCGGCACCGTCTTCATGCGCTGCTTCCAACCATCGCCGTGCTGCTCCACCTCCGAGAGGAAAGCATCGAATTCATCGCGACGACGCTCATCGCGTTCCAAAGCTGAATGTGCTAATCCGAGATACGCATAGTCTCCATGCGCAAGGACCTGCCGCGCAACTGAAAGGCCAATGGGTGAATCCCCCGCGGTGATCAACCATACTCGGGGCTCATTATGCGACGGGAATTGCGCGCCGGCATCAAAGGAGGGGTTATTGTCCATCAGGTTCAATGCCAATGGACAGGCACGCTACCCATCACGTTACAATTCAGATCTCAGAAAAAAACAGTATCTAGATATATAAATGAGTGAGGAAGATGGCCGGAGGGTCGGAAGCGCAACGAAATGCCAAGGCGGCGTTCCAAAGTTCCGGGGGCTCGAACTAATCGCGTGTTAATCAAACGGGTGCTAGCTGGCTCGCTGGCCTCTTCTCTTCTCTTCTCCATCCCACATCATGCCTGAACAGCCGCCACGCAGAGCGGAGCCCGGTGTATGTATTGTCCATTGAGTATACGTTGAATTTACTGACCAGTTTCCAGACGGGCCTCAAGGGTGCCCTCCAGGGGCTGGCAATTTTCATGATCGTCCAATTTGGTATCAACCAGTTCATGTCAAGCAAGAACAAAGATACCAGCACGAAGTCCAGTGCTATCCCCGCTTTCGCCGATCGCCCCGATCCGAGCGAAGTCGTCGAACACAGTGCCCTCCCCCAACTCGTTGCTCCCATCTGGCCCTCCGACAGCGCTGTCGATCTCACCATCTATGTGACTCCCTCTATCGTCGCGCCCAGCTTCAAGTCATCGGACGGTATTCTTGTGGCCCAGGAAAAGAACTTCACTATTGGAAACTACAGCGACGTTCGCGAGATCGACACCACTATCAAGCTCCCGAAGCAGGTCCAACAGAATGCAACCCTCTGGGCTCACTTCTTTTTGGCTCGCACCGGATACCAACTGGATCCCGCTGCCAAGGACTATAACACGGCCGATGCAGTTCATTTCCTTCGACCCCTGAACCAGTATCTTCCCAAGAAGAAGGTCAAGAAGCTGAAGAACCTCCTGTCTGGCCCCGAAGATGAAACTGAGGAGGAGGATAATACCCCGAGTATTTCCACCATGTCATACTACCACCCTAACTTCACTCTGTCCCTGATCCCAGACTCTGGAGATTTGAGACTGGCCCAGATGAACCCTGCCGCTCGCCAGTATTTACAGCTGGAGCGGACCGGCGCCCGCGATGTCAGCGGAAAGAACGGATGGTACTACCCGATCGCTTTCTTCAACACTTTCTGGCAGCTGAAGACCCATATGACTGAGTTGAACTCCACCGTTGAGACAGTGCCCCTGCGTATCACTGTCAACAACATGGCGAACTGGAAGTTCAATATCCTCAGCAGTGTTGACGAGGGCTCGAAGCAAAGCTCTCGCCAGGCTGCCTATGGCAACCCCGTTCCCGGCGGTGGAGATGGAACCGAATGGGAGATGGTGAAGGAGATCCTTTTGGATACTAATATTTGGCTTCTTGGCACCACGGGTGTGGTCACTATCTTGCACATGTTGTTCGAGACTTTGGCCTTCAAGAACGATATTGTAAGTAATATCCCACTACCCAAAGTGACTGTCAGTACATTACTAACGCTGTCATTTTCTAGGCCCATTGGCGTAAGAAGAAGGATGTTGTCGGTACTTCAGTTCGGACAATCCTGGCCAATGTCTTTATGCAGGCTGTCATCTTCCTCTACCTCATGGACAACAGCGAGAACACCTCTTGGATGATTCTGGGAAGTCAAGGATTTGGTATCCTTCTGGAATTCTGGAAGGTCACTAAGACAGTCGACGTTCGCTTGCGCCGACCCTCGGCCAACTCGCGCTTCTCGTTCCTGCCTTACGTGATTGTCTTCGAGGACAAGCACAAGCTAAGCGAGACCGAGCAGAAGACCAAGGAGTATGATGAAATCGCCTTCCGCTACCTGTACATCGTGGCTGTGCCTCTCCTGCTCGCATACGCCGCCTACAGCCTCGTCTATAACACCCACAAGTCATGGTACTCTTATGTCATTGAGACTTTGGTGGGTAGTGTCTACGCCTACGGCTTCCTCATGATGGTCCCCAGTCTTTACATCAACTACCGGTTGAAGTCTGTTGCCCACATGCCAGGTAAGGCGTTGACCTACAAGTTCCTGAATACTTTCATCGACGATCTCTTCGCCTTCACTGTCAAGATGCCCTGGCTTCACCGCCTGGCCACTCTCCGTGATGATGTCATCTTCTTCATCTGGCTGTACCAGGGCTGGAAGTACAAGGTTGACTACAAGCGCGTCAACGAGTTCGGCCAGGGAGGTGACAGCGATGAGGAAGAGGAGCCTACCCCTGCTGTCCAGAGCGACAAGAAGGAAGAAGTGGCTACCCAATCCTCTTCCAAGGCCGCTCCCAAGTCGTCCACCCGCAAGAGGAAGTGAACAACGCTTCATGTGCAGGTCTCGATGGCTGATAGCCAGAATCAGATCCAACCAACGCATTCGCATACGTAGTCACTTGCTCGGTCTCACCGTCGTAGTGAGCATCGGATCATAATTTTTACGATGTTGTAGCAAGAAATGTTTAATCAGAATTTCCTCTTCAATTAGGATATTTGGCAATATGAATATAGAGTTATGAGCTTCACTTCTTTATACGTAGATGAGACATGAGGCCAATCGACGAAGTAGAAGTACGGAGTAGAATCTCCATTGTTGATGGTTACCCGATCGGGTTTAAGGCGATTTCCGCACCTCCGCGCTCACTCGTTCTTCTATGCAACTGTCATTAGATCTGTGCCCACAAGCATGGCCTTCTTTTGTAATTACTCTTGAGTCCATCACAAATAATCACAATTGACACAGATTGGTCGTTGGGTTTTCGACGCGCGCAATTCTTGACGAAGCGCGACATTTTGCAATTACGCGCCAATGGCACTGTGTTGACACAAAGTGCATACCAGAGATTCTCGACGACATACCAATTGTGGAAGAAAATTGCAACAAAATTGTTTGGATATGGATAGCGAAGCAGGTAAGTCATGTAGGTGTCCCTTCACTTGAGTAATGTTAACCATCCTGCAGGTAGTAGCAACAAGCCAAGCGGCCTGCTTGATGCCGTTGAGCATTTGGAAGCCGGTATGGCCGAATAGCTCTCTTGAGCTGGCAAGAAATGATACTAACAATTTCTGACAGTCGCTTTTATCCCGCCCAAGCAGAGATATACAGATGCCAGTTTGTTAGCCAAAACAATCGCTTCAGACGCGTACGAGAGCGGCCTACCGCAATCCGTGCTGGCCCGTCTCCTGAAGATTCTGACTGCGAAAAATAACTTGGATCAAGGCACAGTCACAACTCTGATCAAGAATCTATATCCTCAAGAGAGAATTTCGTCCAGAAATGTCACTCAAGTGGTATGCTGTCTTGGGCCAAGCAAGAACAAACCAAGTCCCGCCACACAGGCCCTGCTATTGCGCTGGTTGATTCTTGCATATGATCTTTTCGAAGAGAGAACGCATCTTGCCAAGCTTTACGCGGTTCTCTTCAATCATTTGGATATGATCAGTCTGCGAAAACCCCTGTGCCACCTACTTTCGCTTATCACGAGACGAAAACATGTCAAGCCGTTCCGGATCCAAGCCTTGATGGAGCTGCTTCAGACTGCTGGTGGCGAAGAGAAGGAACTTATCAGCCTTCTCAGAACATTCAAAAATTTTTACCCGGAGATCATTCTGGGTGATTTCGGCGGTTCGAGGAGGAATGCTTTGTTCTTTAAACATCCAGACCCTGAGTGGTCAAGCCATGTCAAAGTGCTTCAAGATCGCAATCTGGAAAGGGTACAGGCGAACCAGGGATCGAGCTTCCAAGTGGTGCACCGGGGTACTGTGAAGAGAAGCAGGATCGAGGTGGTTATTCCTGTGCTACAAACCTCACGGGTATCCCACAAGCACACGTCCTTAGAGGAACTTCGTAATATTGGTCATTTTGTCGACAAACTTGACAAGATCGAGCTACCAAATCAAATTATCTCGACTTTGGGCGATGCAATGGCTCAGAAGTATCTGCATCTGGTCCAATCCGAACTTGCAAATCACCGTCTGGATGAATGGTTGAGAAGCTTCCTCGAAGACAAGTTGGAGGTGTTACGGGAGGATGAGGATGATGAGCCCGAGACATTATCATATGTGTTGGATTCTGTTGTAGGATATGCTTCATATACCAAGGTAAGTTATTTAGGAGATTGTTGTAAGACCTGTCACTAACAAGATAATAGGATCTCCCATCATCAGTTCGTCATTTTTTGAGGTCCTATCTACAGATCTGGAATGGCAAAGATAATCGTGATCACGTCTTCCGGCTTCTTCAGTACATTCCCCTCGAATCATTTGAGTCTCTTCGGGGTGAATTATTGTCACCTCTAGAGTCAGCTGTGTTAGATCAGAGTCTTTCCTCCAGAACGGCGTTGCTGAGTTTCTACTCAGCGTTAATCAGCCAATGGAGCGTGAAACTTCGATCGGAACCGGATGCGACGATTCAATCAGTTAATTTGAGCCACACTATCGTGCACGCCGAACTTCTAGCATCCTCAATACTGGAGTTGTCAGCGGAGGACGAGGAAAAGACGTCCAAGCCAGCTACAGTCTCTGTGCTCGACTTCTACAGGGGCCTTTCCGAACTTTTCTCTCACGCGCCCCAAGACCCTCGATTCCGACTTACTCTTCCACATGCACAAACCGTGTACACACTCGCCTTCACACCCAGCGTTGCTGTGATCTCAAGTCTCAACTACATATTGGCAGTGTACAAGACTGCGTTTGAGGCCTCTCTCAGTTCCCAGATTCTTCAAGCCAAAAACACACTGCCTTATGAGACGGATCTCGTTGGTCGGTTCAACGGCTATGTCATGGATATGTGTAATGTGCTGTGGCGCAACCGTGCACTGAATACCGAAGACCCGAATGCACTGGGTTGCCTCATTCCGGCATCGACTACAACTGCCCTGACAAATTATATCAAAGAAGTGTCCGAGACAGCCAAGCACTATGATCGTGAGAGTGCATTCCATGTTAGTCTTGCTTCGATATTCTCTCTCAGCCATCACGCTGCGTTCTGCAATCTATCTGCGGCCTGTTTTTCGGATCTGGAAGAAGACCAGAAGGTTGCGGATGACCGCCCGAAACTGAGGAAGCCGGCTACTCAGAAAGTGCTGCTGGCGCTGGAGAAAGATGGTGGTGCCAAGATTACATGGCAGGAATACCGGGTGCATATGCTGGATTGGTTGGATTCGATAGGATGTCGGGGTACTGGCATTCTGATGAGAAGCACAATGAAGGCTTTACGCAAAGAGTAATAATGATAATAGTTCAGCGCAGTTGGATACCGGTGAACTAGAAATGAATATTTCCATAACGCCATTTGAATGCTTGGTATCGATATCTACATACATAATTGTACAATGTTCGGCCTAAGACAGAATCCATCTCAGACTGACAACACAACAGTGCCGAGGGGACTAGAACTTCTCCGTCGAGTTTAGATAGATATCCTGAACGCTGGGATCTTCTCGCAACGCGCTCAAGAGATCTTCAAGGTCTTTCACCTGTTCTTCATCTTTGACCTCGACCATACTATCTCTATTGGGATCCCAGAAGATCTCCAGTTCCTCAATGTTGAGACCTGACAGTTTTGCAAAACTCTCGCCAACGGTTTTCGTCTCCGACGGATCAGTCAAGATCACAAGACGACCCTTATCATCGGTCGTGATGTCCGCTGCTCCCGCTTCGATTGCCTGGTCCAAGAAGTCGTCTGCATTCGCATCATCTTTCTTCTCCATAACGACTCTTCCTTTTCTCTCAAAGAGGAATGTAGTCGGAGTGACAGTCCCACCGTTGTCCTTGATCATGTAGCGAATGTCCTGTAGCACGCGCGCCTTCTGATCTGTTTGGCACTCCACCACCGCAGCTACCGAACCAGGGAACATAGCCTCAATCGTCACGGATTCCAATGCTTGGCCAGAAACACTCAGTCCTTGACCGCGTGCAATTGCTGCCTCAATAATGATTTTCGGGATGGAGGCTCGTTTGGCATTCGATAGCGCAAGAGCTAGACGAGGGTTATACTTCGTGTCGGGTCCCCACACTAAAATAAGGCATTAGAACCTGAGATATATGCGCATACCTAGACAAGATACATACTCTGTGTAGCACTGGCAATCTCCTTGCCCACTATTTGGCGTTCTCTACTCTTTGCTTTGTCGTTTCTGGCCTTGTCATGCTTGATTGTGGACCATTTGTTGTGACCGGAGAAGATGGCTGAGGATGTACTGAAGGAATGAGCTTCATGGTAGGCAGAATCGGTCCACCGGGGCTGCCGTAGCAGCTTACTGAGCCTGAGAGCCATAGTGCTTTTAGCTGTACTCTGTAGACGAAGATCCGATCTGCATTGAGATTCGCGGGCTCGGGCTGCTGTTTATCCGATCTCCGCGGGCATTGAGGCCACACGATAAGGAGAACATGGGGCTGACGTATTCCCTGTGAACTTAACATCTTAACCCTTTGCGCCATTCTTCCTAATGGGGCGAGGCTTGCCCTGAATTCATTCTATGTCTTCCTCTGATGCGGTCCCGGCACCTGGCCCTGCACACAATGGGGTTCCTGATCTTGACATCCCCAAACTACATGCCCTCCCCTCCGAACAACAGGAGCTGTACATACTTACCTTCACCTCCGACCTAGTCCAGTACATATCGAGATTGGAAGCCGCAGAAGTTACAGCAAAGCAGAAAGATCTCAAAAGGGAATTGTTCAAGATCTTGAACATCTCATCACCGACCATCACTCGAGTCCTCCGCAACAATCTAGGGCGATGTTTTGGCGCAATACTCAGCAAAGGGGATCGCGGGATCCTCTTCGAAACCATCACCGACCTCTTGGCCATTTTGAACGCTGGCAAGAGTGAAGCAGAATTGAAGACAAAGTTCGCTGCAGCGCATTGTCTGGGAGAGGTCTTTGCGACAGCCGGTGACAGCGCATTCATGCAGTCCAATGTCGCAACAACGGGTGCCCTCAAATTATTAAAATCAGCAAGCAACCATACTGGTCTCAGGGGAGTGATCTTTTCAGTGCTGCGAAAGATCGTTGTTGGACTCGGGGTTCCGATCGACGAAGGAACCGCTCGCGACATCTGGAAACAGGCCCGAAATGCTGCCACCAGCGACAAATCTACTTTTGTCCAAGTCCATGCTTGTCGCTGCCTGGAGCAGTTGATTGCTACGACTCCATTTTTCGATAACACCAATGACTTCGACCACCTCAAAACACTTGTGTGGAAGGTCATCGACAGCCCCGCTGCGCCGGTGCGGCACGCCATAGCTGCGGTTCTCGGTCGGGCTCTGATTAATCTACATGCTACGGATGCGCACATTACGACTGTCCCCAAACCGAAATCGAAGAAGGCGAAGCGGATGTCCAAGAAACCTGGCGTGGGGCTTGGAGAGGAGGACGAGGCGGAGATGTCAGAGTCCTCTGCGCCAAAGAAGCCAGACTCCCGTCTGTATTTCCTTCTTCCAGATTTGTTGAAACAGCTTTCGTCCCAATATTTGAAGAGCACCACCTCTAACCGCTCACGTGCCGGGATCTGTATATGCTATAAATACGTTCTGCGCAATTTGGGGGACAAGATTGTTGAGGATCGCTATGGAGAAATAGCGACCAACTTGCTTGTGGATCTATTGAACCACCCAACCGTTACATATAACCGGTTCCGCCTACTCATGACCAGGAAGTTTGTTAAGAGCATCCTTGAAGATACCATTGGTCAGGAACTCTTGCGCGAGAACAGTCAGCTCAACGCTGCCAGATGGCTGATCAATGATATCCTCAAGGACTATCCTCAAGTTATCCAGGAACGTCGTGAACCAAGCAAGTACACCTTGGCAAGCGCTGTCAGCGCTCTGTCAGCGTTGATTTTATCCCTTGGCTCTGCATTTAGCGTCCACGCTGATAGCTGCCGGGATGCCCTGCTTCAAGTGCTCCCTCATCCTAATTACACTGTTCAAGTTCACGCAGCGCATTGTATGCGTAACTTTGTTCTCGCTGCGCCCTACCAACTGCTGTCATGTGTGACGATCTGCATGAACAGTCTGAACAGAGAAATTGGACAGCTAGGTGCACAGCGGCACTCACCTCGCCGGTGTGTTGGTTATGCGAACGGATTATCCGCAATGCTCAGCACTTCTCGTCTACAGCCACTGTATGGAGCAGTGGATGTGTTTGCGCGCGTTTTCACCCAGGCAACTGATCTTCTCAAAACGAGCAGCACTTCCGAGCTCCGGGTTGCGAGCGTTCAGATCCAGGTGGCATGGATTCTGATTGGAGGTTTGATGCCGCTTGGGCCCAGCTTTGTTAAGACCCATTTGTCCCAACTCATGCTTCTCTGGAAGAACGCACTCCCTAAACACCTTGGCAGGGAGAATGCTGCCCAGCCTGGCACCCTTGAGATCAGTTTCCTCACTCATGTGCGGGAGTGTGCCCTGAGCTCGTTGCTTGTCTTCATGGAATTCAACAACAAGCTGATCACATCAGATGGCGCAAAGAGAATCAGTGCGATGTTGCAAAATACCGTTGAATTCTTGGATGACTTGCCTAAACCCAAGGCCATGGAAGATATCTCACAAAGACTGCATCCCTCTCTGCAATTACAGGATTACACGACCTTGGTGCGCCGGCGTGTGTTGCAATGTTTCTCAAAGCTTGTGCATGCTCATCCTCCCAGTCATGGAGATATCATCTCCCAGTCCAGTCTTCTCAGTCTAGCCATCTCGTCGTTTGCAGACCCAGATGCCCAGTACAAGCAACTGGAAAGCTCTATATCTGGTTCTGCCGGGCAATTTGATGGTCTTTGGGATCTATGCGATAATTACGGGTTTGGTGTCACTGGACTTTCTCGAGAATATCTGCGTGCTACATTTTCCGGCACGCAGGAGAATGACAAGCGGCCTGCCTGGTCTGCACTTGATTCCGTGGATCAAGTCGTGGATGACACCCTGGCTTTCCCTATATGCCAAGCCAGTGAGCATGATGCAGTTCTTCTTTACAGTCTGCGAGACGGTGATAAGCTTGCTGTTGACCCCCCGACAACTGGAGTTGTAAACTCAGCAATTGAATTGTTCTCTGTTGCCCTTGCTCTTCATTCACCCAAAATCCAAGAAAGCAGTGTGGAACAGATCGCTACGTTCCTCAGCTCTCCTGGCCTGCAACGAAACCCTGGCAGGAAAGCGGCGCTAGTCATCAACATCTCGGTTGCTCTCCTACAAGCCCTCAAAGTCGCTGTCAAGGAGACAGGATTCGTGGCTGGCAAGCTCAACCCCTCCACCGATAAGATTATGCAAGAGCTTCTTCAGAAATTCGTCATCGATGCCGATCCTATTGTCCGCACGATCGGCGCTGAAGGATTAGGCCGGCTTTGCGATAGCGCTGGCAATGCATGCACTAATACACAAGTCAACTGGCTTGTTGACACCATTGTCGAGAACAGAGAGCCCAATGCCAGAGCTGGCTGTGCCGCCGCTTTAGGATGCATCCATGCTCAAATTGGCGGAATGGCAGCTGGTCTGCACCTCAAAACCATTGTTGGCGTGTTAATGTCTCTATGCAATGATCCCCACCCAGTTGTACATTTCTGGGCACTTGGGGGCTTGGAAAGAGTCGCTAACTCTGCTGGTTTGACATTCTCGCCTTTTGTCTCTGGCTCTTTGGGGATGCTGGCCCAGCTCTACAGCGCCGACACACACAACGAGGAGGCAGCCGCATTGGCGACCTCCAACATTGAAATGTCATTCTTGACACCAGTTGTAATCAGTCGATGTGTAGACGCTCTCATCAATGTTCTTGGGCCGGACTTGCAAGACATTGCCAAGACTCGCAATCTTATTTTGACACTGCTTCGCCAGTTTCAGTTGGAAGAAAACCCAGCACTGGTCACAGAAAGCTCCAGATGTCTGGACCATCTATCAATGTATGCCTCGAGTTATGTGGACCTTGCAGGATATATGAAACGATTGCAAACCGAGCTTCGGGCAAACAACATGATGATGCGAGATGTAGCTGTCCGTGGACTTAACAACCTGATGAAGCGAGATGCATCCTCTGTCATGCAGACTGTAGGTCAGTCCTTGGAAGATGACATCTGGCTCGCATTCGATGAAACCCCGAACAATAAATCGATCAAATCAATGATCCAAGATTGGCTACAGCAGACTGCTTTGACAGAAACCGAGTCGTGGATTCAACGGTGTCAAAATATCATGACCAAAACGCGCCATAAGGCAGAGCCATTGCCTACCACGGCCATTCAAACCGCCGCTGCAGACATTCCCGATGACGAGGTTGCTGGCTTTGCTTCAGCTGCCGCAGAAGGACAGGGCGACGTTGCGAATGAAAGCATATCTGGCCAAGAATTGTTGAAATGGCAGACTCGCAACTTTGCCATGAGCTGTCTTTCTGAACTTCTTGCTACTGTTCAAGAGGCAATCTTGCCGGACTCTGCCATTCCAGCGGAGCTGGCTCTCCAGAAAAACGTGGGAGATATTGTGAGAATGGCCTTTTCAGCATCCACCGCGAACGTTATTGAGTTGCGCGTATGGGGATTGAAGATCATCGACCAGGTTCTTACCATGTTTGGCAAGACACCTGACCCAGACTTCGCTGAGGCCTCGCTACTTGAGCAATACCAGGCCCAGATTGGATCTGCCCTTACCCCTGCCTTTGCTGCTGACTCGTCCGCGGAGCTGGCCTCTGAAGCCATTAATGTTTCTGCTACTTTCATTGCAACAGGAATCGTCACCAATGTCGACCGCATGGGGAGAATTTTGAAACTCTTGGTGTTGGGTCTTGAGAACTTCGCGAAGAACCCGCAGACTACTGAAATCGGTGACCTTAAAGGCCTAAACTCCAATGCGCGAGTGATGGTAAAACTCGCTTTGTTCTCGGCTTGGGCCCGTCTTCAAGTCGCTAGCATCGATCATGAGTACCTGACTGAGGTTGTCCAGCCTTATATTGCAAAACTCACACCTCTCTGGCTGTCTTCTCTTCAAGAGTTTGCTCGCCTGCGCTTTGAACCAGATATCTCCGGTAGCTTAGGGACAATCTCAAGCAGTGATCTGGATGAGGTGTATGCTGCATTGAACCGTGAGACCCTATTGAAGGTAAGCCCGGGTATCTGCCTTTTATATCAAACATACGCTAATAATACCTCTAGTTCTACCAAGACACGTGGTTGTATTTGGTTAATGCAATTGCTGGGCTCGTTGAAAAGGATATCGATTTCGTGTTTGATGCCTTGGATGGCAAGTTGCAGCTACCCGAGCCCAGTGGCGCGGAGGATGAGAAGAAAGAAGAGAAAGCCCTCAAGAAGGAAGGGAAAGGACATGACATTAATTACCGCGAAGAGCCCGTTGCCTTCTTCTTTGTCTTATTCGGTTTGGCTTTCGAATCTTTGGTTGACCAAGGAACCTCGGCGTCACAACGATTAGAAATTCTTCAGGCTCTGAAGAGGATCCTGAGGCCAGTCATTTCTGGAAATGCCATCTACCAGGATGCAATCTTCACGGAGACTATGGACAGCTTCGCTCGTCTTGTATTGACCGAAACTACTCCAATCCAAACGGTCATTGTTGAAATTGCCCAGAATTTATCACTGGACCACCCGGCAGCAAAGGGTGACCAGGAGCGCAGTGATCATCTTTCCGATGACATTGAACAACTTTTCGAGCTCACGCGAAGTATCATTCTCGTACTTGCCGGCATGCTTCCCAACCTTCGGGAATCAACACCACTTGCACGATTCAACGTCACTTCGGATGAGTCTTTGTCTCTGATTCGTTTGGCACTTCGCTCCCTCGTCGATGTTGCATCCGTCTTCCCATCCATTATCCGCAATGATCTCCACGCTTGCATTCTTCACATTTTCACTACCATTCTCGCCACTGGCATATGTCAAGCAGGGGTTGTGCCCCAAGCCCTTCCCATTTTCAGGCAGTTTGTTCACGGGATCACCCACGCCACGGAATCGTCCGAAGACCTTGATGTCGTGTCATTCCAGCTTCGGGGATGTCTCACGCGTTTCCTGACCATTCTCACCATCGCCCAGCGACGTGAATCGGATATTTCCATCCCCTGCGCCAAGAACACACTACTCGCCATCACCTTCCTCCTCACTGCCGGCGCACACGTCATCCCACCACAGGAGCCAGTCCTGATTCGAGTACTGGATGAGCTGCTTGACTGTCTTCAGGATGTCGGCCTTGCCACTGTGGCAGCCAGCTGCATTCGTTCGATCCTCGTCAAGCCAGGTTCTCGTTCCATCACTGATGAAGTGATCAGCCGATACCTTGTCCCACGACTGATCGCCTTCATGATTGGCTGTCCCTTAGACAACGGCGATATCCCCAGCGACCCCGAAAACTCACGCACAGTGGTAGCTCGCACTCTCGTCTCTTGCATTTCCAACGCCACCTTCTCCCCATCTGAACTTCCAGCTGCTCTTTCCCTCATCATGTCAGCCTTACTGGCACGCGCCAAGCGTGAAGGCGAGTCGGTGCACAAGGAATCCGCCGGCCATCTCCTCGAGCTTGCCAAGGCCGACCAGCTTACTTTCCGTTCGCTTGTTGCAACTATGAAGCCAGAACAGAAATCTCTTCTCGAGGAGGTTCTCCGTAGTGCGGGTATTGGAGCTGGTGCCTCCAAGACTGGCGCTGAAGCGGCAGATAATGCCCCCCAGGCTGCGCCGAGTATAGCATTGCGTATGGATTTCTAGTAACTTGATACTGATGGGGATTAAATGAAACTTTATGAGTCAATTAAATGAATACAATTGTTCTTCGCGGTAATGCAGGGGGATTAGAAATAGCAAGAGATGATTATCCCAAAAAACATGTCTACGTAATATAGAGAGGTATTTCTTTATGGCAAATAGCTTTGTGTTTCATCACCTGCTCAATAAATCCTCATTTGGTCCCGTTATGTCTCTTCCATGTACGCTTATCTTCGACCTATTAGCTGGGAGTCTGAGGCTCTGAGCCAAAGCTACCTAATCTACATGTATTCATACAGATTAGTCCGAATGCACATTTAATGCTGCATACTCCAGACAGAGGGCTGCAGGGGGCAAAAGCGGTAAGCCGGATGAACCAATGGGGTTTAGCCCCAGGGCGGTGGCAGTAAATAGATAAGGTACACCTGGAGCTTTATCCGGACAGGACAACAATCAACTGAGGCTACAGTATGCGTCACCTCAGACTTTCGGTGTTATTAACGTCGATTCTCTATGCAATTGGAATTATTGCAAGTGAAGATTCCAACGATGTTTCCGTTTTGATCAGGGAATCTGGACGTGCCAGTAACCAGTCCCTGTTATGGGGCCCCTATAAGTCGAATCTCTACTTCGGGGTGCGTCCTCGCATTCCAAAGAGTCTGTCGGCGGGATTGATCTGGGCAAAGGTTGATGATTATACCAATGCTCAAACAAGTATGAATTTTCTGTTGGTTTGGTTGTGCTGATGTATTGTGAGGCTAACCTCTATTGAAGACTTTAGACACACCTGTGAACAAAATGAAGGAATGGCTGGGTATGGTTGGGATGAGTACGACATCCGGAAGGGTGGCCGGGAGACCATCCATGATGCTGGAAACGACCTGGACTTGACCATCGATTTCATCAAGGTTCCCGGTGGTCAGCATGGTGGAAGCTGGGGTTTCCGAGTTAAAGGTACACCTAGAGAAGGTGCAAACCCTGACCAGCCTATCTCGATGATCTTCTATTCTACTCTCGAGGGCTTTGGACATTTGAGTGTTGATTCTGAGTCCTCGGAATCCACCGGTGTTGAAGGCGATGTCAAGCTTGAAGGATACACGACAGAACTGGGTGATTTCTCCATCGATGTCACCACTGGACCAGAGACCAACACGTATCCCCGCTATAACCACCCAAGCTCTACAGATAAGCCATTGGATCGCAGCTTCGTTGCTAGTGTGGCCTTCCCAGAGGAGCAGCTTTGGCAAGCAAAGGGAATTTTCTTCACTCAGTTGAAGGCTGAGGTTGATGCTGCCCTCGAAAAATATGGAAAGGAGAACATTCCCCCGCCGGCCCAGCTGTTTACGATCAAACACAAGCCTGGCCAGGGTAATGGCCATCTTGTTCAGAAAGTTTTCACCGGTGCATTCGAGTTTGATGTCTTATACTCTTCTGGCTCTGCCCCCGAACCCTTGACCTCGGACATCCTCACTAAGGAGATCGATGATGCCTCGGCCTCATTTACCGAAACCTTCGATCAGCTTCTCTCGCCCCAGGCGCCATTTGACTCGCCTAAGTACTCGAAATTTTCTAAGGCAATGCTGTCTAACCTCATTGGTGGTATTGGATACTTCCACGGTGATGATGTCGTGGATCGGTCCGCAAATCCTGCTTATGAAGAAGAGAATGAAGGCTTCTGGGAAGAGACCGCTGAGGCTAGGGCTGCTGTCCAGCCTGTTCTCGAAGGCCCCAAGGAACTCTTCACTTGTGTTCCTTCTAGGCCGTTCTTCCCCAGAGGTTTCCTTTGGGACGAAGGATTCCATTTGATGCCTGTAATCGAATATGATACCGACCTTGCGTACGTTTGCACCTCATCTAGTTGACTCATTTCTTCTGGCTTATATACTGACTTTTACAGGCTCGAGATCATCAAGAGCTGGTTCCATCTGATGGACGAGGATGGATGGATTGCCCGCGAACAGATTCTGGGCCAGGAGGCACGCAGCAAGGTCCCCAATGAGTTTACCATCCAGTATCCCCATTATGCAAATCCACCTACTCTGTTCATGGCCCTGGAAGCATTCATGGATAAGGTCAACTCCAACATCAACAAGAGCGAGGAGTCCGCGTCGCTGGACAACCAAGATGTCACTGCTACACTGCGCTCTGCCACAGTCCGATACCCGGAACTTTCTGAAGCATACCTTCGTTCATTCTACCCGCTCCTGAAGAAGCACTACAACTGGTACAGGAACACTCAGCGCGGCGATATTAAGTCCTACGACCGTGAAGCATTCTCGACCAAGGAAGGTTACCGCTGGCGCGGACGTTCGGTGCAGCACATTCTCACATCCGGCATCGATGACTACCCTCGAGCTCAGCCCCCGCATCCCGGTGAGCTGCATGTCGACCTGATCAGTTGGATGGGAATGATGACCCGCGTTATGCGCCGTATTGCGGAGAATCTCGGCGAAGAAGAAGATGTTGAGAAGTTCGCTTCTTATGAGACAGCTATTACTCGTAACATTGATGACTTGCATTGGGATGAGAAGGAGCAAACCTTCTGTGATGCGACTATCGATGAGTACGAAGATAGTGTTCACGTCTGCCACAAGGGCTACATCTCGATCTTCCCCTTCCTGACTGGTATTCTGGGCCCTGATAGCCCGCGTCTTAAGGCTGTGCTGGACTTGATCAGTGACCCCGAGGAATTGTGGAGCGACTATGGTATTCGCAGTTTGAGCACGAAGGACAAGTTCTACAAGACTGATGAGAACTATTGGAGAAGCCCTATCTGGATTAACATCAACTACTTGGTGTTGAAAAACCTCTATGTAAGTGTTGCTATGTGTTATATTGGGTGCCCGCAAAATCTAACTGAACATTCCTAGGACACTGCCTTGGTCTCTGGTCCTCACCAGGAACAGGCACGGGAGATGTACTCCAGCTTGCGCAAGAATCTGGTCGAGAATGTGTTCCGAGAGTGGAAGAAGACTGGGTTTGCCTGGGAACAATTCAACCCTGACTCGGGCGCTGGGCAGCGGACACAGCACTTTACCGGCTGGACCAGTATGGTGGTGAACATGATGTCTATGCCGGATTTGGCTGCCCCCGAAAAGACCACTCATGACGAGCTGTAAGCTATGAGGCTTTGATGTGAAAAAATAAGTTCGTCACGTAGATTAGAAAGTGATCATTCTGATAGTGGTACGCAATCTTTTATCCGACATTTGAATCGAGTCCTCGAACGCCAAGCTATTTAGTTAATTCGTATCCCTAGTTTGGAGCTCAGTGTCGGCGATCGTAGTCATCTCGGTCTCGTCTGCGTTCGGGGTGTCGCCGGCTGAGCGCCGGCGAGTAACTGCGCTCCATTCGTCGTCGCTTCTGGTGCTCCTCGTCTTTGCGACTAGGTCGACTTCTGGACCGGGAGGCTGAGCGGCGTCTGTGATGATCTCGACCGCGAGATCGCGATCTGGGCCTGTGACGATGACTGCGGTGATGACGCTCTCGGTCATCATGGGGTCTGCGGTGCCTGCGCTCCTTGTCCCGTGCCGAATCTTCACCGCGATCATGTCTCCTGTCTCGTCGCGGGCTTCGGCTGCGATCGCGTCTATGTCTGTGGCTCGACCGGTGATCCTTATCTCTTGCTCCAGCATCTGGCATCTCTTCTTCTTTTGATACCGTTTCATTGCTGTTGTCACCTCCTAGGGGGACCATATTGGCATTCTCAGATGCCTTTGGGGGCACCGGAAGACCCAGCGCGATGGCCATTGCCTCTTCCTCGGCCTCCTTGACACGCTGCAGTTCCTCCCGCTCTTTGCGAATTCGTTCCTCCTCATCTTCGTTGCCCTTAGCATACCAGTTGAGATCGCGATTTTGTTGCCACCTGCCGACTGGTGCCATCACCGAGTGGCCTAGGTAATTCTCGCGGTGGGTGGAGCTTTTGACATCAGACCACTTGAACTCATCGCGGCCGCCGCTAGGACACAGATTAGCGAACATTGGCAAGAAAATCAGTAACTATTACCAGAGAAACTTACCGGCTGCCTTCCTTGCGAATACCAGCAACCAAATCCATTGTGTGAGAAGATGAATGTGAATGTGTTGGAGCGAGCTAGCAAGGAGGAAGAGCATACTGCCGGCACGTGCATAAGGCGGTTGTGGTGCATAAAGTTATTGCCGGCAGAAAACCGAGGCACTAAACGTTGAATCTCAGTATGACATGCTTGACTCTATCGCTACGTGAGGACAGACGATATATTAGAACCAAATGAATTCTGTATAAACTGTCTCTTGCCTTTTCTGAGTTGACACAAGAAGGTAGAATCAAGTACAATATGCTCAGCCTGGTAAGATGATCAAGCTATCTAGGTATACAGCATTCTAGGCGGTCAGTTATTCCATCATCGGATCATTGCACCTCCCCGCAGTCATGGAGTAATTTCGACCAGCTCGATCATGTTCGGTTTACAGAGTTACTGCCGCTCTGTCTCTTGCAGCCTGGACTTCCCCACTTAGCAATGTGTCTCACTTGACAATGCAGCAAGCTTGTTTTATCACTACCGCCTTATTACCTCTCACTGCTCAGAGTCCTCATAAAGTATCCTCATCTGCGCTTTGTCTGCTCTTGGGGACATTTTCACCTAACCTGTGACAATGGCTTCTCATTCAAGCGGGAACACTAATCTCCCAGGCGTTGAATGGGAACTCCAGCGCTATCGGCCTCATGTACAGGTCTTGAATGTTGAAAGCGAAGAGCAACGGGTATGTTCCTTGGTCTCTGAGTGCCTTCGTAAGGACCATGAACTAATTTGGTCTAGTTTCCTAGGTGGATATCGAAAGCCGCACAATTTTGATTGTACCTAGCTGATAGTTTCCAAGCCACAGCGATGTATCTAGGCCAGAAATAGCGATTTGGAGATGCAACCTGGTGAGTACTTCCTTACTCTGGGTTCCTGGCCTATGGCTGTTTTGCCAGAACTCTATCTCCCAGCTCTAACCTTGCTCTTGTGAAAGGCGGCCCTCTCACAGCGCCATAATTTGCTCTTCACAGCGTATGAAGAAGACATCTACGTATGGATACCAGCTGGACCCCAGCAGCTCCTTGGCTCCCAACCCGAGATGATCATTCACCCAGTGATGAAGGAGCCCCATGCTGCTGGATATATTGATCCGTTGAAGCCTCATGCAATCAATAATCTCATCGTGGATGATTTGGGACTGGACGAGGTTCTACTGCTGGCGACAGACTCTGGGAATGTCACTGGCTACAACGTTAAGGCTATCTTCTCCGCAATCAATCGGAGTGCAAAAAGTGGACACAGTCGACCTTTCGACACCTATGAAATAAAACCTTTCTTTGCCGAAAGTGTTGTGTTAAGTGCCTGGGGCTTGACAACACACAAATTTGCTCGTCTGATTGCCGTAAGCTCAAACACAGGCACAATTACTGTTTTCGCTTTCGCGTTAGTGGATGTCGACTCTGGTGGTGATGATGACAGCACCTCCGATACACCCGAGAGCTCGACCCTAGGAAATCCTGGCGGATTAGAATCCACCTGGGTCTCAATTGATACCACGGCATTGATGGAAGGGATGAAGAAGGATATTCCAAATCATCGAACTCGTAACCTGCGCATCAGCTATAAGGGCCATTTCGAAAATATCCCATGCGTGTCATTTGCCAACTTTGGACTGGACCCCAATGGGCTCTGGATGGTCAGCACTGACATTCGCAACCGAGTTTTTATATGGAAAGTTTGGGAGTCCCTAGTTCCTTTCAAAACATCTACCTATGAACCTCTGGACAGGGGTTGGTTTGTCTTGCCTGTACATCCTCGCAAAGTTCAGCAACATCGCTTGAGGATTGACGCTTGTGGATGTGAGCCGCGTCCGAGAATGATCGGAAATTGCTTAGTTTTTGATGTGTCGAAGGCGGTTCAATTTGTCGCAACCAAGTCCATCTTCGCCGCCCAGGAGTATACAGCGACGTCACATATTGTTTTGCCCGATGGGATCTTCTCTGATTCTGATGTTGATGCTGAATCTCGACCGCAGCCGACGATTCCAAGACATTATCGTACAGAACAAGAGGCCCGTGGAACGAGACACTCTTCTACTGCCGTTGACAATTCTGGCCTAAGCGCTGGGGTATCACAAGATTCTGTCATGCCCACCGCAGACCCGCAGTTTTCTGTGAGGCCTGGTATCACAAATTTGATTGATGAAGCAAACGAACATGGCCCAAAATGCGATTTGCCCCGATTGAATGCTCGGAGTTTCTCTCCATCACACCGTAAGTAAGAAGTTTGCTTGCGTGGATCAAACTAGAAAGCTAATCTGTTATTCAGCGGTTAACCCTCAATTTTTCCCTCTTCTTCACTTCTCCGGACGTGATATCACTTTAGATCCCTACCCAATGGATTCTCCAGGACCGCGAACGCTTTCTCGGTCGCCCTTTAGATTTCTCATCAAAGATTCCATGTACCGCACTTGTGATCGCATAAACATGGTGAAATATCTTCCCGACGCGGGGATTGTCGTTGCTGCCACCCAGACCGGTGCAGTGGCTATTATCACCCTTACATGGCAAGAGGAAATTGGCCATAGCTTCCGTGTTGACTGGATCCTACCTTTCTTCTCACAGCAAGGAGAAGACGACCCGCCCCTCATGGGTCTTGCTGTGAGCCCTATGCCTGGATTTGAGGTACCGTCGGATGTACCATGTATCCCCCGGGACGTCGACCCCAAAGATTGGCTGAAGTTCAATTTCCATATGCTTAATCCCAATGGAGGCGACCCTTGCGACGATCCCGATGCTGTTCCGCTTGAGGGCGCTCTTCCCAATCCTTCTCTGCAGTCGGATCCTGAACCTGCAGGCAAGAAGTTCACCCTGCCTGAAATCCACGCCCATGCCTCCAGTATCTATCGACCTCGTGAGAGCTGGCATGGCCATTGCCCTTCTCGGCATTATCGCTTGCTTTTACTCTTCTGTGATAACTCGGTCATGAGCTATGAATTCTGGCATGACTGGAGGGCCTGATTGCAATCATGAAGTCCGGCTGTGCTTGTTGTACAGATGGAAGATGGATGTTCATACAAACGAACATCATGCCAGTATCGAATTGCACAATCATAGTATTTATGAAACACATTCAATCAAATCCTTGAATAAATCTATGTAGAAAATGATGAGGGAAGAAGGTAGGGTGGTTGTACAGTGTGGATTTGAGGCTCTAACCATACTGAAGATGATTGGTTCGTAGAAAATAAGCTTAAATCCAAAGTTTGGTTTCACGAAACAAGGTTTTCTTCCCCAAAGCTTGCATTTTGACCAGCAGAAACACGAAGAAAATTGGAGAAAAAGAATACCGATTTATCGGAGACGATATGAGCCACATCGATGCATAGAGGATGTGCAAACTACATCCACAACTTGGCAGGCGGAACGACAAGAAAGACCATCAACGTTATCCACGTTGCCTGTTAATAGGAAACCCGTCATGCCTCAACATAAGGACACTTTCGCATAGAGGCATGTAAAAGCAGAAATCCGATTTTAGTTCTTATGCAACCTGAATGTCGGCCAATCAAATCATGGAGGACTCTTGTCAGCGAGTAAGATAGACAAGACTATACTCCTATATCAAGATTAACGGGATTAAATATTCTCAAACACTACATTAGCTAGTTGTTGGGGCCACGATATCATGTGGGTGTAGAGCATAAAGCCAACTTAATCAATTCACCAAATATCGATATACATATTTCCCATACTCCCAAACGATCCACCTTCCAATTTTAATCCCGCACCTACCCCAACAGTCAACTGGCAAATAGCAACTAAAGACACGGAATCTCCGGAAAGACTACCTCTATACGGCTAGCAGACTTATCAAAGAGGGATTATCTTTCTTGCGAGATGCCCAAAGCGCCCGTTCTGAAGTGGGGGCCATCTTCTAACAGAGACCATGAGGCTCAACCCGCTACGCTCATCGACAACGGCCAGTGCATACTCTCTACAGGCAGGATTCACTAGAACCATCAATAATCTACTACAGAGATGCAGACCCAACGCTTGGTCCAGACTAGGGCCCTTGCAATACCTGATATTGTGATATCAATCTTACACCAAATGGACATGCGCACTCTCATCGCCGCCCAGCGTGTATGCCATGCATGGGCGGATATGATTCGTACATCGTGCTCGCTGCAAGAAGCATTGTTCTTGTTACCAGCCAGAAATAATAGGAAAGACGAGTCTCGAGTGTACAACCCCCTGCTGGCAAAATCATTTCCCTCTATCTTCCCCACGGAAGACCTGCGAGAGCTCGCAGGCGACAGAATGGAGGAAATTGAACTCGGGCGTTTTGATCTTATGAGAAATTCAACGATAAGAGAGATATACCTCCGACCTGAGGCGAGCTGGCGTCGTATGTTGACGCAACATCCACCAATATATACCATTGGGGAATTTGCCTCGTTTGTGGGACATTATGGTCTCTCTTGGCATCAAGACCGAACAACAAGGCAGGAAGAGGGACTTCGAATGGGGACATTCTTTGAATGGCTTGTTGGTCTGGGACTGTATAGATGGAATGGCGAGTCAATTAAGATTTGCCTGGGTGGATCTGTACCGCTTAACACGCCGCTTGAAATTCATGAGCGGATTCCGTATCTTGATATCAGAGAGATAAATGCCGATTGGAGGGTTATGAGTGCTGGGTTTGATCTTGTGTTGGTGGCAAGTTCGGGGGGCACGTGTATGGATTATGAAGAGCCGGGTGATCCAGATTGGATTAAGAGTCCGAATGAAATTGCCTGGGAAGAGATTTGTGAGGGTTATCGTGAGTTGGGGCTGAGCATGGTTGAGTTGCAGATGGTACGGTATAAGGAAGGGTCTTCGATGTGGTAGGAGATGGGGCTACACCATAGAGATCTCTTGTCCATGGATAGGAAAATTGAGGATGTACTTTTCGTATATGAAACTGGGATATGCGGAACACAGGAAATCAGGAGTGGCCAGATACACTGAGCTCGAAGATTGGCATGCTGAATGAATGGTGTAGGGATCAGTGTGGGTACTCAAAGTAGTGATCGGGCAGTGAGGACAGGCCGTGTGGTCATGGATAGTGACCCTTGAGTCTCCTCCTCGTTCTGAGATTGATCCCTGGGAAGCCGGTGGTCCAGCCATATTTGGCGTGGACCTGAACGTCTTGGTAGAGGAATGACCTGGTCCTCAATCGCGGCGGTCATCGTTTCTGTCAGGCATAAGCAAATGCCCGGATAGTGATGCAGCAGTGTATGAGCAATGTACTCTTTTTGATTGACAGTGGTAGTCAAAATGCATTGAATAAAAGGTATCGGTTCCCTAGTCGCAGTCTAACATCAAGTCAGATGAGTCCACAAAGGATGCTTGGTAGGAGAGTGGCAAATTACCTAGGTGATCATCCTCGATGATTGTAGATAGGTGATGGAAGAGTGAGATTGAGGTGAGAGGTGAGAGGTGAGAGGTGAGAAGTCTGAGGATAAGGAAGCCGATGATGTTCCTGCTGGGCTGAAGTTGCCAGATTTATATTGGAATAAATAGCTTTATACGAGGCACATTGCATACGTATGATTGCCTATAGTAAAGCCGGGCTGAGCTTACACGATATCAACTCGACCACTTTTAGCTACCATCTTGATATAATAGACTGTATATAGGCTCTCACTTTACGATACATAGTTTCCAATAGATGTCCTTGGAAGACTGTCTCTTCCTCTAGGTGATCTGATCATGAAGTAATAGTTCCTCCTAGCCAATGATGAATGCAAAGGAATTGCTTAAATCAACACCTTCCACCCCCTACGAGCTCTATACCGGCCGCGATGAGTCACTACTAATAAATTAGGTATGGAAGTTTTCTGCGCTGTGAAGCCTTAGACCCGATCACTACACAATACGCTGTCACCAAGTATGCCACAGCTAAGTGATTACTGCTCATCCTACCTGGGCTGGTCTAGTGCAACAGCTCAAGGATCTATTGCGAACGATTGCCGTGGTCGGTATCTGCGTGTCCACTGCGATGTTAACGTCTAGGCCAGTCAATACTATAAGAGTTTGTTAGATGAAATTCAATCTGATAGAAGACGCATGTATACATATTCCTTATATATATGTATGCACAAGATGATAGATTAAGGGCGAGAATATCCCCGGGTATAAATATATATCAACCTTGGAACCTCTGACCAAATGAGAAAGACCGTGAGAATAAATAGAAAAAGAAAAGCGGACATGATCAAAGAGAAAAGAAAAAGAGCCCAGAAAGAGGAAGTAGATAGATAAAATTGAAAAGACCAAGAGGGGGGAATTGTATAACTAAAAGTGGAACAGAATCAAGACAAATCAGAAACCATGAATTCGTTGCATGCATCAATATCATTAAGACGCTTTTTGGAATGACGTGTGAAACCCAATATATGTATCGTGGCGTATCTAGTCCGAGACGTGGATAATCTCGATCTAGAAATCGTCCTCCATTTCATCACTGTCCCATTCATCTTCGCGGTCATTTTGTACTAGATCCAGAAATCGTTGAAGACCAGGGTGTGCCTGTGCTCTATCTGGTCGTATTGCGATCGCCTCCCATCGAATAGGACCATCTTCATCTCCCAATGGCTCCGGTGGAACATCAATCCATCGGACAGGACGTCTCGGATCGCCTGCCTGTGGAGGGAGAGGGCGAGGAGGAATATCTGCCCATCGAATTGGGGGTCTCGCCTGTCGTCTCACATCCCGGTTCCGTACCTCGGCCATAGCACGAGCCTGAGCTTGGCGCTCTGCCGCCGCAGCACGAGCCGCAGCATGATCACGCTGACCAGCTCTGCCGCCACCGCGGTTGACCTGGGGCGGCACAGGGGCAGGAGGAGGAGGGTGTCGGTGGTGGAGGTCGTCATCATCGTTATCAAATTCAAATGCAGGGTGGTCGTCATCGCTGTCATCGGTTTCTTCGTGAATAGCCACCACTGGAGGGTCATCATCAAAATGCAAGAGTGCCTCTGGGATACGGTGAAGTGCTTCGGCACCGTCTGGATTGATGCCATCACCACCTTCTAGATCCCAAAGACGGTTGTAACATTTGCCATTGGGGTCGTTGAAATGCATGTACGGATTATCTGGGCATAGCCAAGCAGAGCAAAGGTAGCAGAAGTGCGTATCGCACTGGAAGCAACGCATGTGGTTGCATCCCATTTGCTTCTGGCAGGGCACGTTGCAAGTAGGGCAAGCAGTCGTATATAGCCGCAAATACTCTTCGGTGGCCTTTTCCTCCTCTGTTGGCTCACCATCACGGCGACGTGGAAAGCAACGAACCAATTCACCATGCCATCCTTTCCTGCAGACAGAGCAAAAGGCATAGTTGCAGTCTTCGCAAATAGCCACCCGCTCGGCCATGGGAGGAAGCTCCTCAGTATCATTTTCGTTGCGAGCCTCGGACGCATCTTCCTCGTCAGAGCTATTCAAATCATCCGACATCGGATCCTCTGGTTTGGGGTGGCGCTTAGATCGCGCCGCTCCCTGACACCATTGTCGGGGACAGTAGACCGTAGTTTTGTCGGATTCAATCTTCTTCTTCCGCTTGAGATAAACATATCGCTGGACCGTTTCAGTGGCTAGAGGGATCTGAAGGAGCTCACTGGGTCCAAGGGTACGGTCGCGCCTTTTGCGAGGCGGGGTCTCGCTACCGCCCGGTGCAGCTGCAGGTCTCTTATTGTAGTCGCAATCCGGAGCCATGCACTTCACAGCGTCAACATTACCCTCGGTGATGCAGCAGTTGTAGAAATCCTGCAAGCATTGGATACAGAACACGTGAGAGCAGCGAAGCAATCGATAGCAAACGCTACCCTTTTTCGGCTCAAGGCACACACCACATTCAAAAGTCCCCTGTGCGAACTTTTCCTGCTCGGCTTTCTTGTTGTAGTCCAGTAGTCCAACCTTGAGATCTCGTGATAAGGACACCTCCCCAGAGACATCCTGGATGTTGAAAGTCGATTCCGCCAGCTGCTGGAGATGAACGATGTAGGTGAAGATAACGAGATCATTTCCACATTCTTCCCAGAGCCGGTGGCAATCGTTGGTCAATTGGTCGATGACGGAGGGCGGTAACCATGCGGGAATAGTGCTCAGATGAACGATAGGCGGTTTTTCGGTCGGATAGCCTTGTGGCAATTCAATTTCGAGATTGAGCGGAGGCAGATGCGAGAGAACATGGATGTCCTTAATTGGCGGCTGATCGAGCTCTCCCTTGAACTCGTCTAGGGAGGTCGGTGGGGTGATGGTGCCAGCGAGAGGGGCCTCGCGCGGTGGTTGGAAACATATCGCAGTCGGGACGGAAGGAGTGACAGGAAGATCCAAGACGAAAGTGAACGGCGAGGAAGGATCGATTTGAATTTCGGGGAAGATGGCGACAATCGAGGAAACCTCGACCGAGCGGTCGTCTTCGGCCTCGAGTTCGGTCATGACGGGAAAAGACCTGGTGTGATGCAAAGATTTCTCAGGGCAAAAGGATGAAATCCGCTAAGGCTGTTGGGAGTGGCGATCTGGAGACAGTAGTGTCTCCTATAAAAACTCGGGCGCTACCGGCTCATGGCTCAAGTCAAAAAAAAGGCGAGGTATTGGTAATGATAAGTGACCAATCCCGAGTGAACTGTCACTGAGGACGATCGGGCACGAACGAGGGGTCCTGCAGAATAAATTCGAATCAGCATGGAAACTGAGACCCTGGTAAGATCCAGACCAACCAAAAGCAGATCAAGGTATGCCGAGTATTCCTTCGACAGGCCAATGTTCGGCAGAGAGTCGGGAGGGGTCTAACAGATGATGCAATAAGGAATCGGGGGTGAGAAGAGAGAACAACTGCGTCATGGTTCGGAAGCGAAGGGTTACAAGGAGGTAGGATAGGAAAGAGAGAGAAGAGAAAAGAGAAATCCAGATCAAATCCAAAAAAGAAGACAGGCAATCCCCTCCAGCGCCTAAAACCAAAGGCGGGAAAAAAAAAGAAGTGTGTTGGTCTCCCCGCTGCCCAACTGCCAATCTGCTTATCGGAGAGCACGGACGTTGTGTCTTGGCCCTTGTCCCTGAAACCGGCCCTTCTCTGTTTTTGACTCTTCTCATCTTTTTTTTGGGGGCGCAATCATGGGAGACACCCCGCTGGCGTCGTTGTCTCTGACTCATGTCCACTATGTAAGTCGATACTTATATTCTTGCCAATTTCTCTGCTGACGTTTCCAGAATCCCGAGGACCAACTGTCGTTTGCTTCGGCATGGCTGGCCCTGATTCCACAGGCACTATGCGTCTCGTATGCGACCTTGATCTGGTCGACAAGAGAGGTGGAAGTGATCATGATGTTTGTAGGACAGATGGGCTGTGAAGCATTGAACTTTGTCCTGAAGCGCATCATCAAGGAAGAGCGACCGAGAGGTGAGTGCTCGATACTTCCGTCGGGGGTAGCGTGAGGCGAGCATTGCATGAACTGACACGTGGAATCCACAGAAATGTTTGGCAAAGGATATGGCATGCCCTCTTCACACGCCCAATACATGACCTTCTTCTCCGTCTATCTCACCTTCTTTCTGCTCTTCCGTCACAGCCAAGCCTCTGCCAGCTCCTATCCCAATGTCGCCGTCCTCCTTCGAGTCCTAGTCATGCTGGCCCTTTGCATTGGAGCCGCCGCTGTCGCTGCCAGTCGAGTCTACCTCAACTACCACACCCCGAGACAGGTCCTCGCCGGCTGTGCGGCTGGGTTCGTTTGCGCGTGTGGCTGGTTCATGATTACCAGCCTGCTGCGAAGCACTGGATGGGTTGAATGGGCCATGGAGACCACTGTGTCCCGCTTGGTTAGAGTCCGTGATCTCGTAGTAAGTGAGGACCTGGCCGAGGCCGGCTGGCAACGATGGGAGTCTCAGAGATTGAAGCGTCGCGGTCTTAGTAAAGCAAAGAAGTCGGAGTAAACGTTCCCCTTTGTTTATCGTCATAACTTGCAATAATAGCGAGCGTGCATCCAGCCTTTTGTTTCCTTGAAATCAATTTTGCATCCTATTTCTGATTTCTGATCTATCGTAACTCTCCAAAATGAACGGCACACTTTGTAGACCGGTCACGTGCAGGGTGGCCTCCCGCATCGACACCGCAGTCGCTGACCCTCTCGTGCACTGCAAAGGCTTAAATATGTGTGGTCCTTTTGCATAAGCTTAATCTGATTCCTACACTCCTTGGCCGCGGGTTTGCCTGATGTCTGGAGTGTTGATACCCTGGTGATCCACCGACTTTCTGCCAGGAACACAGAATCCGAACAAGTCTCCAATGATGGACATGCCTCCGGATCCACCCGAAGCCGCGATGCAGGAGCATCATATTGTCAAGGCCGATGAGGTCGACCAAACAGGGACCGATATCTCGCCAGTTTCAGACGACCAACTCATGGAGGAGGTGGCTGAGGGGGCTCCGCCAGGAACAGGCGTCTCAGGCCGCATCCGCCCCTGAGATGATGCCTTCTGCCCCGGACAAGTCTATGAAGCGACCAGAACTCCGCCGTGAAGGCTCTGCTCCGCCTCCTCCTCTGCAGCCGCCGCCGCCGGCGCCCGTGCAGGAAAACACGGAGCGGGGTGCGAACTCTCTGAGCTTATCGGACCTGCGGAAGCTGGTGGGTGAAATGCCCAAGATCGAGCAACCAGCCTATGCTTTTGAATATGCCGACGCTCAGCCTTTTCCTGATGAGCTCGAAGAATGGTTCCAGTATAATGATTTCGATCGTGTCATGTTGATGGGCACAAAAACGACTTTTAACCAGAAATGGCCTGCCTTCTTACAGCAACACCAGCTAGACACATCTGAATTGTCTTGGCTTGACGCATCCCAAGATCTACGTCGCTCATTTATCTCTCTTATGATAGAGGGCCTGCAACTCTCTGAAGTCACAGCACGATTGGAAGCCCTTGAGACCATTTGCTATATCATCACTGGCGTATGGGGTGTCAGTGGTGGGAGAGTGGCACCCGACTATCCTTCAGACAGAGATCCCGAATCAATTGCCGAAACGCCATTGCTGAAATCATTGCAAATTGAGTGTATCGAGAAGAATGTTTCCCTCCTCCAGGAATGCTCAGGTGTGACCGCTTTGGTGGAGTACATGTGCCGTCTCTTTGATAAGTCCCGCTCATCACTGGGATCGGACTCCAATGGCATTGACTACGAGCGGCTTAACCCGGGCGATATCGCTGCACCGGAGCGTGAGGCCAACTTGGTGCTTACAAGCTTATACTTTGCCGTGGAAGTCGGCCGCAGACAACAGGCACGCGACGCTCAGTGCAGCTCAATCCGCGATACATTGACCGATTCAAATCCAAACCTGTTGGTTTCTATCGTTGAAATCATCGCCCGGCTACGCTGGGATGAATCTGCCAATATTCCGCTGACCAGGATCCTTTTGTTGCTCTGGAAGTCGCTGCTTCTTGTCTTTGGCGGGACTGATGATTTGAAGCGTGCAAAGGAAGTATTAGAGCCCGCTGTTTCGTCCGAGAAGGATAATTCTAAGCGTAGAACCCCATTTTTACATGCTTCTCCCCTGGACTATCACATCTTCCGCCAGGAAATCACCTCCAAATATCCAGCTTACAACCCTCCGCCACTGGTCGTTCCACTGGAATTGGAGAATAATTCTATACTACCCCCTCTGCCGCACAACGCAGCCCGGATGAACTCATCCAGTGGTATCTTTTGTGGTGTCGGCCCATCAGTCTCTGGAGGTAATGGCTCCATCCTTCAGCAAGCCGTTCACATCGCCACCCCGGCCCCATCTCCGCCACCATCGCCTGCTGGTCCAGGAGGCAAAGCTGGGAAGAAGCAAAACTACCAGACCAATCAAAACTTCCCGTTCATGTATCCACCCCTCGATGATTCCAGCAACCGCATTGGTGGGAAGGGTACAACTGAACGCCAGGACACTCTGGTTGGCAAGCGATGGGAGGGCAGTGACGTCCCTGCATCTATCATTGAAGCTGGAAAGCTCTTCTCTACTCATGTTAAGATGACGCGTGCGATGCGACAGCTCTGGCAGGAACGTGAAAACTTTATGAAGTATGATCGCGGCTGGAACTCGGAGGATGCTGCTCACTTCCCCGACAATGTCTCAGATGACCTACCTGATGATTTTGAATACTTGGATTTATCAGGCGATGAGCAGAAGCCTGAACCTAAACCCAAGCCAGTGGTGAAAGAGACAGATGATCCTGATGTCCAACGACGTCTGGATGCGGTTGACTCATTCTATGTGAGTGCAAAACTTCCGTGTCCTCAATTCTTAGCAATTTGCTTACTTTCCTTCAGTCCCAAACCTTGTCTAATCTTCAGTCCATCACGATTGTGTTCCTGAAGATCATCTTGACAAATGTTAGCGCGGTGGTCAACCAAGCAGGTAGCCAGTCTACATCTCAGGGCATCAGGTAAGTCCACACACACTTCAAATGACCATAAAAACAAGCTCTAACACGAGCATCAGTAATGGCCATTCCATGAATGGCTCCTCTCCGGATCTCTTTTCTGATGCATCTATCGATGAGCTTGACAACATTCGACTCCGAGAGATTACTGGAAAAGCTGTGTCTGGAACTCTGCTGCTTCTTTTGAAGTGGTTCAAGCGGTCTCGTAAGTTCCCACTTCAAAAGTTCCATTCAAAATCGCCCGACTAACTCCTCTAGACATCTTGAAATTCGAATATATGACGCAGCTTCTACTTGACTCCAACTACATTCCCTTGATTCTCAAGATGTTCGCACACCAAGACGTCGACCAGGCTGTTGCACATAAAAATGACCGGGATGATTTATCGTAAGTCCCAAAATTCCATTCATCCAACTTCTTCACTCGCTGATCCCAACCAGCTTCTTCCACTTCTGTCAAAGCAACACAGACCACCCTCTGGAAACCGAGAACTACTCAGAAGGCGATACCGAGAGTGAAGACGAAGCCATGCCACCTCCAATCACCCGGCATCGCTCCGACCCAACAGCCAATGGCAGCATGCCAGGGCTATCCGAAGAAGAATCCCTAGCCGATCTGCTCCACGGCCCAGCCCGCCCCGAAGTCGACGAACTGGGATACCCAACGGCGCCTCTCCCCAAAGAGCCAATCAAAGTCTTCTCCTTCCGCAACTTTTTCTCCGCCATCAACTACCTCCACATCATGCAAAAGATCACCCGCGATAAAGCCCACCGCTGTCTTCTCCTCGTCCAATACAAATCAAGCAACATCCTCCGCAAGGGGCTCAAAATCCCCGACCCCAATCTCCGCTTCTACACCCTCAAACTCTTCAAATCCCAAGTCCCCTACTGCGGCCGCAAATGGCGCCAGAGTAATATGCGCGTTATCACCGCTATCTACCTCTACTGTCGCCCCGAGCTGCGCGACGACTGGCTCGCTGGCTCCGACGTCGATGCCGAGGTCGAAGAGGCTTTACCGCTGGAACAGGCTCTTCGTGGTCTCACGCATTGGTGGCATCTGCGCCAATACAAGGATGTCATGGGCGGTGAAGAGGGTGCGTCGCTGATGGAAGAGGAACGTGATTTCTTTGTTAGAGAGCTTGAGGCTATGGGCTGGGGTGTTGCAGATGAGATTCTGACTGGACCTTGTGAGGAAGAGGTAAGCGGTTCTATGGCGCAAGGTAATGAGTGGGAAGGTGTGCCTCTTCCTATGGAGGGGTGGCCGTGAAGTAGCTGTTTGGCTTTGCTATGAGATCAATGAAACTGCATTCGATACCCGCTGTAGTGAATTTGATGATATTTTGTTTTGTTTTAACACAGACTGTAGGTTTATGATATAGGTATAGCACATGGATATATCACGGTACAGGATCTCATATCATATTAGATATACCCGATGGTATAGACGGCAAAGTATCTTGCTGATAAGAAAGGCGTGAGGTGATGTATTGATCTAGATACTGCTGCGCCTATCTAAGCGGACGCCAGTCATGTCACTAGCAACGGACCAGCTACCTGCCAGATAAATGTACTCAGGTGCCCAGCTACCACGTAGGCCAGTCTTGAAGCCTGGTGCAATAGAGCAAGTGGCGAAGCTGTCAACCCTGGGCCCCTACTGTAATTCTCAGCCTCGCTCAATGGATGCAATTGACCCTACTCATAGATTAGACATTTGACCCTCAACCCGATTTGGCAGTCATACAGCATATAGGTACCGCTCTGTTTTGATCATGTAGATCAATCCCGAATTCAGTTGCATCAGCCATCCCTTTGGCGACCAGGTTCCGCTTCCCAGAGGCTTTGCATTCCTGAGAAATGATGGCTGGGATAGGAAGGTCAGTTGAAGTTGTCCATATGATAATATGTCACATGTTATATGAAGATTTACCCATACTCCAGCGTATGCGGCATGTGCGTCACCATCTTTGGGGAAGATGACATTCTGCCTCCACAACAACAAGGTTGTTTCCGCCCTCATCTTTGAGGCTGCTCCTTCTACCTACCTTTGTGTGTAATTTGCGATCCCTCGATTTCATAATCATCAAGCTCGCCGGCTCCTTTGGAGAAAATCGTTGGTATCCTGTAGGTTCTGCTCCAGCATTTGGAAAGGGTGGTGTCGGTGACATTTCACGGAGATGGCCCCTGAAAGCTCGGGTGACGGAGGTGATATTTGGGATTCCAAGGGAGCCGATTTAGGAGGCTTCATGTTGAAGATTTTGAGCAAAATGTGAAGGCAAAAGACGCTGACACGAGGAATGGGATAGGAGATAGAAGAAGGATAGCGGGAGATGCAACTGCCTACGACAGAAACACCAAGTCTGACTCTCACGTGGCAACCTGCCTATTTTGCTTTGCTGTGATTTTCAAAGGAAACCGTGGAGTTTGTCGTTTGCAAGATCTGTTTGTGGACATGGCCAATACGCTTTAGGAAAACAGATAAGACCAATGTACAAGTCCTAATGTCCTGGACTTACCTTAACTACATGTACCCGGTAGATACAATATTTTTGATGTGCAAAATACTGCTATTCTTCGGAGATGGATTGCAGGACTGCAGGTGTCTATCACAGCCTTCGTAGGCATACGAACGACTTTCAGTCGTGGACTAACTTTCTATACATTCCATTCTCACAATAAAAGCTGTCCCAACGGTGGCAGATAGTATATATACCTCTATAACTTTGAAGACAGAACTAGCCCTCGGGTAGTAGATCCGGCTACATACCAAGCAAACTTATGCCCAGTCCCGTCTCTGCAGAATAGAACCTCCAAGCAAGTGACTTGTAAGTCTACAACCAGTTGATCAGTTGTCCCATGAGCTCCGCTTTATGTGAACCGTCAGACGACTAGGCATATGGGGGCAGCTTGAAACTCCAATAGACAGGCTGTGGATACTCAGGTCTCTGATATGTTCCGGGGGAGATTGAGAGGAGATATCTGAGGCTGAAGCGCATCAAGCGTATTGTCTTCCCTTCCACCCGTCGTGAGGAGAGTCGGCCCCGGGAGTATATCGATATTTCGAGTGTGTCGCATCGACGAATATGTATTAACAGTGACTCTTGGACAAGTGATTCTCGGTTGTGAGCTGGGACCTATCTTTCCATGGTGTAAGTGCTTTCCTATGATTCAAATGTGTCAGTCATTGCTATGGCGGGAGATTATGCGTGGCGATCAACGGAGCCCTTCAGGCTTTCGGTCTGCAATCTCACCGACGTAGTGTCTTCGCTCTTCCAGGTCGATATAGGTGACTGTCCAGCTCCAAAGAGTGCAGCCACACGCAAGGCTCGCCGAGATCTCATATCGAACCGGACCAACATTGTGTCCCCTCCATTGAGCACCGTTACCTCGTCGCTGCAGCATTCTCTGAACGTTTGTCGTGCCTGGTGTCTATCTCTCATGCGTATCGTCTCCCGCTAGAGAACTGTCTGAAGCTTGGTTGCTAAAAGGAGGGATTATTGAGGGTTACTGGCGTTCCGGATCTCATTCGACTCCAGGGTATCTGGGGTACGTGTCTGCTGCGAAGGATCAGCGCCGTTGGCCGTATACGTAGCTTCTATCGCGGTAAAAGGTTCGCGTGCATGGTGTCTACCTAGGTGCTGTCTACGGGCTTGCAATAGTACTCGATGTCAAACTTCATATCTGGGTCGGATAGGACGACTCAATACCTAACATGTGGTCATGGTGTCTCCGGAGGGGCATGAGACGTCTATACAGAAGATGGGATACGAATACAACTACGCGTACACAGATAACTACCAGACATCTTCTCCAAGAGCCCGGGCAAGCCGAACCAGTGATGAAAATGAAGGTCGCGTCCTTCGGGTGCAGTGTAAGCCCGATGACACAGTGCAGCTTGTTGGTGCCAAATGGTACCTCCAAGCTACGAGGTCCAAAGAATGAGGCCTTTCAGCCTGGGAACAGATCCCCGTAAGGTTGTCCCCCCCCTTTCCCCGGGGAAAAAAAGAAACCAAGTGGATCTGCGGGGATCGGACCCGCTTTATACCAGGGCTCACGTGCTCCGGGCCAGTCACGGGCTTGGGCTTCTTCGCTCCTTCCCTTTCGTCTCATGTGCCATTGGGAGAGGGCGGTGAGTGGCGTAGAACATACCCTACATAGCTACCTACATCCTAGGTAGGCTGTCTCACTGATGTGGATGTGAGAATAGGAGGGTCTTACGCATTTTGTCAATGACGATTCATGTCGACATCTCATTCCCTCACCTACAGGTCAGCCCATCCTCCTTCATATCGACCAGAAGCACTTAGCAGACACACATCCCACATTACATTCTGGACCCCTCTCCACTGCTCTGCTCCCTGCAAATGTCCCACCAATCCACAGGGCCCAGTCCATTCGGTCAACACTGGTCAAGCGAGCCTGATGCCATTTGTTTTATACCCCAGTATCAGGAAGTCTCTTACGGCTCTCAGATCCCCCAACCTCGCTAGCATCGAAGCATACAGATGTACTAGTACAAAAGCGACATACCTATATGAGAGTAGGGTCCACGGGTTATTCAAGCGCGCCCCTTCCGCTGCAATCCAAGGTCATTGATACCACATGTTCCCCTGTCGCTGTTTTGGTATTACATTTATAATGGATACCTCTTCTCTTCGAGATGAAGTCAGACTCAGGGGATGTATATTAAGTGGGATTCTTGCATACAGCCTCACACCTCCGACATATGTCTTTGAATGGACGAGATGTTCGATATGAGAGTGAATACACCGCTACGCCTAGTAGCCAACCCAATTACACTCAATTACGCTGCACTTCCCGCCGGCGAAAGATTCCTTCGTTGAACCTGACGCGGTATACAAAAGAAAGTACCAGAAGGAGCGGGCGATACCGTCATTATGGAGGCAACTCTCAACCAGTTTTATCTAGATGGCACAGGTCGTGACAGCACGCGATTGCATATTCCTCGAACTTTCGACTTGATCTAAACCCGTACTTGGGGTAGTGGTTCCTCGCATGGTTCGTTTATGTTCTCCGAATGACACTGTGTGATGTCCTAGGGTGATTGGATCGGCTCGTGTGAACTACGGTAGGGGGCTACCCGAGAACCGGCGCTTAGAGCAAAGCATTCATTGTAGGGAGTCATTGGGCTAGTATCTAGGTATATGGAATGTACGGAGTACGTACATTGATAGTCCGAGTCAACAAGAACAATGAAAGATAACCCTGCACTTATCAGGTCAAATCAAGAAGGCGGATTTAACAAAGCCATCAACATTACTCCGTAGCCAGTCCGTTGTGGTGTCCGTGGGTTCTTTTGGCCCTGGCTTCGTGGCGGTGTGATGAGTTGATGCGGGGGGCAATCTCACGTTTGGCCACTGAGATATGCGACTCCAATTGGCGTGCTGTTGGAGATGCAATTTGTAGGGGGTTAGCTTCCCAGAGGATACGGCCAAATCGGGACAATCGGCAAAGTGCTTGAGAGCTGAGCGTTCTGCTGTAGATCTAGGTTCAGCAGTGATCCTGGATCTCCGGATAAGTGAACAAACTTGAAAGGCGATATGAAGTTGAGACCCAGAGGGTAAGACAGACATTCTTCGGCTCGAGAATCCCAAGTTAGAAGCATCACGAACCCCACCTTTGATCACCTCGCTTACGAGTCATGTCAACATTCCAAATCCCGAGGTCCGACGAGCGAACCCGATCAGCACATTAATCCGATGGCCTGCATCGATCATGCAGCCACAATATGCGTCTAATAAATCTCTCGCTTGGGACTGGCGTGGCCCTGGATTCAAGTGGAGACATCGGCGAACTCCAGTTGGACAACGATCTTCACTGTAATCCGTATCAGGAGCTTTGTTTTTGATTGGAGTCTTCGAAAAAGCAAACATCACAACCTGCATCAAAGGTGATAGTTATGGCTCTAGGTGTTCCATGATCAGTCGGTGCTCTCTTTTCCCCTTTTTTGTCCGCCGCAGAAAATCTGTTACTTGCTTTTCATATTCACCCACCCTGAAACAATCATGTCCGGACGCCTATTAAACAAAGTATGTCTGATTACAGGCACGGGTGGCAGTATGGGTCGAGCAGCAGCCCTCAAGTTCGCCCAAGAAGGCGCCAAAATCGTGGGATGCGACATCAACACCGCCAACGAAGCAGCCACTGTCAAAGCCGTGCAAGATCAGGGTGGTGAAATGATATCCATGTCCCCATGCGATCTCACCAAACGTGAAAACTGTGAGCAGTTGGTCAACCTCGCCATCAAAACTCATGGACGCATCGATGCCCTGTACAACAACGCGGCAATGGTCTACATGTCCTGGATGGACGACATCAAAGATGAGGACTGGTACAAGACGATCGACCAGGAATTGAATCTGGTTTACCTTCTCACTCGAGTCGCATGGCCACACTTGAAAGAGTCCGGTGCATCCATTATCAACGTCGGCTCTGCCAGCGGCTGGATCAGCCTCCGTCCGGTACCTGGTCTCGCTCACACCGCAGCCAAAGGTGGTGTAATTGCCATGACGCGGCAGTTGGCGATGGAAGGGCGGACTCATGGAATTCGTGCCAACACGATCTCGCCGGGCCTTATCGAGACTCTTCAAACTGCGCCTTTGCTTGAAGATCCAGAATATAGAGCGGGCATAATGCCGAAGATCATGCTTGGTCGCAGTGGTCAGCCTGAGGAGATTGCGGCTGTGGCTAGCTTTTTGGCTTCGGATGAGAGCTCTTATATCACTGCTGCAGATATTCGGGTTGATGGAGGTATGACGTCTTGGTAGGGGAACTTTTTATATACAACCTTTGTGGGTTAATGATTGAATAAATTCATATGCCGTTGCAGCATTGCAAATTACATCTCGTCCTTGTCTTACTCGGACCTGGTCTAGTGATCCAGGATCGTGTCAGGTCTTTGATACAAAATAGTGGCTTTGTAGTGTTGAGTCTCAATAACGGTCACTCATATTTTCTTTTGTCTCAATCGCGGCCTCTGTGAGCTTCCTTCTGAGGAGCTTTCGTCCTCCCCGGGGCTTCTAATTGGCTTTCTTAACCTTATATATCTGATGAAGTTCCCACCTTCGGGGCTTCTCATTGGCTTCCTTCCTGGTGAAGCATGTGAAGATGGGTCTATGTCGCGACGGTTTTCTCGTAGTTTTCTCGTAGTTTTCTCGTTTTTTGGGGGTCCTCAGGGAATCAAGATTGTGAAGACACATCTCAGGCATCATTGTAAGGTTCTATAGTTTGATCGACGCTTCTAATCGGCTTCCTTGAAGATTTCTGGCTTCCGTCTTCGCGGCCCCTAGTCTGCTTCCCTCTGGTTAAGTCCCCTAGAGATTTGTCTCAACTACCTACATAAGTAAAGGTACCTGGATGAATATTTCCATCTTTTTCAAACCCCCAAGCCCATCCATATGAAACTGAACGTACTGGCATGCTGATGGTTGGCCCGACTAGCTACAGGTGCTTCTCGCCACACTCAACTACAGAGCCACCGGAGTTGACCATGCATACACCGTCCAGGCGTGTCTTAATTCTCGAAGCTGCCCCCTCTCTGTTTGCCAATCCTTGAAACTGCATCCGCTAATATTGACTCAAAAGACTAAATTACCTTGGGACACCTGTTGACCTGAGATTCTGACAATCGCCGAGCCTTATTTCGTCGCTATGCCAGTACACAGGGTCCATGGATGGACTCGGATTCGGAATGGCAAGAATCAAGAGGCGGCATAGGATCAACAAATGCCACTCTCCACCTGCATAGCAGATGTCTTTGCCCCTCGTGGTATGGATTTGAGTCCAAATTTGAGGTTGATGTACCCGACTGTCAATCGAACGCAGTGTTGAACAATTGAAGTCTGAAGAATAGACCCCCGTATCCACCCGGAAGATCGTTCTCCCGACATATTCCCCTGATCGGCCTGGGATCTGCGTGAGCCTCATGTTTCGCCAGCACACGTGGTCGACTAGACGAGGATGTCGCCCCCTACAACGTTCATGAGACTTGCAAGTTAGTGGCAGGTTCTTTTATGGGGTTCGAATATCCACGTTAACCGCAACTCAGGTCCCAATGAACGCCGTACAATCAGTCGCGAAGATGTCGGCTTCTACAACGCGCTCCTAATAGGAGGTGTGTATGAACTCGCAGGTAAAGATATAGATATCACGTCTGCTCAATCATTTATTGCGCCTTTGAAATATTGCATCGAGAATCATCCGTACTTGAGTGTGATCGTCAAAGAGAAGCATACCGAGAAGCCAGCATACGAAGCAGTTTCTAGTATCGATCTCCATGACCATGTGGCTATACTGCATGAAGATGAGTCCGCTAGCGATGAGACTGCAGCGATTCAAAAGGCCCTGCCAGCAATACTCGACCGGCCATGGCCTGCTGATACACCGCCTTGGCGAATAGTGGTACTCCCTCTGGCGTCGTCTCATGATCGCACCGTAACGCGGTGCTTCATAGCTTTTTCATTCTCCCATACTCTTGGGGATGGTATGGTTGGGGTCGCATTCCATCACACGTTCCTTGAAGCATGGCGACAGAGCGCTGACACTGCCTCGGATGCCTCTTTCTTGGTCACCCCGTCGAGTCAAGCACTCGGAGAACCCTTCGATACACCTGATAGACTTCCCATATCTTGGAAATACCTTCTGGAGCCGTTGATAGCGGCTTATTTGCCGAAGTTTGTCGGCAAATTGCTCGGTATTCGTGCATCTGCTAGTACCATAGATGCTGGTACCTGGGTTGGGCCACCGATTTTCTTCGATCCCCAAGCTGCCCTGCAGAGCAGAGTAAGACTCCTCGAGATTGAGGCTCCGCTAGTCAAAAAGGCCCTGCAAGCTGCAAGAAGCCATGATACCAAACTCACTGCAACATTCCACCAGATGATTGTTCGCGCACTGAGCAAGGCCATCCCCAACCCTGATATAACCAACTTTGTTTCCGGAACTCCTGTGGACATGCGAGCTTCTATCGGAACCCCTAGTCTGACATGGGGCCTCTTTGTGTCTGGTATTTACAAGATGCATGCACGAATACCTGATGCGACTGAATCTGCCTTCTCCAAGGAGATGTGGGCAGCTTCAAGCTCAATGACCAAGGAACTCGCTGCATGCGGCGCTCGACTCCAAGATCAAGCTGTTGGCCTTCTGAGATATGTGCCAAACATGCGAAATTGGACACTAAGTAAAATCGGACAGCAGAGAGACTCCTCATACGAACTTAGCAATCTGCTTGCATTTGATAATTTGGATGACGGCGCAGAGAAAAGGTGTAAGATTACCAAGATGGTGTTCTCGCAACCTGGCAATCCTCCCAGCGCTCCACTTGCGTTCAACATCATTAGCGTCAAGGGTGGAAGCCTGGTGTGCACTGTGAGTTGGCAAGCCGGTGCCTTGGGTGTGTCAGTTGAAGACGAGCTGGCTTTTGTTAATCAGATTTGTTCATCGATTCGAGCTGATTTTGAATCCCTGGAAATTTGATTGATGTTGCCACTCGTTCCACCTGTGTATATTCGACTCTTTTGATGTTGTGTTTATATCTTTGAGCTTCTCCAGTACATAGTGGCTCGAGAACATATTTTAATAGAAGTAATAATTATGCTGAACGTTAAACAATGTGTGATGGGACAGGACTATCTGCGATATATCAACTGAGAAAGCAATTAGAGCTCTGAAAATTGATCTAGTGTCTACTGCTGAGGCAATGTGATCTATTCGTTTGATATATGTACAGCTTCTATAGGGAGTAAGGTGTGGCGTTATAGAATCATGCCCGCGTCTGATGCCGCATTATACTAAACCAAGGTCCTTATCTAGCGAATGCTGACAGGGAAGGCCGAGGGCAACATATGAAGGCCAGTTATCTGCTTTGACTAAGATCCCTCGGCCTACAAGGGGCTGCTAGCGCCACGATGTCACCTTACAGCCTCACCATCCAAAGAACCCGCGGCAGCCTTCGCCAAGGTCTACGCTTCCAGGCCGATTGTCATTTTCAAAACCCTCGTCAAGAATCTGTGACTGTATATTTTCAACCATGGGTCCCCCAGACAGCTATCTTCCCCCAGCACTGAGCTCCGACACCATCAGCCAGCTTATCGTGTCCCTGGACCTCCCCGCTCGACGTCCGTTGAACCTCTCCAGGTCACGGCGGCGTTTCATTCTATCTACTTGGTTCATTTCGCACCCACGGCTGCCATTACCCCGATTGGAACCACATTGGACAGCGTTGTAGTTCCAGTGCGCACAAACGCGGACGGGTCAGTTACCCTGGTGTTACGCGTCTCGGGCCGTCAACTACCCACCATCAAGACTCGCAATGAGGTCGGGGCTATGACATGGATCCGACAGAACACTACCATTCCGATTCCCGCCATTGTTCGCTATGACTCCAACGATCAGAATGTCATCGGCCATGAATTCACCCTCCTTGAAAAGGCCCCGGGGAAGAGCATTGATCAGATTTACGATACTCTGTCAATGGAGGCCCGGACCGAGTTGGTCCACCAACTGGCTGATTACCTGGTCGAGCTCCATGCACATCCATGGAAAGAAGGATATGTTGGCGGTTTAACCCTCACCGACGGAGAGATTACCCAGGGTCCCCCGATAGACGAAGATTTCTGGAAATTGCCCGATCTCGAGAAGTATTGGGCTGGATCTGAATCCCTCGAGTTGTTGAACCCTATTCCACCTCAAGGTTTCCCAAACTTCGTGGCTTTCACAGTGGGCTGTCTCGATCGCTATATTCATGCTATTGAGAGACATCCCTCGCTTGAATCACATAGAGATCTCGTTCCTTGGATTCGCGCATTCGCGATAGCTATTCAGGAGCCCAACAATGCCGATCAGCTCAATCAGGTAGCCTATGTCCTCGCACATAAAGATCTCCATTTCGCAAATATCATGTGCGATCCAGACCATCCCGACTGTCCTACTACCGCTGTTCTAGACTGGGAGTTCAACGGTGTCGTCCCCGCTCCGCGCTGGAATCCACCGCGTGCGTTTCTGCGGAATATGAAATGGACTCCCGAGGATAAAGAGGAGCAGGCCCGCATGGAAAAACTCTTTGAATCGGTGTGTCGGGAAAAGGGAGTCGGGAAGGTCCTTGAAGAGATGCAGTTGAATGCTCTCCAGCAGTCTATGCAGACTGCAGTGAATCATATTCGTGCCATTGTGGAGGTTTGCCCCCGCGGGCAGGCCTCAAGACCGAGTTGCCAACTGGCGTAGCATGGCTGAGGCGGCGATGGAGGCTTTCGGAGTCTGAAGTTACCGTTGGTAGCCAACCAGAGATAACTATATGTAGACAACAAACTGGTAGATTTCTTGTAGATGCGATAGCGCTTCCTCGCAGAAGGCAGTTACTGCATAGAAAAGGACATGGTGCTCTGTAGAAGGAAGAGTGACGGACGGTCAGAAATGGTCGTTTTAGAAGATTTAGATACGATCTTTCATATCTTTGACCGAGAAGATCACTCGCCCGTGATGCGCCTACTCATTTGAGGCTGCTTTCTTCTGGCAGGAACAATGTAGTCGAGTATTTGAGAGATCACTCCTGGTGGCAAGGAGTCGTTGCCAATATGGGCAAAGTCGTCGAAGTACCGGAAACCATTCTTCTCAGGCTCCGTGTCAGATTCTCGCCTCCAGCATCAGGCTATCTATATGGAGATACTTCGGAAGATACCCAATTCCAATCAAATTGGATCAATGATTGGCAACTATGGAGGACCATCTGCTTATCTACCGGTCTTGGTCGTCAATGCTAGTAGAACAACCCCAAGCCGACAGCGCGATTGGCCATCGTTCACCTGATACGGACACATTGTGTAGGTGAGCTACTACTCGTGAGCTTAGATATAACATTTTGTGAGATATCACTGTGGACTGCAATATTTTGAGGATAACGAATGAGAAGGCTATTCCAAAACCCCAGACACTCGTCTTGGAAAGCTACAATAGAGAATCAAATGTATGGGTTGAGCCTCGGAAGTTAGCACTCAACTCTCCGCGCTGCCCATTTCAGACTGTGTCTCTTAATCCAGCAAGGGGGTACTCTCATTCGCAGCACTTGATCCCTTAGTGGAAGCCCTCCGTTCGGCCTGGTCCTTTGATGGTTGGGCGCTGCTAGACTCGCCATGGCTGGGTTTTCTCGTCCCACCAGGGACGGACTTGATTTTCACATTTGCGAATCGAGTCTGCTTCGGACTAGTGGCCAAGTTGGAAGGTGCGAGATTATCGAGATGGCGTTTCTGTTCCGGAGTAATAGTATCTACATACCGACTGCCTGCGATTGGTGCAGTCGAAACGCGTCGAAGCCGAGGCGGTCCCGAGAGATTCTGGGGAACGACTTTCGTTGCATCTTTCGTGGTCCATTGGTTGTTCTTGACCTCGAAGACGTGTGGCGCTGGTGCCAGACGCTTGATCGATTTGTGGACATCAATGTAAACATCGGATTCGTCCACAATTTCCCTATATCAAAGTGGCATGGTAAGCAAATACTCCTTTTCCCCCTATATGGGCCGTCGGGGTCATGAACATACTCTCCAATCAACTCTTCAATAACATCTTCCAAAGTCAGGACACCCAAAGCACCTGATGTCTCCGTAGGATTTTCCGAGACCAAAACCATGTGGGAATGTCCCTCCTGGAAGTAGTTGAGAATATCAAGACAGCTTGTTTCCGGTCGGGTTTCAGGCAAAGTCGCGAGAGCAAAGTCGCCGACACGTTTGGCATCCTCTGGATCGTAGGTAATCAGTGTCTTCACCAGTAGCATTCCAACAAAATCGGACGGGTGATCTGGCGCGTGAATAGGAATTCTAGAGAATCCAGCAGACAGGATAAAGTCCATCATATCTTCGTCAAGGACAGTATCACTGGGCAGAATGAGAACGTGCTTCAGCGGAGTCATCACCCGTTCCACAGGCTTATCCTTCAAATCTAGCACAGCGCTGATGATAGTGACTTCATCCTCGATCAGTCGCTCTGCCGGTTGGGTCCCTAATGTCTTGTGCAAAGTGACAAGGGTCTTCAACCCAGCCTTCTTGTAGAACACACCGTGGTTTGCCCCCAGAAGCCAGTCCAGGAGCTTAGCGGTGGGCCAAGCAACGGGTGCAAAGAGAAACATCATAGACAAGACAAGAGGCGATAGATAAGCGCCGATGGAAAGACCATACCGGACGCAAACTGACTGAGGAATAACCTCGCCAAAGATCACTATCTCTCGAATCAGCGATAAAGTCCAAAACTGTTACTGCGTCGCAACTCACCGATCAACACTGTACTGCCCAGAATAGCAGGCCATCCACCCCCAAGGGTCTTGTCGAGGACAATTGGCAGGGTCTCATTGACGACCACATTGCCAAGCAACAGAGTGACCAAAACCCAATGCTTCCCCCTGCCCAAGAGGCGCAGGACAGTCCCAGCATGCTTCCTTTCGCGTGCTTCGCCAGAGGTTGCAAGAACTTGCAGATGAACTGCATCCTGGCCCATAAGTCTGCAGGGACAGTCAGTCATCAATTATTTGGTACTCCGTACATGATGTTGAACATACGCAATGGTCAACCCAGCAAAAACACCGCCGACCACCACCAGCACAATTGCTGCAGTCAAGTCAAACCATAGCTCCGAGTCACCTTCATGCGCACCGGTGTCTTCTTCCACGGCGACCGGCGCAAACTGGCTCAACGGCGAGGCCCGCGACAGTGGGAACCTTAAGAGCAGAGACAAGGCAAGGGTCCAGACCAGAGGAGATCCCAGTCGCGACGCCATTCTTTGGCTCACGGGGAAACAATCACCACCTGTTACTGCTCCGAATATGTAGTCCAATTATTGATAGCTATTCAAGCCACCTAGTCGATACGATGTGCTGGGAGGGATGAAGAAGAAAGTGCCGCGGCTGCCTGGTGGAGACTCTCCGGCGCGTGTCGGCCGACGCAGGTGATTTGGGAGAAACAACACTCTGGAGTGCTAACAACGCCCAACAGACGCATCCCCCGGTTCAAATTTCGCCAGAAGAGCTCTAGGGGGCCAAGATTCTAATCTAAGGCCTTTGTAATTTTTCTTTGCGCCAAACCCTGTCTTTAATAGTTCCTAGTGCTTATGATCGCTGCCCCTTTCCCCGTCACCAAATACATGACACGTCAGAATCCCCGTCTTCTATCCTAACAATTGAAAAGATGTTATTGGCTTTGCCAACTGAGTGCCTGTTGCAAGTTGCAAGCGAGCTCAGGTCGCAGAACGACCTGAATGCCCTCATTTCCACTAGTCGACGACTCCATGGCATATTCAACCACTCTTTGTATGAAGCCGAAATCGGCTCAGACGGAGCTTATAGGGTTATCAGCTTCGCCGCTCAGAAGGGTCATACACAGACAGTACAGATGATCCTCAAACTCAACGCGAATAGACCCGACAAGTTAAAGAAAAACCTGGATCCAAACAAGCTGGCCTACGGGCGTCCTCCAAAGACAATTTTCTGGCCTCCCCTCGCCTGGGCAGCGGTCAGGAATGATGAGGTGATGGTTGAAACGCTGTTGAAAATATCAACGATCAAAGTCGATATTAAATGCCCAGCTGGTCGCACTCCGTTGTCGTACGCAGCGGAGGGAGGACACATTGGTGTTGCGCGTCTGCTTCTGGATGCCGGTGCAAATCCAAATTCTGTAGATAAACTGGGTCAGACAGCACTGCATTGGGCAGGATCGCCTGAATGGGTGGGATTGCCTGGAAAGGATTCTTTAAGGGATCATCAGCACCTCCTCTCACCAAAGCTCCTCCCCTCGTCTGCGAGGGGAAAGTGCTTTACGAGCCACTGGTTCCTCTCCCACTTGCTTGGCCAGATATCGAATATTGGGAGGACCTCTGCAGCTGCCCTAAATCTAGGTCGAAGCATAGGGATTTCAGCTCCTCTATTCCGCCATCAGCACTGTCTGCGGGAAGGTACAAGGATATCGTCACCCTCTTGCTCCAGCACGGGGTTGATATTGACATCGCAGATTCGGAGAGCCAGACATCATTGACTGCGGCAGCTGCATGTGGCTACCAATCTTTCGTGGAGCTTCTGGTTGATCACGGCGCTGCCTTGGACTACACAGACAAAAGTCGTCCCTCTCCGTTGTCAAGGGCAGCAGAGTTTGGGTGTCTGGTTACGGTGAAATATTTGCTCGATCGAGGCGCCCTAGTGGACTCTGATCCTAGCAGTATGAGCATATCACCCCTCGCCTTGGCAGCCATGCACGGACACGATGAGTGCGTGGAGATCTTGCTCGAGCACACCACACAACGAGAGACAGATCTCAATAAGATGAATTGGCAAGCTTTGGTGTGTGCGGCTCAGTATGGCCATGTAAGAACCGTTTCAATGTTGCTATCTGCCCACTCTCGCCTGTGGCCAGATCATTCACTTGGGTCCATGGCTGTCTTCTTCGGGGCCCATGAAGGCCATACTGAAGTGATCAAATTACTTCTGGCTGCTGGCGCTGAGATCGACCCTTGCCCTGAAAGATATGATCAAATGTCATGTTTACACGCAGCAGCCATGAACAACCATCTCGAGGCAGTCAAGTTTCTTCTCGATTCAAAGAAGATAGACGTGAATAGCAAGGATGCGCATGGTTGGACGGCTCTTGATTGGGCGGAGAGATGGTCGCGAGGTTGGTTTGGATCTGAAGGTGAACGGGGGTCTACATTGGTCAAAGAATTATTATTGGATCATGGGCTTGAACTTGGACAGACGGAGATCGAGGATATTCACCCGCCGCACTATCTCGCTCAGAGTGATTATCAGTGCGCATGTTCGGGGCCAGCTGAATGGCCTATCTCGTTTCGTTGTGAGCGGGAGTCGCTGGCTGAGGCCAAACGCAGCATCAGTCCTGAATCATCCACTGCGTTATTGATGAAACAAGAATCATCAATATAAACAAATCTCACCAGCATCGTTGGACTGCGGATTGGGAAGAGATCACTACGAACCCCTCTAGGTCTACCATCCAAGGCAGTCTGGGTCATCTCAGTACCTGTCGAAGTTGCCCAGCTTGCCTAGATGGAGTATTGGATATTACTGAATACAAACGTAGGAAGATATGGACAAACCGGCCTCCCGAAAATCTGAACGTTTTATGCTCGCAAGCATGAATAAAATGACCCAGAATATATAGATTGGGGTATATAAGAAAGTATCAAAGGATCAAATCATAACATCACATCGCATACCACGAAACAAGCCATCTCCTCGTAACCCAATTCCCAAACCAATGCATCGCCACCCATTTATTTGTATGGCTCCGGAGAAAACACCTTCTTAAGACGGAACCGCGACAAGTCCCGAACAACCTGTGCAGTCTGCTTCAAGTTACGCTTCACAATAACCGAAGTAGGAAGTGAGAATAGCTCATCAATCTCTTCAAGAGACTTGTTTTTGGTCTCCGGCATGAAGATAATCTGGTATACCCAGCCCACGATGGCAATACCGCCGTAAAAGCCGAGTGTCAAGCCAATGCGCTGCATGGATTCCATCATTCGAGTGAAGTTGTAAGTAACGATAAATGAGCATAGGAACAGGTTTGCATCTGCGGTCGTCATTCCATATGAACGCAGATACGTGGGAAATACCTCCGAAGGTATGACCCAGGTCAAGCAAGCATATGAACCGAAGAAGCCCATGTACAGTACAATACCGGTGAGGTAAACTCCCTGCGCGGCGGCCGGGTATTTGACAAAGTCGATGGCATATCCGACGCCGACGAGCACAAGGCCGATGAAGAAGCCCGGAAGCATGGCATTGGCCCAGTAGCGACGACCGAAGCGTTCCATGTACAACACAGCTGGGATAGCGCCGATCAATAGCGCTCCGCCACCGACGAGAGACATGAAGACTGCATCCTTGTCGTTGAAGCCGATGGCTTGCATCAGAGTCGACATGTAGTACATAACCGCGTTGACGCCGGTGAATTGACCGAGGAAGATCATGATATTGGCATACACCATGGCGCGCCGCGCACGAGGCACAGTGAAGAAATCCATCCATGCGTACTTCTTTGTCCGTGCTTGCTCTTCGCTTTCGGATGTAACGGCTTGTCGCATGCCGAGGAACTCGTCTTTGGCTTCGAGATCGTTGAATCCGCGGATCTTTTTCCACACTGCGTATGCTTCGATCTCGCGTCCCTTGTGCATTAGGAATCGGGGACTTTCGGGGAGGAAGAGCATTCCCACGAAGAGGATGGTCGAGAATACGAGTGAGGAGCCTAGGACGTAACGCCAGTTGCCTTCCACGCTGACGAACATCGCCGCGACTGCGTAGCCGAGGACTTCGCCTAGGGCGATGTTCAGTTGGTAGAGGGAAACGAGGTTACCACGGAGTCTGCGGGGGACTATGGGACGGTGGGGTTAGATTTGGAGACATATCCTAGTTCGGTGAACGTGGAGATACATACCACACTCGGCAACATAGACAGGAACAGTACCACCTTCCAAACCGACACCAGCGCCGAGAATGAATCGGCCAGCGAAGATCATTCCGAAGTTGATAGCGCCAGCCTCCAGGGCAGCTCCGATGGTGTATAGAACGCAAGAGACGATGATAGCCATACGACGACCGAGGTACTCGTTCGCTGGGGAAAGGATAAGGGCACCGGCAACAGCTCCAAGCGGCATTCCGGCGTTGACCAGACTATTATCCGCTGAGGACAAGTGCAGATCAACGGGGAGATAGAGGTTTGCACCGCTGATGAGCGACTGATCAAGACCAGATAGCATACCACCCATCGAAGCGAATGCGACGAGAATATAGGTGAATTTCGCCGGGTTGGATAGAGTCATCTCAAACCGGGACTTGGGCAGGGTGTACACCTGTTCTTCTAGCTGGTGAAGCTCCGCATCCATTGCGGCTTCATTCTGATTCTGGAGCTTTTGATCTGCCACATCGTCTATCTCGAGGGGGACAGCATCCTTCTCTTCGTGGTGGGCATTGTGAGGTGCCTCGATATCTTTAGGGTCGGTCATGATTGACGAAGCCCCGTTCTAGCGAGATATCTGTGTAGGAACGGTCTATTGGAAAATATGAAGTATAAAAGTGGAGTGAAACCGTCACTTCAGGCTCTGGCGGGGCAGGGACCAGAAGTGTTGGAGAATGGAAATGGAAATGAAATAATAAATGGCACCATCTGGCAGACTGAAGGAGAGGGGGAGAAACATAAGTCTATTTGAGGACAGTCCCGACGATGATCGGGACGGTTGTTCGATATTACGACAAAGCTCGGTGTGGGGGTCCGGCGAAAAGCAAATTCAGAAAGCGCCTGGGGATGCACTAACTATTGGTCGAATCATGACACAGACCAAGTTCACCTGGAGTACTCCGTACGGAGTATGCACTCCGTACTTTCCCATATGTGGAGAGAAAAGGTGGAGAACCGGGTCCAACCACTCCGGGGAGATCAGACGTATTGAGGAGATGAAAGGGAAGAACGAAAACGCGGGCTCACCGGGAGGTCAAAACAGGACTCATGCAGGCAAATACGCTGCATGGCAGGGATCAGGAATGTGGAGGCATCAAGACCGGGGGAGGATTCAAGAGACACATCGGGGCGCTGGGCGAATCGTATGCCATCAAAGCTTATGTCGTTCGTTCCAGGGAGCACGACCGTTAATCCATGGGCAAAGCGGCCCTCAGACCTCAGATTGACATAGATGTCATCGCATAAGGTCGGCATACTTCTGGAATATTCCCGGCTTCCCGTCGATGTTGCCGGCACAGCGATATCTCGTCTGGGTATACATTTTGTAGAGCGAAATGGATTCCGTGGCAGAAGATTCTCCCGACAGTCAAAGTGAAACCGATCAGCTAGCAAGTGAAAATGGATTGCATATCATACGGGCCACATTTCGGACATAATCCGGAAGGGGGAAGACGCTAGAGCTGAGTTGGGGTCCCCGTGGAGTGAATTGCTGTATATCGGAGACACTTCGGGGAAGATAGACACATTGTGACCAACCTGTTTGGTCAATGAGGCTTCAGGCATGGCCTTGGATTCGTCAACAGTCTTCTATGTTGTACCTAGCGCATATGTTGTAGTCTGTGCTTCACAAGCGGAGGGTGCTGGAAACCAGCTTCTGCATCGCCTAGACCTCGGAGAAGGTCACGGCCCCCAAGCAAAACACGGGAGAACGCCGTCGGGGTCGGATGGGAAAATGCGGGATTTTTCCCCCAGCGCAAGCCGAGATGATCATTCGTTACTGGCGGTGCTTGGCTTGAGTGGCGTACGCCAAGCAATCCCGGGTCGTGAGGCCCAATCATGGGGAAGACATCGCATATCTTGACTCGTTGTGATGGTTAAAACGTTGATCCCTACCTCATCAGTGATATGAGCAACTTGGGTGTACTCCGGACAGAGTACGGAGTACTTAAGACTGAGTTTGGAGAAGTTGCATTCAGCCTAAACTCCATATGCCTGAAGCTCGGGGGGAAATGCCAGGTTTCTCGAGTCTACGCTATTTCTCAAACAACACACTCTCTACTCTTATAGATTTGAATATTTGAATATTTGATCATGCTTAAATTAACTTTGCCGCTAAGATATGTGTACACATGGACAGAAAACAGATAACTCCCAGCGCCATGCTTTTCACTACACTGTTGTACGAGATGAGGCCAGTCCGCTTCTCACCGTCTTCCAGACATTCCAACCGGCTTCCGAACACTGGGGTCGACATTGGGACTGGGAGACCTTCCGCCTTGCAATCGAGCTCGCAGTCGTTCCTGGGCAGAGCCACCGCCGGATCCAGCACGGTCCAAGTTCGGACGAGCCTGAGAAGACTGGTATGACCCAGAACGTTGGCTGGGCAATGGTCGCGCTCCAGAAGGGTGAGGAGAGGCTGAACCAACAGGCGAGTGGGACTGAGAATGTGTGAGGCCTGGGCCGGGCGAGGGGACAGAGCCCGATGGCGCGCTGTTAGCGGTAGCGAGCGGCGGTGCGTTACTACCCCGGCCGCGACGGAGGCTGGCTGTCTGCGGGTGCAATTGAGATGTAGGGGCGTCACCCCATAAATCACCCAGACCGCCACCCCGGCCAGAGTTGAGGTTGGAAGGTCCTTGGTTGTAGCTCCCGGAGGGGAGCTGTGAAGTCGCGATGGTGCGGGTAGGTGTCGGAGCAGGGCCCTTGGGGTCTTGTGGGAGCCATGGGGGAAATGGGCGGCCCTTTTCAGTGTAATAAGCTCGAAGAGCGTTGGAGACGTGGGAGCAGTCTTCGTTGTCGGGGTCGTCTCCCTCGTCACCGAGCGTGATGGCGCGGCGGAGATTGGTGAGCCGCGAGCCCAACCCAGAGATGGCTGAGGAGGTAGACAAGGATGAGAAGTACGAGCTCATATTGTTGCAGGGGAATGTTGGGGTTGAGTAATGTGTCTGCAGAATGGCAGCTTGGATGCGGGGTGGGGTTGTCTCGGAGCTGGAGCTTTGTTTGTGGGGAGGCAATGCAAGGGATGCAGGGTTGGAGAGTCGAACAAGAGATGAGGATGGTTCAATGGTTGTAATAGCTGTATTAATGGGTGTATTAACAGAAGAACCGGCTTCTGGGGTGAGATGGAAGTCGTTCAAAGGAGAACCAAACGGAGAAGCTGTGGACCTTCATTGGCCAATAGTCGCCACGTGATCATATGTTTCACTTTGACAAGGCCACCAGGGCCATCTTGTTGCAAATAAAATACTCAACAGATTTGACTACTTGAAAAGATATCAAACGGTATGATTGATAATAAAATGGGATCGTAAGTTGTAGTGGATGCAATATAACAGGGTATGATGCCCGATCACTAGCACAGAATATAAAACAAAAGAATTGACAACCTAAACGCCATGCAAGATCAGGTGAACTTTTCCCAAATCCTCTAACAGCGACAAAATCATGCCATGAGCTGGTCCTTGCCAGCACTCTCGGTCTCGTACTCGATCTCAATGCGGGGGCCCTTCTTGCGAGGCTTCGCCTGGGGAGCGGCGTGCTTCCGCTTGGTACTAGGCTTGGGCTTCTTCTCATCCTCGCTAGGAACTTCATCGTCCTCGCTGTCCTCATCCTCATCGCTCTCATCGTCGTAGTCGCTGGAGTCATCAGCTGAGTCAACACCCAGCCAATCCTCCATATCCTCGAGGTCCTCCTCCTCGTCGAGGTCGCTAACATACTCGACCTCGCCAACACCCTCTTCCTCCTCATCCTCATACTCTTCACCATCATCCATATCCACATCACGCTCACCGTCACCGGCACGCTCAAGACCGCGGAGGACCTTCTTCCAGATACCCTCCTCAACGTTGAGCGGCCGATCACCGTAAGCACCACTGCGCAGACGCTCGATAAGCTCGCGCTCAATGGCTCTCTCGACCTTAGCGGCGGACTCGGCCTTGCGCTCACGAGTCTCCTCACGACGGCGGACCTTCGGCGCCAGCTTGGGAACAACCTTCTCTCCGAGGCGCTCATCCTCCTTAGCGATGTTCTTCATGCGAATGTTGACCTGCGTCAGGCGGGTGAGACGCTGCTTGCACTTGTGGGTCAAGAACTTGGGCCAGTAGATGAGGCGCTCATCGACCTGCTCGAGGGCTTTGGCGTAGTTGGAGGAGAGGCGCACACGTTCCCACCATTTGCTGGGCATATGGGCTCGTTCGACGGTCTTCATGTAAAGATACATGACGCCTGTTTCGGGGTCGGTTCGCACTGTCGCATATCGCGAGTTGGCCAATGGGCAGGACTGGCGATTGCACAGACCGCTGACGTTGTATTCATTGCGGCAGAAGTTCTGATCTTTGGTTGTTCTACACGGAAGATTGAAATGATTAGTCCAAGATTCCTGTTTTTATTGTCGATGCAAAATGGCCATTGAAGGATCTGCGGGCTGGATATCCAGCGACTGTAGATAGATACTCACTTGAGCTTGTAGGAGCAGAACTGCTGGTTGATCACTTGCCAGACAATTTCGTCAGACATGATGGGCAAGAAATTGGCAACCGAAAAAAGTGGTTGGTCTTCGAGGCTATGCAGCGGGTGTTTGACCCCGAAGAAAAAAAAAAGATTCGATATGTGTTGACCGCCTGCCTGAGTAGGAATGTCACGTGCTTGCTTATCGGTTTTGCGCAACGTCATTGGCGGAACGGGCCTTGGCATCAATTTCCTAACAACCCATACTACCGGATTCTGGGTGCTCGATCGCCTACGCGATATAGATGGTTCAGAATCGAGTATGGCATCGATAGTAATGTTGAAGCTATCAGAAAACTTGGCTTGATTCATTTCCACCCCAATGAGCCAATCATTCTGGTGCAACTGGGCTGGAATTCTTGCTAACTTGGATTGAACGACTACTCTAAACAACATGGAAATATCAACCAGGTCTCTACAAAGCTTGTGTAGAGCACAGCCCGTATATAACATATATACTTACTTGTCCATATTGTATAGAGCATCAAATGAACAGAATATAAGTAGATATGGTAGAAACATGTTTGCTGTGAACCTATGGCTGATATATATGTCAGTCGTTCTTAGCCATCAACATTCTCCTGAATTGTCCACATATTTGAACAAGAAGCATGGGCACGGAACAACTTCTATAATGTGTATGTGTATTTCAATGGTGAATATAGGCATATAGACCTACGGGGTATTGCCATGTGTAGTCCTTTCGATAGGGGGTTGATTGATGCCAATCTTTTGCCTCCATGTCGGAGGAACTGGGATACTTTTATCAGACATCAAATCCAGGTCAACCGAAATAGATTGACAATTCTCCGATTAAATGGAGGTGACCTAACGCCAGATGCGCTCTTCAGAACAAGATGCTAAGAATAGATATACAGAGAGCCACGGGATACTAGATCGGTGGTAAGTCGAGCAACGAGAGTAAAGAGAGAGCGAAAAAAAAGTCTAAATGAGAGAATCGCCAAGATGCACCGAATCATGAGAAGCACCAACTCTATCCACGGACTTTCCGGTAACTCGGTGGGCGCCACGATTGTTTGATCATTTTGCCAGCCCAGACGGGGACAAGGGACACAGCCAGCACAACGACAACGCGCCACAGCCAGTCGAGAGTGATCACGTAACCAAGGTCGAAATATTCGCCTAGGAAAGGAACACTACCAGCATACACAAGCAGAGTGCCGATCAGACAAAATATCATGACTGGATGCCAGGTTGTGATTGCAGTTGCGACCATGCCAAGCTCGTTGAGGACGAGGGCTGTGAAGGAAAGACTGATGAGACGCGGCCCTGTGATAGTGTCCAATAAGATCTGGGAAAGACCCTGTATCACTGCACCCTGGTACACAGAGATTAAAATCCAACCGAAGAACGAGCGGTAACTAAGACTCTTTCCCGTCTTGAGCTCCTTGTAGAGCTCTGGATAGAGATTAGCAAGGCGCTCGTCCACGTCTCGATCAAAGGCGAGTGAGAAAACTGGTGCATTGGTGTAGACAGTTGCATATCCGACCATGAGCCAGTTGATGAACAAGCCCTTGGGATCGAAATGACTGGCGATGCTGTACATGGTCTGGCAGACACTGATGATCAAGCCACGATGCATAATGAATTGTGCAAGTTTGGCGGATCGCTTGTACGAGTTGCGACCATGCCAGACTAAAAGCTTAGTGATGTGATGGAACTGGGTGATGCTGAAGTCGGCCGCGAGGGATGCCTGACGACCTTCTTTGCCCACGATACCGATTCCGACATCGGCTGATTGAATCATCGAGACATCGTTGCCGCCGTCCCCAATACAACAGACACGTTTCTTTGTGTGTTGGCGAATAAGGTCGGCAATCTCGGCTTTTTGGGTTGGGGAGCATCGGCATGCGATCACAGCAGGTAGTAGTACTGCAACAGAGATGAATGCTGTTTTGAACTGGCCGAGCATCAGGTTCAGGGACTCGCCATCAATCAACAGACAACAGTCAGTCTTGTTGCGCAAAAAGTCAAGGGCTTCTTGTGCAGTTGACTTGTCCGTCATTTTGGTAACGGTATGGATATACTGGCCCCGGGAGACTAATTTGGCAGAAATAGCGACGCAACGTGCTGTCTCCACCTTATCACCCGTTAGCATCCAGATCTTGACACCAGCATTGCGTAGCAGCTCTAGAGACGACTTGACGTCGCGTTGCAGCCGATCCTCCACGCCGGTCACACCGGAAAGCTCTAAATCTTGTTCGAGATATTCGCTCACAACCTTCGCCATGCCAGCATCTCGCCCTTGGAAAGACAGTGATGCCTGCTTATACTTGGCAGAGAAGACCTCGTATTGCTGCGCGGAGATCCGTTTGCGTCCAACAACAAGCGTTCGCAACCCTTCTCGAGCCATATTTGTGGTCTCCTCATCTAGCCAGTCATTGGCTGCAACAATAGATGTCATGACGGTGTCTGCACCCTTCTGATAGAACCAAATTTCACTATCTTCTTTGTCGGACTCGAGCACATTCTCATTATGCTGAAATTGGACAATAATTCCCATCCGCTTGGTGTCAGATGTGAAGGGGAATATGTCAAGGATCCGAGCACGGACCACGACCTGCTGGGAGTCCGTAGATTCCAGGACGATACTCTGTCTATCACGATATGCTAGCTTTAATCCCACCTCTTCGGTATACCGAATGATGGCAATTTCGTCGGGTGATGATGCTTGATAACTGGTGATCTTCTGGCCATCTTCCTCCTCCGTGGTTGGGGTGACGTTGTGGCAGAGGGCAAGCGCCAAGATGATATCCCGAACCCGAGAGCCAATCTCTCTTCTTGCCCGGGGCGCTGTGGCATGACCGGCTTGGGTTCCAAAGACAGTTGAGGGTGTTATCAAGGTCTTGCCTGAAAGGGCGAAGGCTTGACGAATAAACGACGAGACTTCGTCCATTGCCTCGTTGGCGTATGACACTGTGCCAACGTGGATCTTTTTGAGTTCCATTTCATTTTGAGTCAACGTGCCGGTCTTATCTGAAAGCAGATATTCAATCCTTCCTAGATCTTCTGGGATTGTACTGGTGCGAACGACCGTTCCTGGGATATCTTTGTCCCGTTCGATGAATCGGCCATATACCGACTTGGCCATGTCTAAATTGACTCGAAGACTCATGGGAATGATTGTGGAAAAGAGAATGAGATAGATCATGATGGCAACGTACCATTTCTTATCGTTTGTTGGTTCGAATCCTTCCAACCCGACAAGAATGATCGAGAGAGTAAGTGTGAGGACGCAGAGAATTTTGGTGAGGTTGTTGATCTCGTATTCTAATAGGCCGACCTTTGACCGGGAAGCGGAGGTCGAAAGCGAAGCCCGGGTTTGAGATCCTGTGTAGATGATCACAGCATAGGTGACTGTGTTAGAGGCAAGGACCGTGTTGGCCCAAGCGGTATTGTCGATCGTCAAGGGAGATGATTGAGTTTCCTCAGGCCCAGATGTTCTTCCATTGTCTGGGGACCCGGATGATTTGTCAACGTGAGCATCATAGAGTCCCGTGGGTGGTCCTAGCCCAATCGTTCCTACAAACTCATTGACTCTCTTATCAGGAGCACTAGCTGTGACATGTAGGCGGCAAAAGTCATCCAAAGGAAGCGATTGAGACAACACAGAGGGCAGACGGAGCTTCCAGTCAGTTTCACCGTCCAACTGATCAGTTCGGATGAAAGTATCACCTGAAAATGAAGCTTCAGCGGACTCGGCGGTCTTTGATGCGGTGTTGGTTGCGGGCTCGGAGGACCCCTGAGCTGATTCAAGCAAATCGGAAGGAGCGCTAGGAACACTCTCCTCCATCATAGAATGGCGAGGGCTACCAGAATCGTTCGAAATGCTCTTGAGAATCACCACATCGGCTGGAAGACGTTGATTCTTGCGGACTTTGAGCACATCGCCAACCTTCAAATCTCGTGATTTTTTTGTAACCTCCATGGCATTGGACCTTCCTAGCGCCACGGTGCAATATTCCTCGGCGTTGGCTTCGGCATCTCGTCGCCGACGACCGATATCATCGAGCGCCTCTTTACCTAATGATACTGAAACCACAAAGGCTAAGGGCGCAATGTAGGACGACATGTAACCAATTCGCAGCACCGGGATGACCTGTGATAAAGCCACCAGTAGAAAATAAATGTTGAAAAAGAAGGAGAATTCGTTGTAAAGGGTTCTCGGTAGGAAGCTCCAAGGTGTGTATTTTGCATTTGAGACCACATTGGCCGGGTATTTAGCAGTTTGGTACTGCCCGACCAGCACTTCACGGGGAGGCTGATTCACAGAGTTGGTATCGTTCGATCCAAGTCGATTAGAGGCACTCTGCAGGAAGCTGGGAGTTTTGAATCCAGGAAAGCGCAAAAGGCTGCGCTTCTTGGGAGGCTCGTCGATGAAATCGCGAGTTGAGGCTCTGCGGTCTAAGAGCGGTGCATCATCATCTTCCAGGTTGCGGGAGCTAGCATGTGAGCCTCTCAAGCCTTGTTCTTCCCCATTCTCTAACAGTGCTTCGGTATCATCCTCTAAGTCCGCGCGTCCAGACGCGCTACGTCTCCACCGACTTCCCGCCCCGACACGCAAGTTACGCAGCGCGATGCCCGGTCCATAGTTTCTGCTGCGGCCAGTATAGTCTCGGGATTCACGAGACTGTTGAGGTGATGTTGTGCTTGGGTCTAGCTCCTCTAGGTCCAAGTCGTCGTCCGAATCGGAGAAGCCGTCTCGCGCATCGGAATGGTCTAGGGGGTGTATGTAGTCGGATGAGGAAGGCATTCTTGGGAAGCTGATATGGGTTTAGATCGAATTAATTGCCGAGTGGATGCAAGCTGATGCTTCTGGACCTTGCATAAAAAAAAGGTTCATCTCAGGTATATGTTGTCATGTGCGATGGTGGCATTGATCGAGACTCTCATGCGGCATGACGATGAAAGAGTGTAGGGAAGCTGCGGGGAACGGAATAGGACACGAAGCGCTCTTGTGTCTGAAACACGGTGAACGCCACGACCATCAAAAATTCAAAAGGAAATCCGCAAATGGTGAATTGCGCTCTATCTTCTTCAAGGACGATCGATAACTGCCTGTTGGGCCACGCAATCACATGAGTGCATAACTCTTGACCGGGGACAATGTCTGGCTGACGTAATGCTGCACTTTTAAGGTTACCTGGCATAAAGCCGGACTATTGGATATTCCGCACACCGGTTTGGGTTTATCCTATTTGGGGGAGCAGTCTGATGACTCAGCGCAATTTGGCCCCGGGGGAATCCATGATCATAGGCTGGGATCGCCTTGTGCTGTCGCATTCCAAGACGGTCCGACAGCCTTTTTTTCCGTTGCCATCAACTGATGCATTCATGATCGATTTCTTCTTTGAGTTTTTTGCTCTGTTTTATATCTACACTGTTTAATGGATTCTTAAGTTGACGTCGAGACCCCCTGTTCTCTTTTACGATTGTTGATCTCCTGAGGCGTCATTGGAGACGTGTCAGGTTGATCCCTCCGGACTGCCCCCCATTTCCAGTCAGTTGGCAATCGAAAACCACGTCGCACACATGGCACACCACGCGACAGAGAATGACTCAGAGTCATGGAACCCGGCATTGCGGCCCGAGAATAATAACACACCTGTTGCGATTTCCTCCACACGGAGTGAACTGTCGGACCCGATAGCGGCGGAGCAGCCAAAAGACGAGTCCTTAGCCGATATCATATCCCCACAAAGTCAGGATATTTCTGCGTGGGATATGTCCGATGAGGTAGACGCGACCAAACCTCCGTCTACGAGCATGGACATCCTGATGAACAATGCATCACCAGTGGTAAACCACGCCGCATCCTTGAACACCGACTCTGCCGATAAGGGCAGTCAAATCCTTGACGACAAGATTGACTCAGTTACTAGCACTGTCACACCGTCCGGTGAAACTACCGATGCCGCGTTGAATCCCACCTGGCCGTCAACCCAACCTGAGGCGGCCGAGCCAGTTCAGACTGAGGCATTCTCTATTGAAACCGCAGATACGGTCACTGATAAAGACGATTCACCCTCCGCTAATACACAAATCTCACATGATGTTGCCCCCACCGTTTCTTCCGAACAAGAAACCGCTCCGGAGTCGACATTTGTGAGCGACAGTACACCCTTAAAGGAAGAGAACTCAGCGGCAGCCGAACATTCATTGGATACACTTGAGCATGAAGACATCCCTCAGTCAAGCCCCTCCGATGAGCTATTCCCACAATCCAATGAAGAAAACCCCGGCTCCGAAGATCCATGGGCCAGCTTCGAGAAGGACATTCGCAACACGCTGCCGTCCCCCGAAGAGACTACGTCTCCTATCGAAAATACTCAAACCATCTCGGAACTCGCCTCGACATCTGCTGAACCAACGTTTGTCGAAGAATATTTAGATCCCTCGGCGGAGGAAAGTGCAAACACAGGCACTGCATTGGACGAGGAGAGCAGCGATGTTATCAATTCCACCGAAAAGGCTATAGTTCCGACCGAAAATGGGTTATCTGATCTCGAGTTTCCCTCAATGAATCTCGGGGACGAGAAACCCGACGAGGCAAGCAGAGTTTCAGAGGTGTCTAGACCGCCCGACGACGCCCATCCAGATGCCATCACAACGGGAGAGGGTGCAAGCTCTCAGGCTCAGCCGCTTTGGGTAAACGAGACGAGCGGTGAAGTCAACTCCGATGAAGACGATTTCTTTGACCAGCTCAAGACGCAGACCAAGCCTATATTTGCCCCGCCGGAAGCTGAGTCCAGGTTCGAGGAAGGGGTCCCGCAATTGGGTGAATCTGCACCAGCTTCACCTCAAAATACACTCGAAGGTGGAGAGTCTATCGATAACGTGTTCTCAAACGACGGGGATGATGTAGATAGCTTCTTCAACTCTGGCCCACAGCCGGCGGCTGAGACAGATGGCGAGGGCTTTTTTGGCTCTATCACACGGGAAGAAGCAGTGGAGGATCCAGTTGTTCATCTCGCCCGGAAAAGCACCTCACAGGTGTTGGAATCGGCTGGTTTTGCTCTTGACTCCCCAGTTAGTGACGCTTCGGCTGCAGCACAACTTGATGATGTTCTGAAGGCTGCGTCGTCGCAACCACAAACAACGGCCGATCCCTCGGAGGAGGACCTAGCCGCACGGTGGGAAGCTGAACTAGCTGATTCACCAGATGATGACCTGGCTGCTCGTTGGGAAGCGGCGTTAGATGATGACGATATATTGCTAGAGGTGGAAGCCACGCAGTCTGTCCCTGCTCAGGAGCCTGCTTACCAAACCCCTGTTCAGCCGACCAACGTTGATTTGTCTGGTGGCTTGAACAGTCCATTCCAGACCCCTCAGCCTCATTCTCAACCAAGGGCCGTTCCCAGCATATATACACCCCATCAACCGTCAACTGGTGATCTATTGCAGGGGATTCCCCTGCCAGGAAGCGAGGCGCCAACCACAGCAGCCATGCCATCATACTTCTCGCAACCGCCACAAAACCCGGTATCAAGCAGAGGGGAGAGTTTTGCTGAGCGGTCTAAAGAAGGCTATAAATCTCCTTATGACCTTCCGGATGATATCTCCCGTCCGCGGAAGCCAGCCGTCTCCCACAAAGCTGTTCCTCTGGCTGTGACTAATATGCCTCCCCCTCCTCCCCCGGCTTCTGGCCTGTCGATCCCTTTGGTGCCTGGTTTCCCCCTCCGGCAGCCCCTCACTCTGCTCCCGTTCCTCCCCCTGCGCCAAAGAATTTCTACGAAGAACTCCCTATGGCGCCACCAAGATCTCGGCCTGCTAGCTCAGGAAGATACACTCCTAACCCACAGGCGGTTCCGACAATGACTGGGACATCTCTTTCTTCCCCGCCTCAGGCTCAATATTCCCCAGCAGCTCCACCACCAGCCTCGCAGCCTCTTGGTCTGCCCATCCAATCCACACTTCAGTCACCCGAAAAGCTGGATCCGTACGCAAGCTTAGCCTCGAGTGCCTCAGCTGGTCCACCCGCCATTGCGAGGTATTCTCCACAACCTCCTAGCTCACAAGCACCATCAAATCCGCCTTCGTTGCCGAGATATTCTCCTGCGCCCCCTCCTGCCTCTTCGGTTCGTAATCGTTATGCATCACAGCCACTCGTTGTTCCTGGCCAGAATTTGCCTTTCCAGCCACGAACCTCCAGTCCGCTTGCACATCATGAGAAGCTTTCCTACCAGCCCGATCAATCGCACAAGCCGCCATCCCTGGAGCCTGCGATCAATTTGTCTCCGCCGCGCGTACAAGCCGCCGCATTTGAGGCCCAACCTAGTGCTCCGCAGTATCTCAATGGCTCTGCTAGCATAGCACGGAGAGAAAGCACTGGGTCTCCCCATACAAGCATCTCCACCCCAAGGTCGATATGCCCCTCAGGAATATCTTAATGAATTCGCCCAACGTCTTGCGCCCGCTTCAGAATCTTCACCGCCGCCGGTGGCACCGAATGCGCATATGGCTTCACCACCGAACGATATTCAGATGGCTCCCCTCCGCAGATCTCAGACCCAGTCACCTGGCCGGGAAATCCTGAGCCCACGTTCATATGGACAGAACATCGATCCTCTCCAACGGCCAGCCTCAGTGCATGTTACAGGCTCGCCAACTAAAACCGCGAGTGCGTATGCGCCTATGCAGGCTGTCTCTCAACCCCGTGCTCCGACCCAACACTTGGAATTTATCCCTCCCAATGATGGACAGCAGCACGATCCTTTGGGGCGATGGAAGGGTGCTCCAATTTTCAAATTCGGATTCGGTGGATCCATGGTATCTTGCTTCCCTAGACATACCCCTCGCTACTCAGCCGGTCAAATGGCACCGATGATCCAACCGACCCCTGGTGAACCGAAAATTTTGCAGTTGAATGAAGTGCTACCCTCTGTTGATACTATTGTCCAGCATCCTGGCCCGTTGAAGGCAAAATCCAAGAAAAAGGACTTGGTTGCATGGCTTTCCAGCAAGATTGCAGCCTTCGAAAACTCAAGTCTTCCTAGTTATGAGCAAGTTCGATTGGATACCCACAAGCGCCACGAAGAAAAAACCCTTTTGTGGAAGGTTGTGAAGCTTCTTGTTGAGAATGACGGTAACCTGGAGAGTTCTCCAGAAGTCCAACAATCTCTCCGCCAGGCCATCTTCCCCAATCTACCCGCGGCGGACGCAGATGGATCATTCACTAGCAGCTTACCTGTCTCGGGGGTATTTTCGTCTTCGGAAACGCCCTTGCAGCCTGATGCAGTTGACTCTCAATGGTTAGAAGAACTTCGACTGCATTTGATCTGCGGTGATCGTGAGAAAGCCGTCTGGAGTGCTGTCGATCGTCGTCTCTGGGGCCATGCGATGATCCTTGCCTCCACCATGGATAGATCGATTTCGAAACAAGTCACGCAGGAATTTGTTCGCCGCGAAGTCAGATCTAAGACAGCAAACACCGAGTCACTTGCAGCTCTTTACGAGATCTTCGCTGGCAATATTGAAGAAAGCATCGACGAGCTTGTGCCTCCATCGGCTCGAGCAGGCTTACAATTGATTAGCAAGTCTGATGGCCAGGGCTCTACTAAAAACGCCCTGGACGGTTTGGACAAGTGGAAGGAGACTCTGGGATTGGTTTTGAGCAATCGAAGCTCTGAGGATCACCAGGCACTTCTTGCTCTTGGTCGCCTGCTCTCATCTTACGGGCGAACGGAGGCAGCTCATATTTGCTACATCTTCTCGCGTGCTGCTGTTTTCGGTGGTCCCGATGATCCACAGGCCAACATTGTTCTCCTTGGTGCTGATCATCAGCGCTGCCCTTCGTCCTTACTGAATGAAGATTCTATCTTGCTTACTGAGGCCTACGAGTATGCTGTCTCTGTCCTTGGCAACTCTCCGACGGCCCATCTCCCACATCTGTTGGCATTCAAGATCTTGAACTCCAGGTGTCTCGTTGACCAGGGTCGCAATCTAGAGGCGCAAGCCTACTGCGAGGCAGTGGCAGCGGCCTTGAAAGCGACCACTCGCCCCTCGCCTTATTATCACCAACATCTCTTTGCTGAAGTTGAGGAGCTTTCCGCGCGTCTGCGGCAAACAACCAGTGACAGCGGCTCTTGGATCTCGAGGCCGAGCATGGAGAGGGTTTCGGGTTCAATGTGGGCTCGTTTCAACAGCTTTGTCGCAGGTGATGACAGTGATGGTGCATCGACTGGATCCGGAAAGGGTGGCGAGCAAGGTGAATTTGGTCCTTTCGCAAACGTGGCTGGGACCCCTACGATCAGCCGTTCCCCGTCTGTGTCTGATATCTACGGTTCCTATCCTGGAGTTGGAGCACAGCCCATTCATACTAGTGGCGGATCGAAGTATCACCCATCTACTCAATATGCTCCCAACGCCTCCCCAGAGCAGTTCAAGGGTCGATCTTCGCTAGATTCTCAGAGATCTGTTTCTTACTTCCCGCCCGTTGGACAGCGCCGCAGCTCACAGGAACTCTCGCCCTCCATTGAACAACAGATGTCCTTTGTGGCTCCCGTGTATGGGTCACCAAATGCGCCTGCGTACCAACCAACACCGCCTCAGTCATCTTACGTTCCCCTTGCTCCGGTAGAAGAAGCTTTATCACCCAATGAGGGCCCTCCAGCCGCACAGCCTATGGTAAATGGCCTTTTCTACCAGCCTCCAGCACAGGCTGCCGCCCCCAGCGAGTCTCCCTATTATCAAGGTCCCCCTGGTATGCCAGCTGGTATACCAGCCTCTGAGTCGCCTTACGCACCTCCAATCCCGACCTCCTCTTATGAGCCTGTTAGTGCCGGTGTGGAAATGGGCGATGTGCCCCATCAGGAGGAGAATATGTCACCTGCCATGGAGCAGCCGAAGAGGAAATCGATCATGGATGACGACGAGGACGATCTTGCTGCCCGGGCTGCGGCTCTCCAGAAGGCCGAGAATGATCGCAAGGCAAATGAAGCGTTCGCGAAAGCTGCCGAGGAAGATGGTAAGTCTCAACAATGCTCATCGCGTTACACGGGCACTAATTTGACTTCTCTTGCAGCTAAAAAGGGTCCCCAGACATCTGGCAAGAAGGGCTGGTTTGGCGGCTGGTTTGGCGGAGGCAAGAAGGATGAAAACCACTCCGGTGGCGGTCCCATCCGAGCCAAACTGGGCGAAGACAGCTCGTTTTACTATGACAAAGATTTGAAGAAATGGGTTAACAAAAAGGATCCCAATAGTAGTGCGCCTGTCCGTTCTACCCCACCCCCTCCTCGCGTATCCGCTCCCCCGAGCCGGACTGCCAGCTCAGGCAGCATGCCACCAAATGGGGCGCCTTTAATGCCCCCAATGCCGCCGATGTCGGGGGCTGGCAGCGGCCCTCAATCTTCTTCAAGCGCGGCCTTGCCCCAATTGTCCTCCAGCCCAGGCATCTCAGGTCTCGCGCCTCCTCCTTTCCCTCGCTCTGTTTCTACAGGGGCGGCTATGCCAACGCCACCTAGCAGTTCCGGCGGACCACCACTGCGACCATCGTCGTCCTTGACTCATGCCAGCTCGATTGACGACTTAATCGGAGCACCTCAGGCGCGCAAGGGCAACGCCGTCCGCGGTAAGAAAAAGGGCCGTTATGTTGACGTGATGGCCCAATAATCTTTGGACTTTCTATATGAGTGACCGATGATATAGTACTTACTAGTCACCCGGCTGGCTAAGTTCTATAATACCCTTTTCTTTTGTTCTATTACATTTGTTTCATTTTTATGTTGTTTTGCTTGTGTTCCCATGACTGTGTTGATGAATCACTTCCCCTACCCCTTGAATAATATGACCCCCTCTGCTAGCTTTGTCATTGCCCCAGCATCCTGCATGTGTCGCGTCCCTTGCCCCGGCAGGCACCCCATTTCTGCATCTTCGCCCACTGAACTTCATCCCAGAGCCCTGCTTTTGCATATAGCTTGATTTTTGCTGTTCCTTGGCGCGGTCTCATCCATGGAGTCGAGGGCTCGTCCTCCTGGCATTATGTATATCACCCTCTTCCCCCTGCTGTTCTATTCCGGCCTGGCATTTTGTCCCTCGCTGGAAGCTTTCGGATTTGGAGGTTTCTTCCTCCATGAGCTCTAGCATGCACCTGTCTTAATAACGTTTTATAATAATTCATTCGAACCTCTGATCATCTGAACCTGAACTTTTAGAAGATGGATATCGCAGCTTTAGATTCACCATTGCGTCATGTGGTGAATGAATTGATATAATACTAGATTTGCATGGCCATTAACAACTTCGTTATTGAAGGGAGGCATTCCTTTGGGGATGACTGACCGTTAAACATGATTCCTCCCCATCTCGAGTGGTTGGTAGGTAAACGTAAAGAACAAGTGCCATCTCATTGATGAAGCCTAGTCATAACAAATTAGAAACAAAGTCAGCATTGATCCCAACAAGCGCGATTCGAAATATCATCCCAGCGTAAGACAACTCACAAGCCACAACCTTCGGACTGAGTCGCCCAATACTCAACACCCGACTCCAGTCCTTGCCATCAATCCGCACCTTGGCCCAACCAGACTCATCACCTTCCCGCGCCTCACGCATCCGATTAAGCTCACTGGGAAGCTGTGACATTTGCTCCTGGCTCATCTGCGTAGGGTCCAACGGCGGATTCACAAGGTCGGACCAGACACTCGCGATCCGCAGCTCGTCCGTGGCAATAGCTAAGCGTAGCGAGCCATGCATGTTGGCAGATAATTCAAGCTTTGGCGATGAGTTGGTAGAAAGTGCCGTGGCACCTGCATTAGTGCTGAAAGATGTAGAGTGCATTCCCGGGGCATCGGCGGCCATGATGTCCGGTTGGCGACTTTTAGTGTCTGTGGATGCTAGTTTCGTGAACCGATCGGAAATGCTCTTTAAGTGGGCGAGATTGGGCAGAATGATGTGTACTTCTGGGTCTGGACAGTGCGGCTCATGTAGGCCTTCCACTGCTGTCTCGTGTAAGATCTTGATGGGGATTTCTTGGGTAATCCATGTCTGGCGCTCTCTGGGTCCTCGATCCCCAATTGTGTCGGCTGAGTTTGTGGCTGCTGGGTCGTCGTTGGGGTCGAATTGGTCATTGCTGGTGGCCAAGGCCATATTTCCATCTGTCCATTCTGATGAGAGGACTGTTAGTGCTAATAGTGGGGTTCTATCTTTCTTAGTTAGGCGAATTTGTGCATGCGCTGAGCCCCAGCAAGAGCGCAGTGCTCGGTTCAGGACGCTGATGTTGACTTCCATATTAATAGCATCGGAATTGGATTCTAGTTCGTAGGTCGTGTTATCAAAGATGGTGCCCTGGCAATTGATCAATATAGAGATCGTGATACGGGTGAGCTTGGCTTCTTTTTGCATACGACTGGTATTGATGCCCACACTTGGGTGCCTTGATCGGGAATGATGGTAAAGCGGACCACGTCGGGCTCCAGGCGCATCCAGCATACCTTTCCCAGGGAGGATAAGGACGCGGTTAGCTCTAACTTGGTTAGTTTTTTTTCTCTTTGTTCTCGAGGTATTACGTACTGGAGAAGGTCTTGCTGTCTCTTATTTGTGTTCGAAACCGCATTTTGTGAGTTGATGTCGGAGGGAGAAGGCCAGGCTACAGTGCTTATCGCTATCACGCGTTTGACCTCTTCTCAGCGTCCTCAGCGTCCTCAGCGTCCTCAGCGTCTTCCGTAGAATTTGCAGAAAGCTTTCAGTTCTATTGTACCTTGCTATATCTATTCCTCTGTTTCACATTCTACTATCTCATCCGGGCTCAGGGTCAAGCACGCAGCCAAAGCTGCTCCCACACCAGATCCATCCTCGGCAGCGTTCAAGGCAATGAGATCCAAGCTGTCTGGGTCCCAGTCAAAAATTTCACGAAGAGCCTGTGCTGATCGACCCTTGAACATGCTGTATTTATTAAACACTGAGCCATCCACCCCGACATGACACTGCCGGATCCCTTTCTTCTTGCAGATGGCCGCAATGCCGCACGAGTAGAGACGCGCCGCACGCGTCGCGATCAGGCCGATAAGGTATCGGATGGCCTTCAACTCGTCCAGCGAGGGCTTCAGACCGAGATGCTCCTCGAATTCTTCTTTCATGTCAGTGAGACTGTCTGAAATATCTAATTCGGCAGTAGACAGAAACGATGCCTCCAAGGTGTTCTCTGTTCGAAGGCGGGTGACATCTTGGCCCTTGAACAGTATGCCTTGTTCGTGCAAGGTGACCATGACCAGGCGCAACATCTCCCCTATGTACAAACCAGCCACCATCTTTTCAAATATTTGGGTGCCTGGACGAGCTGACTCCTTGTCAATTTGGTAGTCAAACGGCGTCAGGGGCAGCACCTTGCGCTCGTTATCAAATGCGCCGTACTCGGTGTTGATGATTACATTTGCATCTTCGGGCAGCCCCGCATCGCGGAGCTTCGGGATGTCCTGACATTTCTCCATATATGCTGCATTGCAACCGGTGCTGAAGATGCTACCGATCGCGATCTGGGGATCCCGATAATGTGATGCAACGAGGGTTCCCGCCGTGTCGTTGATCAGCGCAACCACTTTCACCGGGACGTGCTATTCCAATCAGCTACCAGCCTCTTGGTAGGTGATGGGTGGGGCTTGCCTTTCTTGCCAGTGCTGCCTCGAACTGAGGTACTACATCCTTGCCTTCCACCCCGGCGACAGTGAAGTTTTTGGTCCAGCGCTGCAGAACACCGCTTCGGATAGAGTGTTGATCGACTGGAAAGGAGAAAGTGAACGATAGTGGCAGCGGTTTTGACGGGTCCATCTCCCGGTGACTATCCTTGAGAAACGATCCGACCCGATCCGCAATGAAATCCCACAAGGCTTCGCTCGTGGATGTCTTGACTTCGTCCGGAAGTTTATATTTCCGCTGAGAGTGTTCATAGTCTCTCTTTCCCCCAGAAAAGCATACATCGCATACACGCAGATTAGTTCCCCCCATATCAACGGTGATAACGCGTCCTTTTTCACGGCCCGTTGGGTATCCCATGATCCATGTGACGTTCATGGGCTTCAGCACAACATCGAGCCTTAAGTCAGCGTCCTAGGAATTGGAATCATATCCGGTCAATTGATACTGACGATAGTCCCGCCTTCGATTGAAAGCCCTTTTTCCAGCTCCTCCACAAAATGGGCCGTGATCGCCTTCAATTTCGACCCATCCACCATGAACCAGTCTTCGTATTTCCTCAATTCCTGAGTGAGCTCTTCGGCCACCCCTTCCAACAGCTCTGGGCGATAGCGGAACCCTTGCATGATCATCCACTGGTGCGTAGTTAGCGCTCTGTAGCTATGTTGTGCCTCAGCCCTGAAGCGCCTCGGGGATATTGCCAGGGCCCTCAGTTCCGAGAACGCCATGATGACCGCATAGTGATTGGCAGTCGAGATCAAGCGAATAGGGCATTTGTTTTTTTGTTCTTTTTTATGCTCTGTCATTTATTCCAAAAATAATTGGGCAAATATTCGACTATTCCGGTGGCTCCTTGCATCTGACGATCGCGACTATTCACCACTAGCTCCCCTATTTTGGGATTGAATATCAATTGCACGGTTAACCAGCAAATCCTGGGTTCCCCTTCTGTTTCCAAATCCACCACAAATCAGCCTCATTAGTTCCCATCCCCAGATCCTCACCGTACATTGGGACTCTGTACTTTGTACGCGAGTAGCCAGTGGTCAGTCCCCATAGTGACGCGGATCTCCGGCACACGGTGGTTCGTGTCGGCAACTCCACTAGGGGCCCCTGATCGGATCTCCACTTCCAGTCAAAATAAATTCATCTTCACAAAATCCTCCGACTAAAGTATTGAGAGCAGCAAGCCGGTCTTTCTGTTCTGTCCCCTCATTTGTGCCCACTCTCCCTCTCTCCGCACTCCTCACTTCTTACGCCCAACCCCCCCCTCAAACCTTTGTACTTCGACAATCCCGTCAACTTCCCAAACTCGACCATCGTTTTTACATTTCTTTTTAATCTCTGTCTCAAGCTACTCGCTTTGCCAGTTGCTATACTTTATCGAATCGCGCGTCTCAGCATGCGGGCTCGACAGTCCTCTTTCCCGCCCTCGTTCCGACCCCCGTCACTTACATGCCATCCTCGAGCCAGTCGAGGCTCTCTGTGACTTTAAAATCCGACCTAGAATACACATCTCTTCGGCATGGCCGCCAGTCGAATAACTCCGAATCGCCCTTCCATCCGCCTCTCTCCCGTTCACTCCCGAAACAACTCCCGTTCGACTTCACCCGAAAGAATCCCCGGTTCCATCTTCCAGCAGCTCGACCCTCTTCTCGGCAACCTCTCCCCAGAATCTACTCTCCGCGCCCTCACCTCCACCGACGTGGTTCCTTCGAACGAACAAGGCGCCCATGATATCCTTTCTCAAAGCATCTCCCAGGTGTCGCCGACGGAACGCGCTCTCGGAATTCGCGCCGCGGTAGCTGCCCAAAACTTAGGCCTGTGGCATAAGGAGGTTTTATCATGGCAATGGCCAAATCAGAGCGACGCGAAGGTCGGAAAGGGCTTCATTCCTTTGCCCGAAGCGCAATATGCAATCAATCCTTCTCCGAGACTCTTATGTCTCACGAGCAACCCGGTGGAAAGCTACTATGGGAGCTTACCAGCCAGCGTGGTCGAGCGATATGAGAGTAGAATCGATGAGATACGCGACGGAATGGACGATCTCAACGTGGAAGAATTAAAGGAACACGTTTTGAACGCCCACATTCCATCAAGGTCTCGGCCCTCGTCTGCCACAAGCTGCGTGTCTGTGCCTCCGCCGCTCAGTTACGTGCAGCTCAGCGACTTCACAGCGGTGGTTACCGCGACGATTTTGCGAGCTCTGCCATACCTATCGCGTCTCAATACCTTACTTTCTACCTGGGACGTTCGCATTTTTGTTCTACGCCAAATTCCCGGTCTGCTGAGGGAGCTGACCCTGACCCGATCCGCCCTTGATTCGTCTCTCCACGCGTTACGGACCCCGCATTCTTTTGCCACGTATGAGAACCGATATAGTGATTCATCTTTGTCCACTGATCATGTCAAACTTGAGTCCGCCGTCGTTGCTGTCGGCAGGCGGATGGACCGGGTTCTCGACGCGTTAGAAGGCCGTCTGGATTCTTTACCGGAAGAATGGATTGATGACCTAGAAGCCATCGAATCCGACTTTGCTGCATGGGTAGTGGAGGCTGAAAAGTACAAGGTCCAGACTGAGTGGATCCGGTCGAAGGCCGAGGCTCAGATCGCCGAGATGCGCGCGGCCGAACAGCTTCAACGCGCAAAGTCACTGGAGAAAGCACATCAGGACCTCACGCGCGATGCAGGCATTTCTGAACCTGCGGGACATGAACCACAGCTCTTTCTAGAGCACGCTGTTCAACATGAGGCTGAACGCGAAGAAGACAAGAAACTTCCCTCCTGCGACACCAACGCAACAAATCCACAATCTGTTGAACAGCCAACGGTGTCATCCGAGGGGTCTGCTGAGAAGAACGGCTCGCCAAAACTCTCGGTCTCAACCTCTCTATCAAAATCTCCAATCGAGGAGACACGAGAAGATCTCACCCCTGTGGTCACGACAGAGGACCTAGAAACACCAACACAGTCTGACTTTCCACCAGCCCCTGCCATCAGCCGACAAATATTTCCAACTCCTGCGCATACAACTTGCGTCCCTCTCCCTGACTTGGAAAACAAAGAAAACATTCCTCCGCCGGGCTTACAATCTCTTGATGGAGCTGGATCTCCTCCCATCCACGGTTCGGCTAAACCAACCCCAACCCCATTTTCTGAGCATCCAGCTTTAGCAGCAGGTTCTTGCATTCAATCATCCACTGAAGTTGAAAGTGATGCTCGGCTGCCTGAGGTTCCTATTTCGATTGATTTGCCTGTCACTGCGGAACCCCATGTCTCTGTTGATCGTAATTCGCCTGTTGAGACGATGGGCGATGACATGGGCAACATATCGAATGGGGTGGAACAGAGGGTTGTCCCTCATCCTCAACCAAGCGAAGTGACCCCTAAGTCTACAAATTCTGCCCCCGGCCAAGATACCAAATCCCAGAGCATGGTAAGCCAACGGAACGGGAACGGTACTCCGGTGGCAGCAGGTATCTCTCCTGTTCTTACACCCAAATCGGAATCCCGATTACCAAAGTTGAGACAGTTTGTCCGAGCCTCTCAGATCCCAATGGCCATCGGGTCCCCCAAGTCGTGCTCAAGCTCAACTCCCATCAAAGATCAGCCTTCAACTGAAGGGCAAGCAGAAGTCTCTCAGCGCACTGTGCGCAAACCTCTCCAAAGCCCCATCAAGCTTTCCAAATCCCGCCTCGGGAAGCTTGATCTCAATAAAGATGTCAAAGCAGCGCCCACAGTTATACGCCGTCGTCGGACATCTACTGGATCTGTGGGCTCCTTGCTTTCGGATCATTCCTCTCTTATGTCTAGTCCTGAGGTGCCTGAGCCACGCACCGCTTCCTCGAATGTGACTTCGCTTAGTACATCGCCTCTACCGGAACCTAAACACCACCATTCGCATGGGGACTATATCTTGAGAGAGGATCACCTGCGTCGCTTGGACAGTCAAAAGCCTGATCCGCGAATTTCATTCCAGCAATCTCACACGGTCAGTTTGCCTCTCGAGCGCTTCATCAATGAACGGCTAGAATTAGGACTGGGAGGGGAGCCGGTATCAGTGGTGGCTGGTGTGAAATCATCCATGACACGCTCTGTCACACCCACCGAGTTCCCGCAGGCCCCTAAGGTATGTAAAGTCCATTTTCCCTTCGTTTATAAACCCGTGTCTAATTGATTATTCCAGTCTCGAAGCAAACCCACACCTCAGACTTCTCCTGCGCCAATTGCACGGGTCCAACATCTCACAACTCGTCATCCTCACCTATCTCGAGGAAAGTCGGCAAGCGATTTGCACTCTCAAAGCGAGAGGGCGAAAATTACGCAGCCGAGCGGAAAGACCTTTGGGACGAATTCCGCCCGACGAGCCATGGAACACCTTAGCCAGCCCAAGTCGCTTCGCTTGCGACAGCGGCTGACTGCCCACCCAAGCCTCGAGAGCCTAGGTATGAAAAGACAAGAGCTTTCATACGTGGAAGAGCATGAATCTGAACTGAAAGATTATGATTTCCGCGCTGCGTCGCCAATCAAACACTCCAGACAACAACCGCGAGACCACCTTGATGAAAAGATCAACTCCATTCTGGATTCGTTACCTGGCCATATCCATATGGTCGACCCCAACCAGGAAGCAGACACATCATCTTCATCATCTTCCGTGGACAGACGAACACGGTACCGGTCCGAGTCGCCTATCGCTCGAACTCGGAGCACCACTCCAGCTCCTTCTTTGACACTGAGAGCCGCCGGCCGGGAGACGGCATTCCCATGCCTACAAGACCGAGGATAGCTGTGTCAAACTCTATCACCTTCATCACGGAGGGCAGGCAGCACCTACAAAACTGTTTGTTCGAACTGTGGGCGAGGAGGGGCAGCGTGTGATGGTTCGTGTCGGCGGCGGATGGGCCGATCTAGGCGAATATCTTCGCGAATATGTCATTCACCACGGTCGCCGTAAGGTTTCTGAAACGCCTCGCGTCGAGGTTGAGGGCATAAAAACACGCACCTCACCCTCTTATTCCTCTCCAGGAACTATGCTGACCCCTTCGACTTCATCCTATCTTGCCTCCGGTCGAGGTACGCCCTCACGACCGGCATCCGTACTCAGTTCTCGCCCACCTTCATCGCTTACCGTTCACAAGAAACGACGAGGCTCAACTGCATCGGACGTAATGGGCACCAGAGCACTGACCACAGGTCATTTATCCTCCTTCGCCTCACCACCACCTTTTCTCTCTCATATCCATTCCTCCACTGGCAGACGCCTTTCGATGTCCTCGGCCTACTCGGTCGGAGATAACTATTCACCCGCCAACATCGCGGCTGCCCTTGCATCCAACGACCTCCGCTCCGCCCCACTAGGCCTAGCTGGTCCCAAGCCACGTTCTCGACTTGAGTCCATGAGCCCAGAAGGTGAAGCCTGGGTTGAAGATGTCCTCCAAAAGACCCGCCGTTCCAGCTCCCAGCCCCTCCCACCCCAGTTCGCACTAAGTCTCCCACCGGACCACGATGCCGACGACCAATCTGAGATTGGTGACGGCAGCGTGGCCGGGCACTCCTTACCCAAGGTCCGCAGCATTGGTGATATCAGCTCTTCCGGCACCAGCCGACGAGTCGTGCTCAGAGGCCTCGGGAATCGCAGGTCGTAACTTCCCGCCAATAAAACCCCCATATTTCTTCGCATCCATACACATTCTGATACTTGATTCCCCTTTTCTGTTTCTATTTCTCTGGCTGTGCCCGTGACTGGGGCTACAGTAATCCTTTTTTTATACCTTTTTTTTTTACCTTTTTCTTCGCATCCTGGGCTCTTAAGCCATGGACATATACGGCCACTAGACAGTACATGTTCTATGCTGTCTTTTCATATCTCGGGGTTTTATCTTCTCTTCTACTTGCATCAGCGTGGCGAATCTGTTCTCACTTGGTTTTGTGTTTGATTCGGGATTTGGTGTGGTGTTCGAGCTCAACAATACCCTACAATTTATCTGGTCGATAGATTTATATTTACATTTACAACACTATTTTACATTGAATACTCTTCTACGGGCTTATACACACCTCTAAAAGTCCATGCTTATTCCATTAGACTCTGTCTGAACACATAGGGGAAGGCAAATATCATGCATTCAGTGCATCTAAACTTACTACTTGACAACAAGAATGATGGACACCCTGTCATACAGGTATATTTACAATTCTCCCCTTGAGCCTTGATCGCCCCGATCGGTTCCTAAGAGCGGTTCCCTCTCCGTGCTGTCCGATTCCCTTCGCAGTAGCATCTAATCCGCAGGGGAACTCATTATTGCAACTCTCTTTGGAGCAGTGGCCTTCAGTATTGCTGCTGCTTTGATGGAATCGCACGCGTGTATAGATCGAGACTTCCTAGGAGGCTAGATGACAAAATCTAGGGTGTCCTGCCAATTTGCTAGATCCTGTCGACTATATCGTCGAGGCTTACGAAAGAGGGCTCAGAGAGAGAGGAGAGAGACAGTTGAATTGGGAAAGGAGACGAGGCTCCCGACTATCTATCTGTTGGGGTGATGTCTGGCCATCACGGGACCCTGTCTCAACAGACATCGCTGTCATGACGTCGGACTTGTGGATGTCTGTGCAGAGTTTGCCATGCACGTCGTATTTGCTCTGTTAGCGCCAGAGTCCGGCTGTTAAGTAGGAGGGCCATCCGTCACGGCAATCATGTTCGTCTCCATCCTTGAAACGGATACCGCCAAGGGGAAAGAGGTTTGTAGGAGGAAAGTGAGAATTCTCACATTGAGTTGACATCACTTCGAGTGACGTTTGAAAGGCGATTGGCTCGGTTCTCACCCTGATATCTCTCACTCATTCGTGAGAATTTCAGACGATCGGGGCGTCTCGCCAGTAGAGAACGTAGGGGTGAAAGGTGTAATCTCCCAGGATATTTCCTCGGTGCCTCTCTAGCAAGATAAACTGCAAGAGAGAAACGTCCTTGATACTGCTTCAGGATTGTTGGGACCCCAAAAGGTAGTATCGAATGCGTCTCTCGTGTAGATGACTATAGGACCTGAATGGTTCCTATAGTTCCTCACATGGCAGCGAGGAGGTCACTTCTGTCGTATGTCCACATCCGTCTGCTAAGGATTCGGTCCCCCGAAGGAGATCTCGATATCTGGGCTTGGGGCATATGAAGAGCTGTTCAAATTTGAACCGGCTCGTCCGACTGTAGATATGACCTGTTAGGATTTCATTTCCACAGGTGGGAAAAGGAGGATGTCTGACGTGCTCATCAGCTTTTGTTCTATCGGGATAGCTGTTGTCGGACGGGGTATCAAGGTGTGTTGGGAGCAACTCTGTAGACTGGATAGTCAGTCTGAGAAAGCAGAAGGGAGGGAGAAGAAATGACCCTTTAGATACAGAGATCTTGAGAAGTCTCACTATCGGACACTGTAAAGTCCCGAGGAACCCACTGTTCTCAGCAAGTCGGCTGATGGAGAATGAATTCAGCGTTGAGTTCATAAAGCCAGTGGTCTAGGCTATATAGTAGAAAGATGGCAAGTAGTATGGACACTTAGTTGAACTGAAAGTCCAAATGATGGAGATCTCAAATTGTCTTCACTTTGACCTGATGTTTGAGTCTCTCTCACCTGCACTTTGTATACCAGGTCGTGTCTAAAGATGCTCAGGTCTATTATTGATCAGAATATATAGGAATTAAAACTATAGAATTGGAACATATAGACGATGTCTGGCCGGTATCAACTGTAATCATAAGCGTATTCTCAAGCAGATGTCTACTGTTATCAATGTCCACCCGACGAGCAAAGACGCATTATTATAACCAGAGCCCCCGTACTTATCACTACTCAGTCTAGATGTGAAGTTGAAGCTCTTCTAAACTCCCACCCAAAGCAAATAAGAATCACTAGTTGTAGTTGAATGTTGGTTGACAACATTGCATTTTCATTCCAAAAAAAACAAAGGTACAGGACAAAGGTACAGTATGGCAAAACACCCTAGTCCATCTACTCGACAAAGCCAAATCACCAGAGATGGTAAAAGATATACATGAGAGGGAATCATAAATCATGGGCTATGGTTAGCCGGAAACTTGAAGAAAATGAACGAGAGTCAGTGCGAACAACGGAGTAGGTCTAAGAGAATATAGACTTCTCATCAAACCATGGTGCAATCACGAAGTCGGTTGGCGTTTCCATGGGATGTCTTTCCGAAATAATTCGCGCAGCGCTGGAGAGATTACCTTCGGCTTATCGGCATCAATTGCCCTTTGAAGAGCCGAGGGCCCGGCGCTGACACCACTGCTTGCTCCGATTGTAGATTCGGGGGACTTGCCCTTGTTGCTGGCTGAAGAATCCTGGCTAGTCGCGCCTGGCCGACGCTGGTGGGCACTTGGCGCAGTAGGAAAGTTATCCTTCTTGTCGATGGCTTGCACGGAACGCTCGAAACGGTGGAAGAGTGATTCTGCGGGGGTAAGGATGGGCAAGAGCTCCATTGTGTTGGACAGTTCGTTAACTGGAGATGGCAAAGTCAGCGTATTAAAAATCGACTATTACTCGCAGGTTCCAACGTACTGTATTTGAGCACTTCGTCAAAGTGCTTGAGATGATCCATAATGACATCGCGGTGCTTCTCCAGTATCGCTAGCGCAATGAAGAGATGGAAACTGCTGGAGAAATAATCCGTCCACAATGTTTCCCATAAGCGCAGGACGTCGCTCCAGTCGAACTCTCGTTTATACCACACCAACAACATGCGGAAGAAGAAAAAGAAGTTGGTGCTCTCGGCGGACTGCAGATGCAAGTAGAGCTGGGGGTCCATGAGCTGGACGAGGTTATCCAGGGCCAGCAGCTGGCCGCGCATTCCAGATTGATCGCGAAGGAAGTTATGTTCCTGTACAGCGAGGTTAATATGACAATATGCGGTAGACTGCTTCGTAAAAAGGAACATACCATTCGATCCATGAACCCGACGAACGCCCAGAAAGCGACAGCGTCATCTTGCATCACGGCATAAATTGGCGCCAGGAGATCACTCATTCCTTGAACATAGCCCAAGTCTGGGTTAAGTTCGTTGTACGTCAGGAGCATGTCCTTCATCTGCTCCAGATGCACATTGGTACCCGTCTCGGCAAAGGGGGGAATCGGGATCGGGATGAGGGATATCTTCGCCCGCGAACAAAGGAATGTTCCGGTCGGTGCGGTGAACATCCTTTTCTGTAGCCATATGTAAGTATGTGACATGTCCACGGGGCGAGTGTAGTTTCTGATCTCACCTATCCGATTCTTCTGCTCTTTCCAATGATCAAATTCCTCTGCCGTTGAATTGCCCTCAACCATTCTCTCCCACCACCCGGCCTTCAACCGGATATACTCATCGCGCTTGGAATTCATCATCGCTAGGCGCTCCTCGCGGGTACTATCCCACTGATACACCCCGAGAAGGAAAAGCCAAGCCTCCTTCCTGACGCCATCATTGGGATCCAAGCCACCATGGAAGACCCGCTCCTTGACTTCTTCCACTGTCACTTGAAGTCTGCCCGATATGGGGTCGAAGAAGCCCTCCCATTCAGCCAGATGGAGAACACGGCGTCGCTCCTGGAGAGCCAGGTTGCCGGTCTCCAACTCTAGGATCTCAAAGTCACCGACGGAGCTATTTTCCATTTCCAACATATCTTGTGCAGTCCATATACGCTGATTTCGCTCTTTATCGCTCTGTTCAGCAACACTCATAGCCCAGCGGGCCAGGTAGACCCTGGCGCTGTCAAACTCATCTTGCAACGTTTGAATCTCTGGATTCTTCATTAGGCGGCGCATCTGAGGCGGTATCAGAGAATTTTCTGCAATATCATTCGCAGTCCTTCGCGTGAATGTCGTGATTTTGCTGAGCTGTTCCAGCACTTTCCACCGGGTTTCCTTGAGAGTCTTCATGAATGGATCCATGCCAGCATCGGGCGGCCCGGCCCGGCTAGACCCAGCGGTAGCAGCTCCAGGATGTGCCTTGGATGAAAACGATGGATCACCATGGTTCATCGGCCGTCCAAATGACAGTGAATCTTCCTCCGATGGGTTGATGAGGTAGACGTTGCGGTCGACTGCGGAGCGCTGCACCTCCGCATACTTCCGTAGCCACCGCAAAACCTCATCACCGCCCCAGAACAAACCCCCTTCATTTCCAAAGGGATCGAAGCTTTCCCTGACTCTCTTCTTCTTTTGTAAGATAGTTGACTCGCATTCGTCATCATGGAAGAATAGCGCCGGGAAACCATCGCCTGCTCGGGTGTTGATCACTAGACTCCCGAACCACCATCCCAAACTTGGCGGTCGTACTAAGAGCGAATATATCTCTGATAGCGGGATTGCAAAGGAATACAACCCGATGGGATCTCTGTAGGAGGTAGTGGTCGGAAGTGGCGGAACGAGGTATTTCTGGCGCGGCGGGGAATCGCCTTCGCAGAGATCTACTTTCACATACGTGTCATATGCCTCTCCAAGGGAAGACTCCGGAACCCATGCGAGCAGGTAGGAGGGTGTATCGGGGTGCTTGGAATGAGGTGCGAAGGCATGTGATGCGGGGACGGGTTTTTGCTGTATGAGGGCGATGAAGCCAGGGATATTATCTTTGGAGGAGGAAGTTGGATGAACATAGACCTAAATCATTGGTTAGCCTAATCTCTGTATCCGGGGGAATATCTCACTTTGCTTTTGGAGAAGAGCAGCTTAACCCCTCTGCTCGAGGCAGCCTGGGCGATAGTGTTGTATTCATCTTCCTCGTCGTCACTCATGGCGTAACAAGATGCTGGGGGTGATGGTGTAGGAGGAGGAGTATATTTGACCGAGCCCATGATACAAATGGCACGAAGGTTGCAAGGTCACAGGGTTGCGAGTTGCCAGTGGCAGGTTTCCAGAAGTTGGAGACGACGTAATTGATAAGATAGCGCGCTCGTCTGACCCCCTCCTTCTGCTTGCCGTCTTCTGTTGTCTGCTTTCACTCTCTTTCTTTTCGATATCTTTGTTGGAATGGATTGTTTGTGATGAGAATATAGAATCTACGTTGAACTTGTCTCTCTCTCTGGGATCGTTGCTCTACCACTGCGCCTCCGGTCGCCACTGGCCTCCGATCCGCCCAGGCAGCCGAATTCACACCTCCAGTCCGCGATAAATAGCTTAGAGAGTGGCCTACAAGATCTCTATTCAATCTGATTCATGTTTCAAGTAGTTATATCTCGCTGGTTGTTTAGTATGGCCGTTGTTGAGGGTGATCATTTGAATATCATGTACAGTACGGAGGAGATGATTGGATGAACAGCTGCTCTTATACACATCCGCGAAATCTGAATTGATGATTAGGAACTCAAGACGTCTCTCTCATTTTTCTCACTTATCGAGAGTATCATTCACTGGGCTAGAATTGCCTACCTAGGAGGCATACGATAAGGGCTATTATCTCACATTGCCTTGTCTGCTCCGTGCATTATTCAGGTCTATACCTGTCCACGGGGTTTCACGATGTATCCTGCTCGGTCAGTATAATGTTAAGATCGGTACTAAAGCTTGGCAAAGCCTCCGGGAAGCCCCTTGGGCTCGAATCACGCCTCAGCAGTCTCTGCAAACAGTTGCGGAACCTGGCGACACAGGTCCGGTGTGCAGACATCGATATCGATGCGCGGAATATCGGCACCATCCATTGCCCAGCAGATCAGGGGGTAGGCAAGGCGGTTCTTCGCGCGTGGCATCGCCCATGCCGCGTAGGGAATGTACGGTGTGGTTGAGTTTCGAGGGAACATTCCAAAACCCGAGACAAAAACGGAGTTGACCAGTCGGTACGGAGTGTGGAGTACAGGCGAGACGGATAGCCACCTGAGCGCCTAAACTATGGCCGACAATATGCGCCAAGCCATTGATGGCGTGTGTACGAATCAGCTGGGCAATTAGGCGGGCTGCGAGATCCACTGAAAGCGGTGCAATCGCTTGGGACTTGCCATGGCCTGGACGGTCTGGAACCAGGAAATGGTAAGAGGGGAGGTGAGGGATCATCAGATTCCAGTAGAGACCAGACACCAAGGCGTCATGGATTAATGCGACGGTGGTCTAGCCCATGTGGTGCTACGATACAGCTCAAGAGACATGGGGAGTGATACGAGGACAAACTTGGCGCCGATCGCGGTGTGCCCAGCTGTCGTCATCGCCGATCCCCCAGATTCCCATCTAGATGGTAGCCCCAAGGCGGGTTGATCTGAATTCATAATCAGGTTCATCAAGTGAACCTAATGCGAGCCCGGAAATCCTGCATCGTTCCATGGGTCTAAAGCAGGCAATTAAAAGTGTTTGACTATCGTGGTGTGGAGCTACCTGCATGTATGAGATAAATTGAAGATTCACATCGCCTACCAGTACACCACGGACAAGAAATTTCAGGGTCATATTCAATTATGGCGAAAGTAGCCACTGATCTGCCAAGAGTTCTCTTGCGGGACTTCTTTCCTCTGCCGGCACTGAAGCATTTTGCGCATGAAAACAAGAAAGAGCTGTTGCTGTTCACCTTGCAGGTTTCCACCCCGCTGCTGCAAGGTGGTTGATGAAATGGGAGCCGCTCCCTTCCAATTGGCTTGAATTGCGTGATTAGTGCTAGGATGTGTAAAGAGGGTGTTAGAGATAGCGTACCGTCTGAATCAAAGAACGTTTTGGCATAGTCGTTGTTCAGTAGCATCTCTTTGGGTGATGGTCCAAGAATCGCCATCATCTCAGCGATGTGAGGGGCGTTCCAGTGTTCCTTGTTTGAATCCCTAGCATAGAATAGATGCCCCTGTTGGAAAAGATCCCATGTCTGGAGGAGTTAGTTGCATTATTGAGAGATGGGGTTGAGTGGCCTGCTTACGACAACCGCGAGATTCCAAATATCAACCTTTTCATCTCAAGTCGTACGTAGTACAACTTCTGGAGCTTGGTATATGTATGGTTGAATGTCCCCATTACGATATGCAGACCCAAAACGAGCTTGGCCAAAGTCCCATAAAACAGGTCGGCCGTGCTTGTTCGTCTTCTTGAGTTCGCGAGATGCATAGATCACCCGATCGCCAACAACCTTTCGGGGACTAGGATTGGATTTCTCTGCTTGCTCAAACTCTGCTAATACTGACTCATCCTCAATACCAAGCATGGTATTCCTTTCCTGTATGTCTAAGAAGAGCGTGTTAGGAAGGAAACACCACCTGCGAAAGACGCCCGGGTGCTAAGGTGCCGTCATGCCGGTATGGACAATGCCAGCCTCTGTATGGAGGTGGTCAAGAGCGAGTAGGAGATGGATAAAAGTCAGCTTTACTGCTTTTTTGGACAGTATATTGTCTGCGAATCGATTTCGGAGGTCATATAGCCTTATGCCTAGAGGCTGGTGCACAATCACCTGATAACGTGCTTTCGCATCGCCGATCTGAAAGGTGTCAAGCGCTGTGCGAACAAACATGGCACCATCATGGGAGGCTTTGACCGAGTTAATATGATCGTAGATCCCGACTTCTCTTTTTCCTTCGGTTGAGTCTCGTTCAAACACTTTCAATGTGACATATTTGTGCTGTCTACCTTGGTACTCATTGATGAACTTTTGCACTAATTGTGCCATAGCACCGGAAACAAAAAGCAGACGCAAGTTCTCTGCGAAGCCATACCGTCGAGTATCCCCCAAACCCTGGTTTGCCAATGACTTGGTACCTAGACTGAAAGACCTCGCCAATGTTGACAGGATATGAGTTCTCTGCGGTGTATCCTGGATGTGTTTCTTCCTCGAACTTGATATTTAGATCAAGTGGTTGGATATTCGATTGAGTGAGTTGCCGCACAGGGGAAGAAGCTCGCTGGAAGGAAGGACCTGTGAAGAATGAGCGATCCAAAAGCCGGCCTCCTAGGCGAGACATTGGTGACGATCAAGACTAAAATGCCAAATTTCAAGGGAAGATGCCCTTCTCAAGGAACACACACCCCCTCGGGTCTGTTCTGCTGGGATCATGTGATCAACGTCATCATTCGCACCTATTATTCACACATAATAACTGACTATCAGAGGTAATAGTACACCGAGCTCAGTTGTGAGCGCCTGCGGACATGTTATCTATTGTCCAGACATCTCAAATTGAGCGCCGTTGGGAGATACTAGGTCAAGTACAACGGTGTGTCAACCAACGTACCTAAATACCCACTGCAGGCATCGCCCTCATCGCCCTACATAAAAAGCGGTGCTATACGAGCCGATCTGAAGATCGATTGTCTATCTTTGGGAACTTCCGGAGGCCAGAACTCTTTAGACCCCCGAGTCAGGTCACTCGTGTACAAAATCAGTCGTGACGTCGAAACGGGACTCGATAACTCATTTGGGAAACGATATACCGCACTCTCCACAACTCACACAATGTTGTTCAACCGCACTATTGCCACCAGAGAACAAGCACTTGCCAGTGAATAGAAGTTGGATAGCAATCTGCTATGATATAAAAGGGGGTCTTCTCTCACTGTTGTAGCCCACGACTTTGCTTTCACCTACTGGATACTTGATCTCGATCTCATGATGTCAGAGCTCACTCGTACTCTGCCTGCTTCCTGGTATTGCAGCCAGCCGTTGTATCAAATGGAGCGGCGGGCTGTCTTTCTCAAAGTATGCTATACAGTCTTTGGCGTTTGGTTGAATGGGACTAAAACATGTCATAGTCCTGGTACTTACTCGGCCCAGTCACCCGATTCCAAGTTGTGGGCGAGCATGTAGCCTATGAAGTTGCACAGCAGCCTGTCTCTGCCGTTCGCACCTCGGGGGAGACATTAAACCCTGTTGCCGAGGAGCTGGAGGTGGTGTGCAAGAAGACGGTATATTGACTTCCAATAGATTATGGGTTTGATTCTAATCACGGTGTATAGGGTAAAACGCTGCGCAGCCATCTCACGCCAACCGGGCTTCTCTTCTCCACTATATGCGACGATGCTCCTAGCTTCCATGAGTTCTTCCCAGAGCTCGAGGAGCTACTTGACAAAGTCGACTTTACTAAGCTGCCACATCGCCACAGCATCAAGTATGAAGGCCGATTCAACTGGAAAACCATGTAAATCGAACTTTTCCTCACTGGCCATTGTGCGATCACTGATCTTCGTTTCAGGGTCGATGGATATCAAGAATGTCTCCACTGCCAGTACACCCACCCGTCCTTCTCGGCCTACTATCCGCCGACCTTCTACACGGTGCGCAACAAACACAATTTCTCGCAGCACATTGCCGATCCAAAGAAACCAGACGATGGCTTGTTCTTATACTTCTTCCCCAACTGTACATTAAATGTTTATGGCGGTGGTATGTCTTCCTTCAGAGTGTGTCCGACCGCCGATCCGCACGTCACCCGGATGGAATTCGATTATTATCATCTCGAATCCGGAGAGAAGTTTGACCAGTACTTCAAGTTTGTGCGTCAGGTTGCAATGGAAGACTTTGAGCTGTGCGAGAAGGCCCAGAGCAATCTGGCCAAGGGGGTTTATCACGAAGGAATCCTGAACCCGGAGAAGGAAAATGGCGTCTCATGTGAGTTGCGACTGTCTAAGGTAAAACGCCCATTTGGGATCATGTCTAATACCCAGGTATTTCCTAGATTACCAAAGCCGCGTTTTCGATATGGTCTGCGAACAGCACGAGTCTGACAGAGCCGCCAAGTTGGTCGAAGGGACTGGAATAAAGGAGCATGCCGTGCCTTCTTTGGTGCAGATGACAGCGTAGTAGAATTTGATACGAAGATGTACTTCGTGGCCATTGTCTATTGACTTGAGAATGAAATTGGCATTTGGGACATATTCACTGTGCATTTCTTGGTATGGCTTAGTATCTCCATACTAGGTAGCTATATCGTCATCAGCTGCCCAGATGGAAAAGCATACCTTATGCAAGGCTGAGTAGCACACCCGATAATCGTGCCAGCTCACCAACCCCTTTCAGGGATTGATAATTTCCCATTTATAATTTTCACTCAAAAATCAACATCTTTTTCATTTATCTCGCTACCCAAGTATCTAGATACATGCTCCGGTTATTGGGCCATTTAGATACTAAACTAGCTTTATGCTTAGCTTCCTATCCACCAATTGAGTCTGCGGCTCAGCTTCCAAATCCTTAGTATATCTAGCTCTATTCCGGGTATCCTTCTAAGTGTGAACCTCCTACTTTTTCGTATAATACGCTGTTTTATATTTGTAGGCCAAAGCGCTATCTTACTAGCCCCGAAAATCTTCCCTTCGACTACTAAATTTCTTAGCATTTATGGTGGCTACACGAGACTTTTTTTTAAATCTGTGTCACCGAGAGCCACTCCTTGGAGTCCCCGGAGTCTCGGTCCGGTGGTTCAAAAAGCATGGTGATCTTCCATATTACCAGGATACGTATGCGTTTCCTAGCTGCTATAAGAAAGTGAGCAGGATATAGATAACCTTAATAGGCACCTGCAGCTATTGCTACCCTGTCTCGATTGTAATCGGAAGTGATAAGCGACGGTCAGCAGAGTAACACAGAGTCCAGACAGGAAATTCCAACTCAATCAGGTAAACCAGGGAATGACATCATAATGTGACGGATGCTCCCAAACCTTGGAAGTATATGAGGTCTACATGCCAACATCAATTTCAATTTCATCGGTAAACAGCCTGCACTCATCATGGAATCTACCGATACAGTGCTCTTGGTCTCTCCAGGCTCTATCGCCGTCGCCTTGGTGACAATCGCTTTTCTACTTCATCGAGCATGGCCTCGCCTATTTCCACGCAAATCCGATAAAATCATTGAAACTGTTCCAGCTGGACTCTATAACCCTGCGGGCTTAGCTGTGTCCAAGGAGCCCGAGCTTCCAGAGGGATGGTGGACCGGTCAGGAGGTCTTCGAGCTCGAGCGGCGCGCACTCTTTAGCAAAGTAATCGAACCCCGATCCTAAAAGACGAATGAACTTCGTCACTAACGCACAATTTAGACGTGGCTGTATCTCGCTCACAGCACTCAGTTCAAAAAACCTGGTGCATATCAATCATTCGATATTGCCGGGTTCCCGGTTTTTCTCATTCGCGGCAAGGATGACAAGATCCGCGCGTTTCACAACGTTTGTCGGCATAGAGCATACACCATTACCAGGAAGGAGACTGGTGCGTCGACTGTGCTGGGTTGTCGATATCATGGTTGGAGCTATGATACCACTGGTCGACTGGTGAAAGCTCCTCAGTTCGATGACATTCCTGGGTTTGATAAGTCGCGGAATAGTCTCTTTGAGATTCATACACATACCACTGATCAAGGATTGGTGTTTGTGAATCTTGATTCTGGTGAGCCAGCTGCGTTTGACAGTACGATTACATCGTCCGTTGGCCGATTTGCTCGCATTGCTGGGATGGAAGAGAAATCGACTTGGATTACAGGTCAGACTTTGTCTGGGGATTTCAACTGGAAGGTTGGTGGTGAGTTATAATCCCTCAGAGATATTTGAAAACAATGGTTGACACTTTCAAAGCGAATGGTTATCACCCTGATGAATTTCTGAGGGAATTGAATCGCAGAGCGTCTGAAGTCTCTAGACATTCGCTCGCTACGAGGCTTGTCAGGAGTATTATGCAGAAGAGCACTGGAAATGATTGTTCATTATTTCCGACAACACTCCTTTGTTCACTTGAAGATGGGGATTTGACTGTTGCTCTATCCTTCTTTCCTGCCTCTGAGTCGAAGACGCACATGCGCTATGACCTGTTCGCTCGCTCCAGTGTGAGTGAGCCTGAGACACAGAGATTCTCCGATATTTTGCAGAGCACGACCAAGCAACTAGCTGGAGAACTTGAAGTCAAATATCAGTACATCTCGAAGACTCAAAGGTACATATTCCACGCTACGTTATACCATGTTCTTTCAACTGACTCTTTTTCCTTTTTTCTAATAGCTCATCGGGCGAGTCCAACAGCACAGGTATGTTTCCCCAAAATAATCGACTGTGTTCTATCTAAATATGGCCTTAGCCACTCGTGAAATCCTCCGTCGACTGCAGGATCATATGAAACTCGAAAGAATCGAAGGAAGTCAGATCTTCCCAGCCACGCACAAACCAGAAGGAAGCACCTTGTTCCAACAAGCAGACCAGCGTGAGTACTACAGCTCCCAGTTAGTTTATGTGCCATTTTAACCGGCAGTAGTATGCAAGGAACTTGACTGTGCTAGTGGTGGATCGCAGACCGGTACTTCAACAGGTCCACTTGACTGGTAGATTGATTCAGATGGATGGTCCTTGACACAGAACTCGCGTGGGTTCATGTAATAGTTGGGCTTATGGTCAGATATTGAATGGGCTGGGATAAGAGGAAATGCATTAGATGGTTAGGGTATTTGAAACAAATATGAGCATAATGAATTGTTCTGGAAGTGATAACGTACAAATGCACAACAAAACACGAAGAGAAAGACAAAAAGACATATATATAGAGCAAGGAATAATTCACAAGCCTATGGTATACACAGGATCATACAGCAAATTTGACTCTCCTCTCAATCTCAGATCCAACGAACCGATGCCCTCTTCCGCGCGGCCTTGGTGATCATATTGTTCGGATCCCTGACAGGTCCCAAACCAGTCTGTCTGCCTCCACTGCGAACAGTAAGATGATGAGGCCTGTTTCTCCTAATATCCGCCGCCCTCATCTCCGCCGTCATGTCGTTGTTTTGGGTTGTCCCCAGCAAAGGATCGAAGTTGAACATATCAATTGGCTCTTCATTCTCGTTCTGTTCCGCGAGTTTCTGACCAAGAGTAGGGCTTGGTGGATACATGTCATGAGCTGACCCACCTGCCGTGCCGCCGGCTTTCCGAGACTCTGTGCCGATGCTGTGGAGGAGAATGCTCATATCGTTGCTGCGCAAAAATGCGTCGAGTGCTAGACACCATTCGCTTTCTGGCCAGTCGGCGGGAAGTCGGCGGACTAGCGCTTGCATCTTGCGTACTGCGAGAACTTCCATTACACCCTGGCTTGGCTCGTCGATCCGTTCTTCTGCTAGCCTGCGCTTGTGTGAGGCGAGGCCTTCGGCGATTTCCGTGCCAAAGATCCTGCCATATTCGGGTGTGAATAGTTCGTCCGGTAGGTAAGATAGAATAGTGGCGAATATCTCTCCACTGTGTATGTATGAGCTGCGGCCGGCGCAGATCAAGGCATATCCCCGAGGGCCACCTTCTAATCTAGGTAGGCTAGGATCGCTTCTCGAGCAAAGCCACTTGATTGAAGCTGGCTCATCGAAGCAGGCAGCGTACATCAATGGGGTCATGTTCTCGGAGTTTCGGATTCTCGGGTTGAGGACTGAGAACTTTTCAAGGAACTCCATAAACGAGGCACCGGCCGGGTTGAAGGCTGCAGCGATGTGCCAGGATGATTCCAGTCGGCCGCCAGCTTCGTGGTGTTGGCTCTCAACATTGCCGATATTAATTCCGCTCTGATAAAGAGCCTCGGCTACCTCGACAGGTGCAATGGCGCAGAATTCATGCATCACTGCATCGTTGAAGATGGTACGAAGTCGTGCAAATGACGCGAGATTTGCCTCCCTCAGTCTCTTCAGAACAGTCAGAAATTGAGCGAATGCACCCACTCCACCAAGTGAAAGGAGAATGTGGTCCTCGTGGGAATCTCTGATATCCCTGGGTCGGGTCAAATCCGCACAGCTCAGATTGTTCACCATGTATGTCAGTAAATCCATGTTTGGGCCATTCAATCCTGCCTCGATCCAGTTTCTGCCCGACAGGTCATAGCCGGTCAGTGAAACGATCTTCCAATCGACCAAGAATTTCAAGCATTCGGAGCAGTGCACTGCAGCATCATAGGCGGGGTTTACATTGTATGGATGACCGGTACTTTCTCGTGGGAAAGAAATGCAATCTTCTAAGTGCTCCAGTGCTTCGTCGCAATCTTTGTACGATCGGATCATTGACTTCATCTTTCCCATCGTTTCGGGACGTTTGAGCCACTTTTCAACGCTGTGCTTCAGAACCCCATGGGGCTTTAACAGCCCATGTATGGCGTGAATCTTGGCTTCCTCCATATATCGAACCTCCTCAGAGAAGCCAACCAGTCTACCGTAGATAATCTCAAGCAGGGTCTGAGGAAGCTGAACCAGAGGTAAATTGCTGGCCCATTGAGTCCGTTGAGCTGGTGTTTTCTTCTCGAGATCAATGGGCCAGGCAAGTAGACCACCTTTGACATTTCCATTCTGCAATCGGTCGAGGATGATTGCCCAGATGGATGGGGTCCAAGTGTCCATCAATTCTTCGGTGAATCTAGGCATCGTGGGCGGAATTGGTATAGTGGGCTTGTTGAAAACGAGGCGAGAATGTTCCAGGGTAGATACCTGACTCTCACCATACCGATATGTCGTGAGTTTTTATATCAACTTCAAGGAGCATCCATTCTGTGGCAGATGAGGGCTTTCTTCTTTGAATAGGAAGTCCAAAAGAAAATAAAAATAGATTTGGGCGTTGGTATTGGACTTGAAGTGGGTGAGAGCCTTCAAAGGGTCGTCAAAGCAGGACGGTTCTGACATCGCGAACAAAGATATAGAGATCCCAACCTTTTCGGTACAGTGAAAAGCTATAGTATTTTCATATTCATCTATAGTAAAAACTACCATAGCCCCAATCATCATTGGGCTTGGAGAATAATGGGACCATTAAACGCTACATGTAGTTATCGTAGCTACACGCTGCATAACAGCCTCAACCAGATTGGTTTCCCAGGTTGAACTCAATCAAAATTGAGGTGGACTTCCACCGTTCGAGGAATCTCACTGGACAATGAAAGTCTAAATCGTGCATTGTGGAGATTGGGAATGATGAAAGAGAAATGAGGACTCGAATATGGCTTTGAGGAATTCGTTCAAAAAACAAAGCGTCCGAGAACGCAGAAGTAGGGTGGCAGGAACTCATGATTTCCAGATCAGTAGATGATCAACCGTTTCTTCTTTATTCTTATATGGACAAAGGTTTCCAGTCATTGGTTTCACTGGAAATCAATTCCAATTTTTGCTGGAGCGCTCTAGCAGATAGCGCGAAGAGAATCACTTGAGTAAACAAAGGTGAAGATTGAAAAGATGAACACCGGGTACTTTACTCAGACTGCTACAATGAAAGGGTCAATCAAACCAAAGGGCACCCTAGAAAGCTAGGCAAGGTGTTCCTCGGATCGGTGCTCACATTGTGTGGGAGGTCGTCACCCGTGAACCACACCTGAGCAAATGCTGAACGGTATACTTCCAGGCTCTGCAGGCAAATCTAGATCTGAAAGACGCACTTTGTGCACCCATATCTTCTCGGGTTCTATTGTTAGTAGATGTCGTTTTCAACATTGTAACCTCAAACCCGGGTGGCGTAGGGCGATCAGCAACATGCGTGCCATCTGTCAACTGAAGGTGTATTCAGTATAATAGGGGTCCAATCAAGGAGGTTGAAAACTCTGCATTTCTATATCCTGCGAAGGTGTATAGCGGCCAGTGTTCAGTTTCAATTAAAATATGCATTGCTGCCTGAGGATGCCTGAATAATGCCTGAATAATGCCTGAATAATGCCTGATTTCAGACCGCTTTCGCTACCGCTCTATACGGTATATTGTAAATGAGCTATGATATCATCTTAACTAGCCCCTTTAACCTGAAATTGAAGGTATTCACACCATATAAATTTTTAATTTATCTTTTCCTTAGGCGTTAAAGCCGTTCCGACCTAACAATAGGGAATCTAGCGAATCTAAATCCGTTGGAATTTCACGCCCTCCCTAGTCTATTTCCTCCGAAGAGTAGCTTTCGCTGAGGTACGAGTGTATTTGATTTAAAATTAATTGATTAATGATGATAAAGAAATAGATTTTCCTTCGAAGTTCTAAGGTTGAATTCCGAGGGATAGGCGGTATCGATTCTGCTAAGGGAAATATTACTACCCCTTTTCTTCGGCGACCGGTCCCATTCTCTTCCCTTTACGGGATTAGACTCGGTGATCGAGCTTTACCTCGATAGGAGTATAAAGTAGAGCCGATAAAAGATTTATAGTAGTGATAAAGGCGAATAAGGGAGGGTATATAAAGGTAAGAAGAAGAATAAGAGGGCACCTATATTGATGCCTACCTAGAATACCTAGCTAGGTACTCTGTAATGGTAATTCAGGTATGTTAATTTTCTGCTGGACTTAAAAATCAGGCACTAAGGCAGGAACCAGGCCGAAACTCAGATTTTAATTGAAACTGAACACTGGCCGCTATACACCTTCGCAGGTCACTGTATCAATAAAACTAATATTATTTTTATTAAAATTCTGATTACCTATTTGGGTTATCCGCCCCACTTAGATGTTGGTGGGACCTGCGACCTCCCGAGGGTACGTACGGTACGGGAGGTTGCCGACATCTGAACGGGTAAACAGCTCATATATCTATATGTCGTCTAGCAGTATTGTGGACGCATGCCTAGGCCGCCCTACGCCCTACTGAGGAGCGGTCCGAAAAGCTAGAATTCACCTTGGAAGCCTACTCAACTCTTTTCTCTTTTCTCTTTTTTTCCTCTCCTAACTTCATCAGCAGAGATATTCAGTTCATCCATTTGTTTTCTTTCAGATCAGAATGTCCACTTACAAGCCCAGCGAGTTTCCAAGTCCCGCCTCTTCGGGCCCGCCAAGCCCGCGGAAGAGGCGTCGGCTTCTGAGGGAGTCAGAGGACAATGAAGGTGAAATGAGGCTGGAGGAGTTCCTTTATCGCACAGACCCCTTTCGGAGCAACACATTCCACGGGCATGACAACTCAGAAATGAAGACCGAATTTCTCACTGCAGAAGAAAATCCAACACGACATCTTCGGCCTGAGATCGACGCAATCCTCAGTCAACACCGGGTACCCACAGAATCTTTCCACCACACCCTGAAGGCACGAGTTACAGGCAGCTATTTCTTTTTGCTGCGCGTTACGGTGTCAGGTGATGGGTCAGCCTTCATCCGCTTAGGGCCTATCAAAGACAGCCTTGTCAAGCTGCTTCATAAGAATTCCCTTACGAATGTGCACGTCGAGGTTCTCAACGGAGACCACTTCTCTCCACCTCATCTGTATCCCATTGCCTCAACAAGTGCAGTGGTTTCCGCCTTTCACACGCTCAAGCACAGTATTGTGGAAACGATGAGTTCTGCAGTGGGGGAGAACTGGCAAATGATTTGCCCGTTCAACGTCGGTGGCCCTGACATTCGCTCGGCGCGACCTGGAATTGTGATTTTCGTCCAGCCACTACTCATGGCCAACTGGTACGAAATCCGGGCCCGGATCATCGGACAACTTTCATTGAAGGTGTCAGCTCTGCTTGTTGACGTGGAGTTTATGCCGGGAACCCTTAATCTCCTGAAACATGATCCTTCGATCTCATTCAGAGATCGGTTTGATGACAGAGATTGGGTGGCGATGGGTGATTCAATTGGAATCAGCGGTGATCAGAATGCTGGAACTCTGGGCGGTTTTGTTGAACTAAGATATGACGACCGGGCCCATTTTGGGTTTCTAACTAGCTACCATGTTGTGAGACCAACATCACACACTCCCTTCCGCGATGAGGTTGATCGCACTGGAATTTCCGCCAATTTCCCCCCTGACGACCAAAATGCAACCATAATCGAGTCTATCGCCCAGATGGACCGAGACCGTACACTCGCGGATATTCAGCACCACAGAGAAAGCCTCGCATCCCAGAAGGCTCGGATCGAAGAGACCATTGAGCTGCGGCTTCTCGCCGGAGAAGAACCCAGAGAAGCCTCTCGGCAGCGGCTCCAGGACCTCGACGTCGCCGACGCTAGTCTGATCCAGACACAAAATGTTGTGAAGTCTATGCCATACGTTCTCGGCAAAGTCAGATTTGCATCAGGACTATTGGTCCATGGCAAACGGTTCCTTGATTGGGCATTCGTCGAGCTTACAACCGAAGCCCAGCAACGGTACTTCCGCCCGAACATAGTACCTGACATCCCGCGGAAGCAGAGGCCCACGTCGACTAATCTCCTATCTGGTGGATCTGCAACCTTTCTTCCCCGGCCTAACAGCTCTATCACACAGTTTGGTGAACTACAGACTGATGAGTACTACTTCAAGAAAGGTCGTACCACGGAGGTGACTGGGGGCATCTGTAATGGTGCGAAAAGCGTCTGTCAGTGGAAAGGGCGACGATATGAAATCGAAGCCGCTGAAATATCAATGGCAACCCATATCACCGAAGAATATGTTATCACGGGTGTGGATGGTGATTTCCTGGAGGATGGCGATTCTGGCAGCTTCGTGATCTCTGCCGAGAGAGATGTTGCAGGAATACTATTTGCTGATGTGATCCACGAGGGAAACCGCATCGGAGTAGCTTTGAATATGCCAGATGTCGTCGAGTCGATGAAGCTCAGGCTGAATCACTCCGTTTCTCTGCATCTTCCTTGATGGTTCTTTGCTTTTTCCGTCAGAGTATGCTGATAAAAATTCGCTTTAGAAGCCTTTATATAATGATTTGATACTACTATTAAATTTTTAACCTTAGAAATTGGCTTTAGAAGCCTTTATATAATGATTTAATATAACTATTAGTTTTTTAACTAAGGTTAGAAAATTAAGCTTTAAAAGCCTTTATAAAATAACCTTGGGACTTATATTTATTATACCTATATATTTATACAAGTCGATTTGGCCGCATAGTCCGCGGCCTTCGAAGAAGCTCGAGCGGGTATTAGTCAGCGAAAAGGTTCATTTTTTACAACCTGACTTTCCGATGTATAATCTTTAGACTAATATAATATAAATTAATTATTACTAAGCTTACTATACTTCCTTACTTCTTTTAAACTAAGGTACCTTTAAGTGCTAACCTTATCTCTATAAAAAGGGAGATAAGGACTACTTTTATCTTTACTATTAATAAGCTTACTTCTCTATCACTTCTATATACTTAGTATAATAGATAGATAAAGAAGCTAACTCTCGTAGCTCTTTAAGGAGGGGGAAAATGTTACGACCCTCTATTAGAGAGTGCCTTATAGGCTAGATCCCGCCTAGTCCTATGACCTAGGACCCGTGACCTAGTAGGGGTAGCATAACCCCCCGCTAGAGAGTGCATTAGGAAGACTAAGTCCTGCCGGGTCAGGTGACCTAGTCCCGTGACCCGCTAGAGGTCATCTGTATAGAGACTGCTAGGGGAACTTAGCTTTTTAGCGATTAGTTTATGAATATACTAGTACCCTGCTATTCCTTTACTCTAGTTCTATATTACCTGCCAGGACCCGCCAGTACGCCGGTCCTAACACTAACACTCGGGCTTTAATTTACAGGTTATAATCTAATGAAACTTAGGACCTTTTAGGTAAAAATAAGAGATCTAGCGGTACTTATTTTCTATTAGCGGTAGCTAAATAAGATTAAAGTGCACCCTTCTAAACCGTCCGAAAGTGCGTCCGATTAGGCGTCTTAATATCTGCCTTAGTATACGATTAATATAGTAAGTCTAGTATAATACGTCCTTTTTAGTAGACTTTTTTTCTTTATTATCGAAACTAACCCTATCTATTATAGTAGCGAGTCTTATAATACTTTATTGATTACTATAGGTAAATCTTCGGTGCTAGATATCTGATAATACCCTTGATTACTATACTTTCACTAACTTTCTCTTAGTGAAATGGGCTTATTACTATATTTCCTTAGGTTTATCGAAGATCTAGAGGTTATATTAATCCTAAAGGTTGATATAGACGATAGGTCTATTATTAGGGTCTCTAATATAGTTGGTACGCTAGCACTAAGTTCCGCCTTTCTTTTTTAGTATAGAATACGATACTAGGTTTATATAGAAGCTAGGGGAATAGAGAGTATCACTAAGTGTGATCTCTATTCTACCTTTACTAGATACCTACCTACTAATTTAACCTTCCCTTTTCCTAGTACCTTCGTGGTGCTATCTCCCGTTATAAGGTCCGAAATCTAGGGTATAAAGTCGATAAAAAGATCTCTATTATTATAGATATAGGTACTAGATCCTATATTAAGGATCTATCTATCTTTTAAGATAGGTTGTTATCCGTTTTTAGTAATTAAGAGTGTATACTCGCTAGTATAAGGCTTAAGAGTAGTAGTAAAACTTACTTAATTTATAAACTCTTTCTTTTAAGATTACTAAGTTTACTAAGTTTACTAAGTTTACTAAGTTTACTAAGTTTACTAAGTTTACTGATTTTACTAATTTTACTAATTTTGCTAATTTTACTATTCTACCTTCTTTTCTACCTATTTCTTCTAGGTAGGCTCTTCGGCGAGTTTTTACTTAGTTTTCTCTAGGCTTTTAAGGTTAATATATATCCCTTCGGGGCGGTTCTCCTCGTTAAGATATTAGTATATTATAATCTTATAGTTATAGAAGTGGTTATTATATAGGCACTTCCTCTTTTTAAATAGGATCGCCTTTTTAGTTTAGGACTAGGACTAGGACTTTGCTTCTTAGTGTCCCTACTAGGTTAAGAATACCCCTTTTATTAGTGTAGTAGATAAGACTTTTTATACCCCTACTTCTCGATTTATTACGCGGAACGACTCGAGGAGATTACGGGTCTAGTAGACTTTCTTATTTATAATAATCTCTTAATATTTTCCTTACTACTAAATAGGTAGGATCTCTTTAATAGTATATAAGAAGTCCCTATTTATATCTTCGCTATTGATACCGAGGCTAATTACTTACTCCCTTAGGGAATTCTACTATTCTAGCTATTACTCGATATCTTTAGTTAGTTTCTAAGCGGCGAAGTTCTTCTACTTTATTCGGACTTCCTTCTTATATACTCTCGATCGAGAGAAGCGATCTCTTAGGTATACTAATCTATTATACGGTATCTAATAGTCGATAATAGCGGGATAGTAGATAGGGTCTAGGAAGGTATAGAAATATTTATTTATATTAATTAGCCCTTTTACCTCTTTCTCCTATATCGATCGGAATAGTTTAAAGAGATCTATCTAATCTCTCTAATCTCTTTTATCAGATTTAGTCCCTCCGTAGGGGTATTCCGGCACGGTAGGCTCTTTTAGCCTAGCCGGTCTCTCTATTAGGGGGGTATCTAGGTCGCAATGCTCCTAGACTAGCTTTTATATCGTATATAGCTTCACCCGGGCAAACTAGGTGCGCTATTAGGACGAATCCTTTAGTTTTTCGCCCTTCGTAGCGGAGAGAATAGTTGATGCTTCTATTATTGGATGCTAGATAGCCTCGGGGGCTATTATGCAATGTTAGAGGTTGCTGATGCGGCTTTTCAGGGGCTAGTAGTCGCTATATTTGTGAATAGCGGCCTTATTTAGTGCGAACCGGGCTTATAACTGTTAACTGAAGGTGTATTCAGTATAATAGGGGTCTAATCAAGGAGGTTGAAAACTCTGCATTTCTGTATCCACTATTCTAGCGGTCAAATACGACTGTCTGACTAAGATAGGATAAACTATTCTTCCGGTGTGCCGATCTCCTACTCCGATATAATCAGGGACCTGAGCCTCTCGCCGAACCTGCCAAGTCTTTTGCTCTTCAACACGAACAACCGGAAAGAAACATGTTCAACTGTGTGTCTAAGGCGCTAAATTCCTCACAGCCCACTGTGGAGAGAGCACTTGATCCTACGTAGGACTATTCGTAACCTTTCAAGGTTAGCTTGAATGCAGTGATGATCCACCAGTCAGTCGGGATATCTGATCCAGGCAAATTTCCTTGACCACCGTCTGCGCTTTGTTTCGCTCGTATGAGAGCTTTATCTGTTGAAACCTGGCTCGGTTCATGAATTTAGAGGCCCAGATGGTTAGTTTTGTCCCGAGAATTAGGGCTATGAAGGCTGGCCCTTTTATTCCCAGGCACCGTTTCAGTGGTTGCTTTGTGATTGGGAAAGAGCTTTTGCCATCTCTGCCAGATCCGGACCTTTGATCTGAGCCTTGCACCTTGCTGTTGGTGCCCGAGCCACCCGTAATGTCCACTTAAGAAGAAATGAGTGAGTTCAGGAGGAGGTAAATGCATCGCTAGACTGTCCATGTCTCAAGGGAGCTCGCCGAAAATGAACAGAAGAGGGTCATGGGCAGGGAGGTTCTCCAATCTTCTTATCTCCTAGCCAGAATTTAACCTAGGCTTAGATTTGTGGACTAGTTTTCTAGGGCCCCATTGATGTTGTGCCAGTTTGTAAATGTGCTTCAGTGGATGAAGTTCAGTGGTGAAAGCTACTTAAGGGAAGAAGCCATGTAGAGACCTTCCAATTTCGGAACTTGCGGAAGACGGGGTTATCAGGCACGGGATAGTGAAGAAGCATGCAAATGAAACAGAATGTTGAAGGCTTGTTGTAACCCTCTTGATATTGCTGGCATTGATTTACGATTATCTACAATTCAATAGAAAAATGAGCAGTATCAATTAGACCATGTCAATCCTGCTTTGCGGCCCACGCGGCTTTTTCCATCAAACACACAATCACCACTGATCGGGATCAACATCGGCAAGCGTAGTTCCGGCAGCAATCTCATCATACCAAATCTGTCGAGTGCCCTGAGTCCCCTGCATCCCATCATCGTCATACCACCCATTAGCATACAAGCCAACCCGGAACTGGAATGCCCGATCATCCTCAATGGTAGTTTTGATATTGCTCTTGTCCAAGACCAACTCCCCATCAAACCACAACTTGTAATATCCCGTCTCATCCGACTCCCACTTCGCCTCAATCTGAATCAGGTGCCATTCGCCCGCAGTCACAGTGGCGAGGTTGCGGAAGAACACAGTCTTCTGTTTGCAGATAGTACCCTGTTTGACTCGGGAGACGAGCTGATCGCCCTCCAAAAAGACCATGCTGGATGGCATAAAGCCATCGCACTCACTGTCTGAGAAGTCGGCGATGAACTGTGCGATGTTGTAGGATTGTGCCGGGGAGAACTCCCAGTTCTGTTGGAGTCGGAAGGCAAATCCGTACGCGCCTTCGTCGCCCCGCTTGTACACGTCCTTCTTAACCACTTCGGAGTGGTATCGGCCCGTGTAATCGGGGTCATAGACTTGGGTCATCTTTAGAGCAGTGGAGCCCTGGTAGACCACATTGGTCACCTGTTGTACTTTGCCGTTGTGCTCATGGTTGGTGGCGTCCCAGCCTGAGGTGGTTCCCGTGTTGTGGAAGATTTGGGTTGCCTGAGCTGTAAAACTGAGCGCCACTAGTGCGGCGACTGAGGGGAGCTTGGCGAACATCATTGGGAGTGGATACAATTCAGACTGGAAATAGAATAGATGCAGTGGCTGTAGAGCTTCAGAACTCTTTTTTCAGATCTGGGATTGTCGTGGGTTGTGCGGTCTATTATATGACTTTGAACCCGCTCAAAAGGGAGATTGGTCCACATGTTTCGGCATTTGGCTGGATTCCTGTAAAAGGGGATTTACCCAAATGAGAATAGAGGCTATGTACGGCGACAAGCTCCATATTGGCGCCGTGACAATTTAATTGTGGGTCAGTGTCCTGGGTGTATCATCGCAATAGGGTCTGTTGGCGGGATTTTGACACGCAGGTCAGATACTGGCCTGGCCTCCTGCAGATCGGGTAAAAGATCCTTCACGTTTGATCGCGTTTGAATGAAAAAGTCCAGGAAGTCTCCTCCGATTTACATCTGCAAATGCTCCCATCGACGGGGCTCGGAATGGTCCAAGTGGTCTAACTGTTTTAGGCAAATGATGAAGTTGCAGATGTTCAGGGGAGAAAGTCGCAAATGGATCAAGAGTCAAGACTAGCGCGATATTAGAATCGCTTAACCTCGATGATCTTGGGAATTTCTCAAGTGAGTCGAACGTCAGTGAATATCAAGGCTGGATGGAGGATGGAGTCATCTTCACCTACTCCCGAGGTCGTGTTTGGCCTCAGGCATCAAGGCCGACTTTCCTCTCCCCTCGTCTTGGATTCGTCCCTGTTTCTACTTTCTCGGAATAATTTGCTTCTATATTAAGAATGTCTGTCTTTTCAGTTGCCCGATCTCTTCTTGAAATATCTCAGCCGAAGGCCATCCTTCGGTCAGCTTTTGCCCCCCCATATCTGTCCTCGATTAGCTCTGAGGTCATATGAAGATCAGACGCTACCTACTGCGTACGGAGTACTCCATATACCTGATCTGATTTTGATTTCCTGATCTAGGTATGAGGGACGAAGATACGAAGGTACATCATCATGGTATACATCGTATCTGCCCACTCTCAACGGGATACATGTAATTAGACGAGATGGCTATTTACGAGCTTGCCAAAATAGGACACCATCTACTCCGAATGGCATCGCCTCTAGCAAGTCTATCTATATTTGAATTACGAGTTTCTTCACATAGATACGGGAACCCCAGACTAGCCCGGAAGAGAAGAATGATACGCATTACTGGTGCATCTCATTGGTCCACAGTGGTTCTGGTTCGTATTGAGGCCCCTGGCCCTGCCAATAAACACGAGAATAAGAATAACCTACCCTACACCGTTCTACGAAAGACACGAGCTTAAAGGATACATACCAATAAAAACAGTCATTCGGCCTACAGGGGTCCAATCGGTATAACCTCACCATTGTCTTCACCTCGTAACTCGGGAATTAGTGTCCTGTGGCCCCAGATCGCGGTGACCTTGCAGGACGCCAAGCGTGGAGTGAACATACGGCGTATTCGGAATTATTCATACGGAGTACTCCGTAGTAAGCCTGTGGACTGCGGACTTTTGGGAGGCCTAAGAAGCGATATCAGCCCTTTGTGTACGGAGTAGTGCTTTAAATTCAATATCCACTCGCATCTTCTCCTTTTTCTGTGTCCTCTTTATGCGGTATACCCTTTTACAATCAAAAAAAGACTCTCTCTCTCGGTCGAGTCTTTGTTCTATGCAGCCACATCTGGAACTATTTCTTCAACAAAGAAATGCAACAATTCGCCCCTCAGATCTACGTCTCTGCGCCAGGATTCCAGTCGACGGTATGTGCCAACCCAACCGACGGCCCGGTAATCATCGGGGGGGTGGAAGTGACAAAGTATCATCGTAGCAGGAGGCTAACAAAACGCCATGCCAGCCATCCGTCAACAATGCCCTGGGGAAAAAGAAGATGCAGAATGAAAGCGACCCGAACTCTCTAGTCATCTCGCCTCTTCGACCTCGTGGCAATCATCTAAATCACAAAATATTAGTTCGCCGCTCGCATGCACTGAAAGGTCGAAGAAATATAACTCGCTCCAATTCGAGATCCATCAAATATGATGCAGGCCTCCACCCCAGCGGGTCAATTCAGTCAAGTCCCATCGATGCATATAGATATACAATGCCAGCGCAGATGAAGGACATTACCCATGTCAGCCAGTGGATCGTGTCTGGAACGCTCCTAGGGCTCGCCACAAAAGAGACTCGGCGATGCCAATCAAACAGCATTAATCTCAAAGAAGACGGCTTTGCAGGTGGGGATGTCGGGGACATCGGGGACCCTTTGTCTAACTCCCCGCAGGAAATTTGGGATACTATGATTGAGCTGGAATCACCCCAGGAGTCCGATGATTCTGAAATCTCTCCATTGTCGGCCAATCTCCCTCAGTTGCGTCCAGCATCCTGCTTGACCCGCTTCTATTCCGACCCGTCATTGCTGTTTTCCGGTGTCTCCCCGGCCAGTGCACAGCGCAGTATGGACCGCTTCACGGGGTCCTCGGTTTTTGAGCGTGAGCTGGAAGAGCGGGTGCAGATCATGTATAGGAGCTCCACAGGCGTCTCTCCCAAGCCATATGCATCTCCGGGTCAAAATGAAGTCTCCCGCTCATCATCTGGATCGGATGAGACTTTGGACTCTGCCTCTTCATGCTATAGTCGTCGCACCTCGATTACCACTCTCGGCAGCGAGTTCTGGGGAGATGATGGACGATACCCTTACAAAACGGCTGATGAATACTCTATCCAATCCCCCATCTCTGGGGGTGTGTTCGATGATGATGCTGCTTCCCTTGCGTCACCATGCTCTCCTTCGGTGGAGGTGCTCAGCCGTCTGGGAGGGTCAAATATCCCCGTGCAGCTACGCCCAGGTCCAGTCACCAAGAAGGTATCGATGAACGACCTCAAGAACAAGCCATTGCCATTGGAACCATCCTTCGGCATTATTTCAAGCTCCAATGACAACCTCGATTACCCCCTTTCAGCGCCATCGCCGCGCCCCAAGTCACATCGAGCAATGGCTCGTTCCCAGAAAGAATCGCGAGGCTCGCCGCTGCAACACTCCATCACGATGAGCCATGAAGACTGGAAGAATTCGATGTTACAACACCTGAATTCCCGGGAATTGCAACACACAACTCAGGCATGGGGACACAGCCAGTCTAAGCCTCCGCCTCGGCCTCGTCATACTCGAGCCCAATCAGATAATGTAGGAGTCGCTGGCCCTCGCGCCCGCCATGTCCCATCGCTGTCGCAAGCGGCCGAGGACCTCGAGGCTGCCCTCGCAGGTCTGTCCGATAAGGATGGATCGCAAAAAAAGCAGGTTGTTCTGGATGGACCGTTGCAGATCAGCCGCAACGGCGACTTGATCGCGACCCGTCCCGCGCCCCGTCCTCCATCTACAAAGCCTCACTCCCAGTCACCGCGAGGGTCGCCCCTTTCACACTTAAAGAGGGAAAATCGCATCAGATCGGTCAGTCAAAGTCCGACCAAAGAAAAGAGTCATCGACTCCTCAAAAAGGAATCGAAAGAAAAAGCCCGCCCTCCTAGCAGGGACACACAGACAGATGCAAAGCCCCTGATATCCGAAGCGAAAAATAACGCAAATCCCAAAGAGACAAATCCCAGAAAAGAAAAACTCAGCAAGAAATCCTTTCTGGCCTTCAGTCGCAAACAGAGCCAAGGGCTGCGCGATGCAGTTAGCGTGGGCTCACGGTCGGAGCATTCCCTCCACCTGACAGAGGCGCATTCTTCCAATCCCCAGGATCTGGCCCCCACGCGCAACGATCTACTACTTCAGTTACCGCGTCTCCAAACTAATGATCTCGAGGGGAATCCCTTGAGCGACATTGCTGGACTGGATCAACCACTGTCGGGTAGCCCCGGTCTGCGAGACATGGACTGTGCGGCTCGAGCCGAGGAGAGCGCCCAGGCCTCTGACAACAAGCTCCGTCAAAGCTGGGCTTTGGTCTCCACAGCTCAGGCGAGCAGCCTCCACATCCCAGAACAGATCTACGAACTAGCCGCTACTCCCCCGTCACCTTTATCGGCGCTGCCTTCCCGTGTGCGCAAACATGATCATGGCGTCGAGATCACCCTTCCCGAAGATTTGCCGGTATATCTGATCTTCACGATAATGGAGCAGATCGACTCATTAGATGATCTCTTCAACTTCGTGCTCGTCAACAAGAAGATCTATACCGCTTTCAAAAGGCGCGAGCTGACTATGCTGAAGAACGCTTTGTTTAAGATGTCCCCGCCCGCTTGGGAACTGCGCGAGATGAGCCCGCCGTGGGAAATGGAGTGGCAGCTTTTGATAGATCCGGACTCTCAGGTTCCGGAATACACGCCTACTCTGTATCTGCAGAGGTATGCACAGGATATCTATACCCTTGCAAGGCTAAAAGCTCTGGTTCTTGCGCGGTGCGCTCCTTTCCTCCGTCGCGACACCATCCGCGGTCTGGCAGGCGTGGATAACAAACGTGCTGAGGATGTCGATGATGCTTTCTGGCGGATTTGGACCTTTTGTCGTATCTTTGGAAGCGGCAAGGGGCGAGAGAATGATATCACTGGTCAAATGGATTGGCTGAGAGGTGGAGTCGCAGCGAAGGGCCACTTCACTCCGGCGTCGACAATGACACAGCCTTTTGGTATTAATACTGTCTTGTTTGAACCGCCGGAGGGATTCGGTCGGGGTAATCTCTCGGGTCTGTCGCAGAAGCAGATGTACGATCTAACGGAAATTTGGACGTGTCTGGGTGTTTTATTGCAGCCATTGCATGGAAAATGCATCGAAGCCCGCAAGGTGGGCATCTTCGATACTATGAATGTTCCAGATGGTGACTTGGTCCGCGAAGAGATCATTCTCGGTAGGTGGAACAATAACCTCAACCCGGTGATTTATGGCTAACTCGGCGAATCAGAGGAATGGACTTCCTATATCCTTACGCTCGGCCTAGGAGCAGTGTTGACACTCAGTTCCGTGTGCGCAACTGACACCACAGTCGCCAAATTCACCAAGGCGAACTCAATCGGCCTGACCAAATGGGATCTAACCGAAACCGAAGCCAGTCGATCATCCTTCCTCAAAGAGGCGGTCTCGCGCGCCTATGAACTCCAAGAACGAACACTTGAAAGCCCAACTGAAATCAGTCCCCAACAAACAGCAGCGCAGTCAAGTCCAATTACCGAAACTTCCCGCGAGGACCGTCAACGCCAGGCCAGGTTCGCGCGCGAGCTTCGTCACCGCCGTGAACGCGGAATCGATCTCGACCCAGAACGTCGCTGTTCGTTCTCTGCTGAACGGCCCATGTCAGAGTTCAGCGCTATTGTCCGTGGTCTCAATGGGTCGCTTCGAGAACGCCAGCCCGTGCCACCTGTACCTGCGCTTGTCCTCGAACGGTCCTCGACGTCTACTTTGGGGACAGCCCCTCATACCCCGACATATCCGTCTGATCCTTCCCCTCCCTATGCGCTGTCAAATACTCCTCCAGCTCCAGCCATTATAGCTCCTGTACCTCTACGGCCGCAGGTCCTAGATCCTGTTGACCGCGCTATCCACGTGATTGTCAATGAGCTCGGTTTCGATGCAGAAGACGCTAAGTGGGCGCTTAAAATTACAGATACTGGTGAAGGGATTGATGCCCATGCCGCTGTGAAGCTGCTCCAGCGTCAACGTATCAAAAATGAGCGTAATCCCTTCGGCCAACGTGATAGTCTGTTGTCATCTGCTATTAGGCGTCAGCAGTCGGATGATTCAGGGTGGCGTTGGGCTTGATATTCTGACTTCCTTTTCCTGGCGTGTGTGATGTTTTTGAACACGTCTATGCCTATCAACGAATTAGTACCACGACCTTTCTATGTTATATACCCTTACGATGATCTTTTTTATTTTTTTCAAGTTTCCTTTTGTGGTTTTATATCATTTGATAGATTGTCTATCACTTCACACTCATTCAACTTTTTTCCCGCTGTTTCACAAGTCTCACTCGCCTTATTTGGTTGCACTTGAGTGTTATATACGAAAACTGAGCATCAAGCCTATTTATATATATTTCTATTGCTGTGAATCAGACTGTACGGCCATTCAATGAACTTTCGTACGGAGTGAGAGTTATCATGATCGGTACGAGCATAGTTAGGACTATATAAATAGACAGAGACTCGAGGAGAGGCTGCTATAGCTACTGATGCTAGGTAGGATAGCAAGATTCAAGTTGGGAGCTACTACAATAAGTTATTCCATATTGTGTTTCAGCTGACTAGCTAAAAGTACGAGACCAAATATTGAATTTCTATTTGAGGCAATGTCGGCCTTCTGCTCTAGAGAAACTGGCCAAAGCATCTAGTTTGGATGCGATCGAGGTGTCGTCCATTCTCTATCAACTGGAGAATTCACATCACATTGTCTTATACAAGCCGGATGCATGCTCACCCACTCCTATTGCGATGGCCCACCCTTTCTGAGTGATTGCTGCGTTCATTTTTCCGTTCATCCATCCAAGTGGTGGAAACACGTGCGATTTGCGTGTGGCTCTATAACACCAAAGGTACGCAGTAACTCTTATGCGTTGCTCTACATGGTTGCAAACATCATCCAGAATAGGAACTTGGGAAGTTTTTGACACAAGATTTAATCAAACACCTGGTTTGGCTCAGCAAAAGACTGCCACAGCAATTATCTATCATCTTTAAGGGCTAATGTATATTTCAAATGCAAAGGCTGGAACGGAAGAAGCATAAACTCGTCGCATCGTCAAGGTGGCACACTCTTTATGGTTATTGTATTCAGATCAAACACCATTTGGCTCGTCATCGTCGGACTTGTCGCCATCGCTATCCTCACTCCAGCCGTCGGCTTCAAGTGAGCGACCACGGATACCGAAGCTCATGATGAATCCAATGAAGGAGACGGCTCCAAAGACTCCAAATGCCAGGGCTTCTCCCTTGGGCTGAATCTTGGCTGTCAGAGAGAATAATCCTCCGGAGAGGAATGGGCCAACGGCACGTCCGGCAGCGGAGAGGGTCTGTGCAAGACCATTCAGAGCGCCTAGGACAGCGTGATTGGGTGCGGAGTTTGTGACCTAGAGAAAATATTAGCCGTGATATTCTTTACGAAATTGAAAGGCCAGAGGTTCTTACCAAAAGCAGAGCGCTGGTCAGACCGCCCACCGAGGCAATAGTCTTGACCAGCAAGACAAAGCACAGTTCAATGGCCATAATGGCCGACTTGCTAGTCACCCCATCCGCAGTTTTGCTCTTGTACCCAATGAAAGGCATCAAGATGAATGAGATGACGAAGCCGAAGAGACCGGCGCGGTATGACCATCGGTTGCCCATCTTGTCCCGCAGACGGTTGAAAATACAGATTTGGAAGATGATCGTCACAACCCCCGCGAATCCTTGAGAAAGGCCAATCTCGGATGGTGTGAGGGACCGTCCAGCCGGAGGCTTGGCTTGTGCGAAGATTGGGAACAGCGAGTTGAAGGAAACATTGCAGAAAGCAAATATCAAATATGTCAAGAGGAGCAAGATTGTATCCCGAGTGAAGATTTCGTCCCACGTAAGTTCTTCATGGTGGCCATGGATGCTTGACACTTCCGACGCAGAGTCCAGATCACTGTCATGATCCTCGGTCTCTGCGTCGCGTAGGCCATGAATACCCAGGGGTCCTTGCGACACCTCCACGTAGGTCGGGTGGCGGGAATCCCCGGTGAACTGCCACAGCCATGTAAACAGGTTGCGCACCTTTTTGCCGATCTTTGGAAGACTATCTGCGTCTTCTAAACTCTCTTCCAGGAAAATAGCCGTCAATACAAAATCCATCAAAAGCACCACAGCAGATAATACGTTCGGGGCAAGGTAAGGGTATGGGTTTTTGTCGCCAGTAAAAGGATTAGTCTCGAAAATGAGCATTCCTCCCAAGAGAGGACCCGTTATACCTCCAATGCCATATAGAACAGGTAGGTAGGTGAAGGCCTGAGACTGGTTGCTTCGGTCGGTGATTTCTCCGAGACAGGTGGACACCAACCCCTGGTTTCCATTGACCATACCCATTAAGGCTTGTACCGCTATAGCTTGTACTAGTGTCTTGCAGAATCCGAATGCAATGAAGCATAGCGCAGTCAAAAAAGTGCCAACCAGGATCACTGGCTTGCGACCAATGCGATCCGAGAGCCAGCCCCAGAAATAGTTTGTAACAAATTGTGCCAATGCAAAAGCTGAAGCAATGGTCCCCACGTACACGCCCACCTGGGTCGGTTCGACTTCGGGGAATGTCGATGCCATGTCCGGGAGGTATGGACTAATCGAGTTCAATGCTGTTTGCTCCGCCAGTGCAATCATTGCCAGCACTGCCATCTGCCTCTTTGGCAGTGGCGATGATGTTCCGGTGGAGTCAGCGGTCTCATGATGGTGCTCGTGTGAACCGTCCGCGGAGGACTCGGACTGGCCCGAGTTAGGTCGTCCGCGCGACTTGGGCGGCGGGGTATCGAAGGTCTGGTAGTGCTGCGTGGAAGAGCGGCGATTGAGCGAAGCCCGGTCTGGGCCCGTCATTCTGGCAGCACACCAGCAAAATTAAGACCGAATGAAATCTTGATACAACCGAGCAAACAATTGGGGGTCGTGCCAAAAGCCCGGTTGTAGACGTAATCTTGTCGTGTGGGAGCTTATGAGTGCGGCCACAAGCTGCGCTGGTATTTTTGCAGCTTTCCTATGTAAGCTGAAGGGCGATGTGAGGTACCTGAGGTGATCTCCGGGCAAGAAAAAGTGTGGAGAAGCTTAGGATGATTGAAGTGACCGCAAGCCCGCGACCGGATCAGGGAAGACAAATGATGATGTAAGCGCGATGATGCTGAGTCATTTACCTAGGTACCTAAATAGTGCTCGGTGGCGTAACCATTTATTTAGATTCATCTGCATGATGCCTCTGTTTTGATCGTTTTCGCTGCATGCCAATGGCCCTTGCATGCGCTGATCTTCTGTTACCAGATCTTTCTTGTCACAGAGGAGGCTGATGTCGAAGTTCAGCTGTTCAAAAGTACGGAGTACATAGAGGCTCATAGCGAGATGCATCACTTAGTCCATCTATATCTGATCTCAATCAGCCATTCCAGGGCTTTGACAGTAGATTATTGATTCTTTCAAGATGTAGATCTTATACAGAAAAGAAAGGGGAAAAAAGGCACAGCATACGGAGCACAAATTCTCAACTATTTATAAGTCGGGGGCTGGGTTATCTCCAACATGCATGTAGAACATACATGAGGGATTCAGCCACTACGGAGTATACTGGCGTAGTTTATAGGTAGTATCTTCCTATTCCATATATAGTACGGAGTATATGGAGTACATCTCATCACCTATGTCTATCGACGGTCATGGACCATTGAATAATTCCGTTTAAGAGATTCATTTACAAGATGCACGGGTCTGGACTATAGTCCGCATATATATCCCGCCAACATCCAACTCACAATATCCAAGATTATTATTTCTGCTCACTTTGATTTAATACGTTATGGATGAAATCTGAATAAAGACTATTACCTTAACCCATATTAAGCTAGAATGAGAGATTTAGTATGCTCCCTAGATAATTCCTCGACTATGTGGCCATAACCTGCTGCTACTTCCATCAACCAGCCAAGTGGCCGAGCAGTAACTCAGCCATCACATCTTCCTTGGTCTAGTGGTGATGATTTCCGCTTGTCATTAACACCGATAAGCGCGGGAGACCGGGGTTCGATTCCCCGAGGGAGAGATTTCTTTTTGCTCTTTTTGTGTTCCTCCTGGGACATATCAGGACTGCTTTTTTGTTCAAATAATCTTTAATCAATGGTATCTGCCGAAACACTTCAGCTTGTACGGAGTACATACTTATCAATACTACACGGAGATAATGGCGTATTAACGTGGACCGAACAAAAGCCGCCTGCAAACATTTTTAAGTGGAGCTAGGCCCTAAAAACTCCACTGCCCCATATAGCACTCGCCGGCAGTCTCTTCCATCAAGGCCGGCTGGCCCAATGGCAAGGCGCTTGACTACGAATCAAGAGATTGCAGGTTCGATCCCTGCGTCGGTCAATATTTTTGTTTCCTGGCTTTCCTTTTGCTCCATCGTTGGTCAGATTCATCGAACCGACGAAGAACAAGTAGAATGGCGGTGGTTGGGGATACATGGGTGGCAATTCATCTTTTTTTTGTCTTTGGCTGGGCTGCTCGCTGGATCATAAAAGGGCAAGAATAAAATGCCAGGCGTGGGAGATTGATCACGTTCTACCAAATGGAACGTAGGTAAGATGGTGTCAATAAGAAGGCTGCTGGAAAGATAGGATCTGTATAGATATTGCACTGATGAACTTGCATGACAATCTCTTCCTTACGAGACTCTCGGGGGTCCCGTTGGGGGGAAACGACCTCTCCAGTGGCAGGTTTGTCTCCACCGATAATTTAGGAGTTAGTGCCAATGTCTACGTGAACAGCCTATTTGTTGGTTATTCTGCAAGGTGGTTAGGGCTGGTACATGACCTGAGTGCATGTTAGCTTTTTAATACGAGACCAGTTTACAAAATCAGTATCCTACCTCTTCCCAAGGTTCTTTTCATCAATACATACAGGTATGCAGGCATCTCTAAAGTTCCAGTATACAAAACTCTCTAAATATCAACGATCCAATGTTCTTTTTGTGACCCCGCAGAGAGCCAACAGCTACTCTGTATGTGACTACATGTAGATACTTAGAATTCTATACCCCCGTGAGCACTTCATTACACGAGACAATACCTAAAAATAAGATGCAAAGAATAGGACTGCAAAGAATATCGAAGTGCAAAGAGACAAAAAAAAAAACATCAAACTCAAGGATGTGCAATTCGCTGTGCTTTTTGGAAGGTTCGGTCGAAGAAAGTCCTTCATATATGAACAATCTGCTTTTATAAACCCATAAGTTAAACATTAGCTACATCTTATTCTGGAAACAACTTTTTGCACTCGATCGTTAAAACCGCATAATAATACTATCTAGTGTACCTAGGTAAAAAGCTGATCGGACTCTTACATCACAGGAACGTTAAAGGGAGGGCTAAAAACGATTCAAACTCGGGTCAAGATTTTGTTTATTCAAGAATACGCATATGCACATGCATGTTAAAATGTACGCTTCGGGTGTGAATGTGTACAGCGCTCCGGGGTCTGTTCCACTTGGATATCCCTGATATTGGACCCCTTTTGGCATTGTAAATCATAGTCCCTATTAAGGCTATTCCCATAAGTGAACCTACTCATACTATATAAACCTTGAGAAGAGCAGAATATATCCGTAAAAGGCACTTCTAAAAAGACCTTTAAGAACATGGGCAATTAGAAAGGCTTCCAAAACGACGTCGCAAGACCGCAATACAGCCGAATATACTCCGTACTGGAAGCTTCATTTTGCCGGATGTTCCAGGTTTAAGTTAGATATCTTCCAAAGGTACTTATCAAGGTCTTTATTAAAGTAATTCAGCTATTCTATTTTTTTCCAGTTTTAAGCCAGGCATATTCTTGCAGTAAATTCGATGTTAATTGAACCAAACCCCTGAGCGCCATAAACATTCGGACTTCAGACATGTCACAGTGCGTTCTGTTAATGGTAAATTGTTTCCGATATCCCATGGAAAACTTGCAGGTATTTAAACATAATCAGTTGATCCTCCCGGTTACAGCGAATATGATTTGCAGTAAATATCTCATTGGTGAGGTTATATCTCATGGTAGCTGAAAAAGCTCCAGACTTTCCTAATCAAATAGATTGAGTGACTCGCAGTAAGCACAGTGCAAGGCTGATAAGCATTGGGAGATTCCAGTGACCATCAGAAGCGTTGACGTCCGTTACGAGATGATAGCAAAGTCTGCCTTTCTACAAAAGGCTATGTTCTATTGAAATCGCTATAGTATTACAGCATCTCGATTTCCACTATAACTCGCAGTTACACAATAAAAATTGGATCAAGCGAGAGTATCGTGAGAAATTAAATCACAATCCAATGTAGGATCCTAGCAATCGAAGTCTATCCCGTAGTCTTCGCTGCTTGGACATTCGTATCGTTTTGTCTAGCTTTCCCTGTGCTCGCAAGAGGCCGTCAAGATTCTTAAAGACCTGGAGGGTGGATTTATGCTTCGGTCCGAGTATTTCCTCATACCCAGCTAGTGCCCGCTGGTACATCTCTTCGGCCTTATCTGGTTTGCCTTGAATATAATAGAGAAGGCCAATGTTGTGGACGGCAATAAGGGTTGACTGATGGTTCGGTCCGAGCATTTCCTCATACCCAGCTAGTGCCCACTGGTACATCTCTTCGGCCTTATCTAGTTTGCCTTGATCATGATAGAGAATGCTAATACTGTCGACGGCATTAAGGGTAGACTGATGGTTCGGTCCGAGTATTTCCTCATACCCAGCTAGTGCCCGCTGGTACATCTCTTCGGCCTTATCTGGTTTGCCTTGGTCATAATAGAGAAGGCCAATACTATGAACGGCGTTGAGGGTTAACTGATGGTTCGGACCGAGCATTTCCTCATACCCAGCTAGTGCCCACTGGTACATCTCTTCGGCCTTATCTGGTTTGCCTTGATCACGATAGAGAAGGCCAATATTGTGGACAGCAGTAAGGGTTGACTGATGGTTCGGTCCGAGTATTGCCTTATACGCAGCTAGTGCTCGCTGGTACATCTCTTCGGCCTTATCTGGTTTGCCTTGATCATAATAGAGAACGCCAATATTGTGGACGGCAGTAAGGGTTGACTGATGGTTCGGTCCGAGGGTTTCCTCATACCCAGCTAGTGCCCGCTGGTACATCTCTTCGGCCTTATCTGGTTTGTCTTGATCACGATAGAGACGGCCAATATTGTGGACGGCATTAAGGGTAAACTCATGCTTCGGACCGAGTATTTCCTCATACCCAGCTAGTGCCCGCTGGTACATCTGCTCCGCAGCAGCCATTTGAGACTGGTGGTGAAGTAATTGTGCAACGTGTGAGAGCTTGGTGATTTGATCAGGCGTAGAATCATGAGCAATATCATTTTTAAGGAACCGCTGTTCTACTAGTCGTGTTGCATGACCAGCTGATCGGGCAAAAATGATACGTTCAAAATCATACCGATCAAACGCATCGATAGTTGCATGGACGCAATCTAATGCGAACCAGTAGGACTCCATATCAATACCCTTATTGAGTACGGCCAATGTCCAGTCATGCACACAATTATGCATGCTCCATGACTTTGATGTCAAGTGGCCTTCCAGAAAGTAGTACTCGGTTAGAAATGCTACCACTCCGTGGAAGGTCACTTCATCAGGAACCACTTCAAGAAGCCACCGGGGAGAGCTTTCGCTGATTCCATCTTGGAAAAGCTCATACCAGAGGTTCTCGTTACCGAAGTACGCCAATAACTTCAATAATTTTGCCGCGAGGGGGCTGTTGGTTTCTAGCTGGGCGTATGAGAGGTTCCAAGCTGTGAAAAGTGTATGCTCACGGTAATCTTGAAGTTGTGTAGGATTGCTGGGATGAATATTCCAGCGCTTTTCGTACTCTTCCAGGTAGCGTGCAAAAGTGAAATTGCTTCGCTGTAGATATGTCCCAGCGGTGGCCAAAGCAAGCGGAAGGCCATTAAGTCGCTTGGCAAGGCGCGTTGCATCAGGGTCTGTCAAAGGTTATTAGTTAAGCATTTCAACATTGAATATATAGATACCGTACCTGATTGAACATTTTCTCTTTTTGATCGGGTTTGAAGAATTGCGAGACTGTCGTTGATATCCTGGAAAGGCTTTACATCGAGAACGAGACCTGCGACCTGGGCTGGAACTCGCGTGGTGACTAGGATCGACCCCTGGGAACAAGGTGGGTAATAGTTGTTGATATCATACTGGCTTGGGTCATCATAGTTATCATAGATCAACAACGCTCCGGCATTTGCGGAATCAGATAGCCACCGATGTACTAGTTCGACAATCCCTTCGCTCTTCAAGGGACGGGGATCCTGGGCATTGAAGATGAGATTGGCGATCAACCTGAAACTATCTTTGAGTGAAGCTTCAGACGTTGCATTCAACCAAAACATGGAGGTATAAGATGCAGCGTGCGACTTTGCGTAAGCAATAGCAAGCCGGGTCTTGCCGGCACCGCCCATTCCACCAAGAACTAGGCGCCGTTGGTTGTGAACCTTCTGGGCTGGGTTCAAGGCTTGTGCAATTTCCACAATCTCAGAGCAACGCCCAACAAAGAGCTCTGGAGCCAGAAAAGGTGCTTGGCCGAGACAGTCACCAACTGGTGGACGAAAGCTGAAGTTTTTTTTCTGTCGAGTGACTACAAATAGAGGTCAGTACGACTTTGTTCAAATAAACCGAATAAGCGTTTGTTCTGAAGAAAAAGGAAAACAGTTCTCTACAAGTAAATGAGATATCTCGTAGACTATAAGAACGGAGTAAAGATCGCATCAGGGAATGCTAAGACCGAGGAACTAATGCAATATTATATATCGCCCTTTGGTCCTCGATCCATTCACATACAAAATCAGGTCAAGTGGGAGAACGACTCCTAGGGCTTCTCCGCTGCTCACCAATATTGAAAGTCTGTGATCCAACATGTCCACTATTGGCGTAGGTGCCAGTGTGATTGTGCAAGTTCCCCCCGTCCCGATTGATGTTGTTGGTCTGAGTTCCATCTCCGTTGGAGATGTATATGCCGGTATGTTCTTCTTCTGAGGATTCAATGGATTTCATCTCTCGGAGGATCTCTTGAAGCTGGGCGTTTTGCTGTTGATTACCAGATCTAACTGAATTGTGATTGACAAGGAGTTGGACTTGTTTGGTGATTGATTCCATGAGCTCTTCGACCTTGTTTCCTTTTCCGAGTCTTTTCACCAGTTTCCAATATCGTTTCTTCCATGAATCGCCGTCACCAGTGATCATTTTTTCAAAGATGTTCTTTAGCTTGGTGACTTCATCCTCACAAGACTCGATGATCTTTTCCAAGGCTTCGCACACATTTTCGGCCAGTGAGTCTGCTCTTCGTTCAAGGTGACTCTTGCATTTCGTGAGAATATCGAGAATGACGGGGAGTTGGTGTCGAACAGCGTCGAATGTCTCAGGCAATTTGATGTCCTTCCGAGCACCGTCGTAGATCTTGATCGAAACCTCGATGAGAGAAACAACTGCGGAAATGGCGCCGAGCACTTCTGCCATTTTTGACATAAACAATAAGAATGAGTAGTGAGGTATGCGAAAGAGCAGAAGTCGTGAGAAAAGGCGGGATAGAGAAAGCTATCTACTTACGAGCTAATCTGGTTAATTCTGTAAGAAACGCCCGGGTGAGCGCGCTTACTTCCCTACACTCGGGGCGTATGATGGAGGTCCTCGAATAGGATGGCCGCCGCATGAGCTCAAGTCGAAGGAGCCCAATCATATTGGAGGTAATACGAGGTATTCTCTTTAAATAGCTGATATATGCTCCTCTTTGGGCTGGCTATGAGAGATATACACCAATCCCTACGTACCTATAGCGTAACGGGTGAGTAATTGACTAAGTCCTGAAACCCCCCAAGGCGCTTAGAGAGAGTAGGGCGGCGGTTAGGGCTGTGATAGGACACGAGTGCAAGGGGGCTGTTTCTATACGATATCAGTTGACCAAGTCAGTATCCAGCCGCTTTGTTCTCTTCAATGGGCATTTCTAAAATAAGTGTACAAGAACACTTAAATATCAATAATCCAATCTTCCAAGACCATACGGAGAGCCAACAACCGTCTGCAGGTGGCTGGACAAACAGGGCTCTATACTTTTGTGAGAACTTCATTATGTGAAACAATACCTAAGAATAAGATACAAGGAATAAAATAGCAAAGGATATCGGGGAGTGTAGAAGGCAACAAATGTCAAACTGCAAAACCACTTCGTCTCTTACTTCATCAGTAGACTGACAGCCCAGGGAACACTAAGTCCTCGCAAATCTCCATAATGCTGTCCAACACCCAAGAAAACGATGGGAATACCGGTAGCGTGGACCATGCTGACCAAGGTTCCCACCATGTCGCCGACGGTATCACATTTACTGATGATGAAACCATCCAGGTTCCTGCCAGTGCCAAAGGCCTGGTTGAAGTTGCGGGCCTGCATGACACTGTCTGTGCCGACCAGAGCCTCACCAACCATAAAGATCTTGTCTGGGTTGGCAAACTTGGCAAACTTCTCGAGCGAGGACATCAGCCGCTGATCATTATGCCGGCGGCCGGCAGTATCAATCAGGACGACATCAAACTTGTTGGCCGCAGCGTAATCAACTGCATCCTTGGCGACATTGGCAGCGTCCTTGCCATAGCCCTTCTGGTAAATCTCCACGTCGCCTGCATTCTCGCGGACGCTCAATTCCTTCAAACGGTCAGCGTGCACGCGGAGCTGCTCCACGGCACCAGAACGGAAAGTATCGCAGGCTGCGATAAGTACGCGGTACTTGTTCTGCAGCAAGAAGTAGCAGATCTTGCTCAGATTGGTCGACTTGCCAACGCCGTTGACACCAACAATAGACATGACATACGGGCGAGGCGCCTGCTGCTTGGTAGCGGGGGCAACTACAGCGTTGATCTCGCGCAACAGATCCAAGGAAGAAGTCGGCGTGAGGATCTTCCGCAGCGAAGATTCCATGGCCACACGTAAGGCGGCATCGATACTCTGGAAGTTTCCAGTCTTCTTGCCAACCATCTCCCGCTTGACTCCATCGCAGAGACGAACGGCGGCTTCACGCGCCACGTTCTTCTTCAAAAGGTGTTCTTCCATCGCCTTGAGCGGCTTCTCGAGGTCCGAATCCGTCAGAACCTTTCCTCCAACAATGTTGCGGAAGAAACCACCGATTGCATTAAATCCGGAACCAACAACACCAGACGAAGCAGTGCTCTTGGACTTTTCTGCATCGGCTTGATCCAAAATGGACTGGACTTCCTCGCCCAACTCCTTCAACACGAATTGACCCTTGCCAGTTCGGCGACCCCAATCATCCTCAGAGACACCCTCGACTGCTGGTGCAGCGGCCTCTCCCTCCTCGGCGGGGGCAGAGTAATCAAGGATCTCTTCATCACCATCGACCGCCATTCCACTATCATCCCATCTGCGCATTTTCTTCACAGGGGTTTTGGCTGGTTTCCCCTTCCGAGCCTCATCACCAGACGATGCGTTGGCGCTTGAATTAGCAGCCTTGCGCGCACGTCTGGAAGCACGACCTCCTGGTCCGGCTTTCGCGGTAAGAAGATGGCCCTGGGGGGTCGAAGATCTAGAAATTTCTGGTGTAGTTGGTGGCGTACCCTCGTCAGAGGTCGCCCCGGCTAGCGCAGCTCTAGGCTGCGCTTTGAGATGGTCAGTATGCATTTGGATTGGGGATATTAATGTTCCATACCTTTAGCCAAGCCAGGTACCGGTGGCGGGGGTGGTCCTCCATTGTCTGATGAAACAAGCGGATCTTTCTTATCGCCCGTCTCTGGCTCATATCCCTCCACAAAGCCACCAGTGTTGTCCTCAAGTTCCCGCACTTGTTGCTCAAAGTATTGATCGAACCGATAGGTTTGGATTCTCGCGCGGCTTCCCTTCACCTGATCCTTATAGAGATCGATAAAGATTGTAGAAATATTCTCGAGAAGTTTGTCAATCCATCCAAGATGAAGCAGCGATTGGTAAACGGCCTGTATATATCCAGAATTAGTCCTGCAAGATAGCGAGGCGCATGCGCATGCGACAGACATACCACGAAGATCAAATCAAACTCCTTGACTCTCTTCCATTTCAATGTGTATTTCTCCTTCTTGTATGCCGGCGAGACTCCAGGTGTCGCACTCTGCGGGACGACTTTCTCCTCGATGAAGACATCGTTGATCAGGCTGTTGATGACATGTGCGCCCACCGGAGCGTATGACTTGGACCAGAGCACCACGCCCGAGGCTGTGAGAATTTCAAAAGCCTCCAACATTCTGAATATCACCGGTAATCGTAGAATATGACAAGCGAATAACCAACGTGTGAGGGAAATGTCTGGTGTGACTTGGTGGCGGAACGGGGCAAAGTTGGAGAGCTCGGAAGCGGATTGGATCTTCAGCCACGTATAAACACTTCCCTCACGTTCTATCGACCTCGCTTCTTCCAAACCACCCCCGTCACACGTCCGGACTCGTTCGTCGCCGAATTACTACGCTCCTTATCCTTCGATCTCGTTTTTTTCATATTTAAGTGCAACATGTATCGGGGCTCTTTCGCTCCGCCGCCCGCGCAATCGCCGCCCCTTCATCACCCCGTCCCGCAACATGTCTCGACAGTCCCTATGATGCGCTCGCCACCACCACCAGCTCCCCAACAACCCCCAAGTGCTGGATATGGCGGTAACCCATATCAGCCATCGCCCGCTCAAGGCGGCAGTGGAAGCTATGCCCCTGGTGCTCCTGGATTTGGTGGGTTCATGAACGAACCCACAGCACAGATGGGCTTCCAGGTCGGCAAAAGTGCAATGGCAGCTGGCCAGGAATACATGGAAAATAACGTACGAACTATTGACACATCCTGATCCACAGCGTATATCTGACCGGAAGTCTATCCACAGTTCAATCGCTATGTCTCTATACCCGCTCTCAAACACTACTTTAACGTCTCCAACTCCTACGTCCTGAACAAGTTGATCCTCGTTCTCTTCCCCTGGCGACACAAACCATGGTCCCGTCAGCAAGCTCGAATGGCATCCTCCACGCCCGGACCAAATGGTCAGATCATACAACAACAATACTCGTCCATGTTCTTGCCTCCTCGTGACGACCTGAACTCGCCGGACATGTATATTCCTGTTATGGCATTGGTCACATATATTCTTCTCTCAGTTTTATTAGCTGGATTCCGGGGCGATTTCCACCCAGAGCTTCTGGGATCGATCACCACCACGGCTATTGCAGTGATTGCTTTTGAGATCTTATGCTTGAAGCTCGCTACGTATATTTTGAACATCAACAACGACTCGCAGCTGCTGGATCTGATGGCTTACTCCGGATATAAGTTCGTGGGAATCATTATCACCATGGTGGCTTCCGAAGTCTTGAACCCCGGACGGGGTACTCGGGGCTGGGTTGGCTGGACTGTCTTTGCGTACACATTTTTGGCCAACGCATTCTTCCTCGTGAGTTCATGACCTATATTTATATCTAGAGTGCGCCCGACGGTTGCTGATTAAGGGAATTCTAGCTTCGCTCCTTGAAATATGTGTTGCTACCCGATTCGACCGACTCTGCCATGCATGCCGGCTCCATGCAGGCTGTGGCTCGATCTCAGCGCAACCGACGCGGCCAATTTTTGTTTGTGTACTCGTACGCCGTTCAGTTCGTTTTCATGTGGGTGCTTAGTCGCGAGGGACCATCATCGGCGGCATCTGCCGGCTCGGCATCATCATGATCGGATACGCAGAGGGACAACGGATATTTGCTCTTTGCTGTTTGGGCGACATAGAATAGGTTGGAGGAAGGCATAGCATGGCGGGACAGCGAACAGCTTGCTCTAGGTCTTTGGGCATTGCGCGGCCGAGGTAACGATATAGCACGACTTACTGTAATCAAAACTATTTGCATTTGTACATTGCGACAAGCGGGTTCTAGGACGTAGGTCCGTAAAGCTTAATGGTAGGACTTAAGCTACGGGTGCTACGTTTTTTTTTAACTTGTTTTAGAACAGATTTGAGCTAAATACTAATGGAAACAGGTTTTCTTCAAGAGATATATTATTCATTGCGATAGCTATATAAAAGGAAGCGAGCTGACGATCCGACACAGGAGATTCTAGATGATTCTTTTGAAGGTTAGCGACTAGTCACAACCAACATGTCAAGCAATGATGTGCAAGGTAATAAGGTCCTCAGAGATCTTGGTAGTTATGGTAATATCATAGCCAGAAGCTCAATTACTATCTAGGCGTGATAAAGTTTTTAATCATCGGACGGGGAGTTTCCTGACGATTGTATGAACGTACCCTGTGAGAGATCGAGAGCTGAGGTGGTGTCGAAGTACAAGTCCAATGTCCTAGAATCTTTATAACAGTCAGCGCGATGTCTCTGAAGGCATTGACAAGCATAACATGAGTGGAATAATCCATATCAGAATATGTAAGAAAATTGAATATCATACGACAGTGCTGTATAGAGAGCCCCGGCGAGGGCCTCACAGACACTGGGTCAATCGCAAATTACCGCATCATATGAGGATGAGAAGCAAAGAAATGGAGACGAGCATACCTTTAGTAAATGCTACATGCGAGCAATTGGCGAAACTGAGGCTGAAAGCAGACTCATCATTAAAGTCTTGAGCTTCCAAAGCTGGAGAGCTTGGAGGGATCAACAACAGTCTTCGGCGAAAAAAAAAGTGATATAAGCACGGTATCGGAAAATGGTTGATGCGGGTGCTGATGTAAGCAGAGCCCTAGACCTGCGAGTGGCCGGCTAAGCGAGAATGTTGCGAGTGTGGGCACATCCGAATTTCGAGACAATTCTTGGACAATTGAACTCTTTCGACAACCCCTTCTCGACTCATATACCCCTGTCGACCGTGAGTGTGTTATCTTCAATATTACGAGACCCGCGACGCTGAATTTTTCGTCTCCCAGAATTTCGCCATGGCCGATATCGATGTCAAGGTCGCTTCATGGAAGCTGGTCGAGGTTGGCCGCCTAGTGCTGATCCGCAGCGGCCCCTTCGAAGGCAAGCTCGCTGCCATCGTTGAGATTGTGGACCACCGCCGTGTACGTGGAATCGCCCCGTTATTCGCAAATTCGTGACAACCTTGAAGAGAAATCGGGATTTTCGGAGATCTCGAAATACGGAACACATGTATTGACTTGCGATTTTTTGCTCAGGTCCTGGTCGACGGTCCCTCCACCGAGGAGAAGAAGATCGTGCCCCGTCACGTTCTCCCTCTCGCCCACGCCACCCTCACTCACTTCACCATTCCCCAGCTTCCCCGTGCTGCCGGTACCGGTCCCGTGAAGAAGCTCTGGGCTAAGAACGAGATCGATGGCAAGTGGGCCAAGAGCTCCTTCGCTCAGCGCTCCGACCGTGCCGAGCGCCGCAAGAACCTTTCCGACTTCGAGCGCTTCAAGGTTCTGCGCCTCCGCAAGCAGGTATGTGATGGATGGAATCGAAAGGGGAATGGCCCTAGCAGATGCGCCTGGGCCCACCCGATCGGATAATCTGGGGATTATGAATTGGCAACTAACAAGAAATTCTAGGCTCGCTACGAGGTCCAGAAGTCCCACGCCAAGGTCCGCGCTGCCATCAAGGCATAGATGATTACGAGGTTTCGGTTGCATGGGTTGAAGGAGGTGTCCTGGAAGGGTTTCCGTTGCTGGTTTTCCTCTGGCAAAATCGCTGTACACATTATCAATGAACAGCAAAAATGATTCAAAATCCTTGATATCCCGGCAAAGGGGCCTTTTGTCATTGATTTTCTTTCCTCCGTCCGGCTCTGGACTCGTTCTATATCCCCCTAAATTTGGCGGGAATATCTGACTCTACAAAAGAATAGAATGAGCAGATGCGTAAATAATGACTTGAGACACTGTATTATTGGATATATTTGAAATCTAGATCTATAAATTATCAGCCAATCTAGTTCAGTATTGGTGATGTAGTCCATATAGGGCAATGTGTGCAGGGCGGCAGAGTCTGGGGTGGGCAACCGCTCGCTAATGATTTTCGGGTTCGGCCTGCGCACAGCTACGCACCTTCAACTTCAACAAAATCCATCCCCATTCACCACAGCTTGATATTTACCTCTCAGGTATGTATGACTATTTACTCAATCGATCCCTCGCCTTTTCAATATGAAATTCCGCCCTTTTCCGAGTGTTGTGCGATTCGTGGGGGGAATGGCCAACTCTCCCACTATGCCCGCTCTCATATCCAACCAAACCTGACAACATTGCGAACTTACAACTAATCGACACTTTTTTTTCCGAATTTCTCTAGGCCCTTTACATCCGCAAAAATGGCTGATCCCCGCGTTGAAGAAATCCACGATGACGAAGTCACCAAGACCGTCGAGGAGAGCTCTGATGAGTCTGGCTCCGAGGCTGGTGATGAGCCCAACATTCCCGCCGGTGCCGCCGTCGCTATTCACTCCCGTGGTGAGAAGAAGGCCCGCAAGGCCATTGGCAAGCTCGGCCTGAAGCTCGTCCCTGGCATCACCCGTGTTACCCTCCGCCGCCCCAAGAACGTATGTGCTCCCGATGCGACCGTCATGAGAATTTCTACCCCGCCAAGTGCAATGTGATTGCAATCAGCTGCAATACTAGCCACGAACGCAATCAAGATATCATGCTATATCAATATGGAAATGCTAATTTTTGTGTTTTGAAAGATCCTCTTCGTTGTCAACCAGCCCGAGGTTTACCGTTCCCCCAACAGCAACTGCTGGATGTATGTGGAACCCAATGACCGACATCTATGAATGATATCCTCTAACACACTTCTAGCATCTTCGGTGAGGCCAAGATTGAGGACCTGAACTCCCAGGCCCAGGCTTCCGCCGCTCAGCAGCTCGCTGCCTCCGAGGCCGCTGGCGACCACGCCGGTCACGACCACGAGGAGATCCTCGGCAAGGGCAAGGCCCCCGAGACTGAGGATAAGAAGGAGGAGGAGGAAGATGATGGCGAGGAGGTTGATGAGTCCAACCTCGAGTCCAAGGATATCGAGCTCGTCATGGCACAAGCAAACGTCTCCCGCAAGAAGGCCGTCAAGGCTCTCCGGGAGAACGATAACGATATCGTCAACTCCATCATGGCCCTCAGCATATAACGAATGACCGGATTTAAGGTTCTATGAGGGACTTGGGTCACGACACTGGATGCAGATGTCTGGCGTGTTGCCCATAGTGTACACAATTCAGCCCAAAAAACAATTGAACCGTGATTGAGTCAACTTAGTTTTCAGGCTAATCTGTAAACACCAATTTTTTCTCCAACCTGGTATATAGTTCTCCAGTAATTCACACGATAACTCGATAATTTGTGTCATGGCCGTACATCGTATACATAATTCTACGGTGGATTCCGGAATGGACATCACGTGACCCGAACAATCCAAACCTTCCGGGTCGCTCCTCGTTCGGCATCTCCCTGCACATTGAACTCCCCTCTCTTCTCCCCACCCCCAACCTCTATCATACCCGTCACAATGGCTGCTGTATGTTCTGCTCCTGCTCATCAACTTGGACAACCCCTGTCAACTCCCTCGGATGTCACCCGCTAACCCCCTTCACCCGAAAACAGCGCAGCGCCGCTCTTAAGATCGACTGGGCCAAGGTGTCGACCTCGCTCGGCCTCCGCGGTCAGACCGCCGCTTCCCTCCAATCCTTCAAGAAGCGCAACGACGAGGCTCGCCGCAAGGTCCAGGTCCTGTCCGAGCAGCCCCAGACCATTGACTTCAGCCACTACCGCGGTATCCTGAAGAACCAGGCCATCATTGACGAGATCGAGAACCACTTCAAGACCTTCAAGCCTGCTTCCTACGATGTCAACCGCCAGCTGAAGGCCATCGATGCCTTCGAGGCCCAGGCTGTTCAGAACGCCGAGGCTACCAAGGGCAAGGTTGAGGCCGAGCTGAAGAACCTGCAGAAGACTCTCGAGAACATCGAGACTGCTCGTCCCTTCGAGGACCTCACTGTCGTACGTATATACTGTTCCAATCTATGGAATGAGAACGATTACTTACATGAATACCTTTTCAGGACGAGGTTGCCGCCGCTCAGCCCGAGATCGACGAGAAGACCGCTTCCCTCGTCTCCAAGGGCAAGTGGATGCCCCCTGGCTACAAGGTATGTGCCAAATATTTTGCTCAGATCATTACAGTCTATTTGATACTTATAACCTTTCTTTTTGTAGGAGCGCTTCGGCGATCTGTCCGCCGTCTAAGCGTGGACTCTTGTGGCCTCAAATCTGCCTTTTTATTCCTCGCTCTATCACACTACGTGATCATTACTTTTGGAGCCAGAAATATGGCTTTTCAGCCACTGTATGGTCAAATACCTCCGATAGTGTGGTTGGGCGATTGGGATGTGTATAGAAACAATACATTTGTCGTTTCTGCGTTCATTGACAGTTTCTACCGTAGTCTCGTACTTAAATGTAAACCATCTTGTTATCAAACCACTGTAGAGAATGGGTAAGATGTAAGCTCTAGACACCAACCAACGCAAATCAACATATAAAAATGTCCTCAGGAAAGCTTTCTCCGGACGGGTGGATCATGTCGGGATATATATCAGCGGTACGCCATCCAATACAGCTTTTCTGAACTCCAACAAAAAGGATTGGACGGCAATGTCTTCCATTCCATTCATATGCCACTGACCATCAAGCCACATATATAATGCTGCCTGATGCGGAGATCTCAAGCTGATCTTGCCAAGACATGTAACCAGCCTCAGTTTACCCACTTCATCTACCCCTCCTCCAACACAGCATTGGGCTGCAAACACCATTCAATATTTTTAATTGAAGACTGTGCCAGAGCCAGGATCGAGTGCACATATCATAAGCCAACAGCACCAGCAAAGACAACGGTATGCGAAGTCTGCAGTCGATACCTTATGGACTGAGTTTCTATTCAGATGAACCGTACGGTCTCTGAGCTTTGACGTCCTCGGCCTTTTACAACTGAAAATATCCCGTGGACCTAGAAAGAAAACACTGCCTTGTTACGAGCAAGCTATACAAGATCACATTACCTCCAAAGTGCGCTGTTGCCAATGGGCCCAGGCCCATCTGATCCGCTGGCCGACCACCCGTGCTCGCGCCTGGAGGCACTGCCCGTGGAAATCCTCCAGTTAATCTTTCTATATTGCCTTGAAGTGAACCTTCCTCGAGCTTCACCACGTCTCAGTCACGCATTGTCCACCCCGTTGCTCTATACCTGGCTTATCCGGCTTGCGTTCAGCAGTACCAATCCAGGCTCTCGAGACGGCTTCTTTACCCCAGAGTTTCTACCACCACCATTGGACTTCTGGGCCTTGTCTTGGCAAGAGCGTCAAAAATTACAGACCGATCTACTGGCATGTCGGTGGTGCACATTACCCCTGCTTCGAAAATGCCAGCGTGAGTACGTTACCCATGCTATTCGACGCAAATGCGCCGGCTTGGTCTTTCAGCCAAACGACCAAGTAGTACTGTCGAACCTGGACCCATGCTTCGACAATCTAGAAACCTGTGACTGGGCCATAGACGGCCGGCGTGGGAAAGGGGATCTGGTTCTTCTCGCACAGGCGGAGGAAGCCTCGCGGTCTGCATCGTCACGCACTATCGACCGAAAAGTTGCGATTTGGTTCCATTTTGGCGCAGTCCAGATCCGTGAACCCAACGAGGTATATTACGAGAACGACCTTTTCCGACTGCCGTGCTCGGTGGCCATTGGACCTGGCCGTATTCCAGATAAGGTCCTGCGCTCGCCGTGGTCAGAGACACAATTTCAATTCCTACAATTGCTCTCTGCGGATTTCTACCTGGATGAGGATGAGTTTAACCCCGACCGATCCTCTGAGATCACATATCGTCTCATCCGCAAGCAAAGCATTGAACCTTTTCGTCGACTGCTGCGTATGCCATTTCGAGCAGCGAATTGTCGCGTCCCAGCTCGGTGGCCGCTACTGCCTTTACACTATTCCCTTGTCCGGCGGTTTGGAAGCGGATCCGGAGATTCGTTTGCAACTGTCATCTTGAACGAGCGCTGGGATGATATCCCCACAGAAGCAAAGGAGGAATTGTTGCGATATATCGAGTCTCCGCTGCAAAACGAACAATGATAGGTCGAGAACCTAAGCAAAATCGGAATTGGCTGGCATATCCTGGGTCTGATATAGCAGCCAGCGAGTTCGTGATCAAATTACACATTCTAACTATACAGGGCTTACACCCATCCCCATTGCACGAAGGAAGAAAGCAAAATAAATTATCTCATGTCTCATATTGTAATTTTGAATTCATAATTCAAGTCTGCGTCTCAGGGTATGTACTCCAAATGACGAAAAGCAAGGCAAAGAAAAGAAAACCTGCACTAGCATAACAATCGTAGGGCCCATAGCCTGCCCTTCTATCTCCAGCCAGTCATGAGCTTGTAGCCATGTCCCGATATGATTTCTTTTTTCGTATCAGACTCTTGATCGACGCCCCCGCCCCCGCCGGCGGTTCCCACAGTATCCGCAGGTCAGACAGGAGATTATCACATCGATCACTGTGACCACGCCGCTGATAATGGCGTGACAGACAGAGCCAATGGCATTGACGATGGCCATGAGGCAACTGCCTATGGCGCGGAAGACGCTTTGGATCTAGAAAGAGATTTGTGTTAGTTGATGTATGTAGTGGGCTGATGGAGTCAACTTACGCAGGAGACCACGGCACCCATCTTGAAGACAAAGAGCTTTGTTTAGGATTTTTATGGTATCCAGTTGACTTATTTCGGTTTGTTGGAAGACAGATAAGACTCCGAGCTGGAGGAGGCGTGTGTATGGACAGTAGGATCGCTAAAAGGGTGCATATTGAAGGCAACGAGGTAGATGGAGAGATGGTTTAAATAAAGACTGATAATGACGATCGCCTCACGACAGAAACAAATGTTTCCTGCTGAGATACGTAAGTGGTGTCTGAAAAAGGTGATTGATAGGCAGTTCGCGCAGTAAAGCTTGTCTTGTCAGGCGTTAGGACGCAAAAGGCTGCAGTTAATGTACGTAGGGCCGAGAAGCCAGTGACGTCGCCGGGGAGGTTATGACAGAATTCCAAGAATTGATGAAGAATGAGAAAGCAGAATCTCGCAGCTGAGAAGTGAACTTTTGATCCAACGGCGACACAAGGTACTAGGGGGGCTGTCAACGGGTCATTCCGTCATCTCTACGCAGACCTGTTTGTTCCTTGATTTCACATTTGTTTACTCAATCTACAGGGATTGTGGGGTGATTCAGTTCTAAACCATCCTCATTTCTGAAGGTTCCTCTAGTTCTAATATGAATTCTGCCAACGTAGAATTGTGTCAAATGCTGTCCTGTTTGTTTCGTGATAGCTTTTTTACTTGCTCACATGCTTGACGTCATTTGATAGCACACTAAGCCCAATCTGGCCATACCGCGGGGTCTACCACGTGATACCAGGTGACCTCCGAGCCCTAAATACACTAAGCCCTAATCCCAAGCCGGAGGCCATCGGTCTGTTTTCCGCCAATCAGAAGGCTTTGAGTCTGTCGGTATACTTGACCTTCTGCAGCATTCAAGAGTCGTTGTATACGAACCAGAAATGCCTTGATCTTACGGCTTAAGGCCCTCTAGACACTTTGTGAGGAATCTTCAACCCATGAACCCCCCCAAACGCGACAATGCTACCGTGACGCGGAGGGATCCAAACTCCACCGCTATCCCCAAGTCGAAGCGCCGACCAGGGCGCATCTTCAAAAACCCGATCCGAAGCAGCTCAGCGCGCCCCTCTCGGTCGAGATCTGGTCCCTACGATCGCCCCTCCAACTCGCCCAAGCCCGGAATATCGCGCCCATATAAGTCGCGCCGGATGTTGTCCCTGGTTGAGGCTCTCCCTGTCGAGATCATCGAGCAAATTTTCTTGTACTCGCTGAATCTCAACTTCCCCCGGGCTTCGCCATTTCTATCCCGCGCCCTCTCCGGTGAACACATCTACCGCGCTCTCATCCTCCTCGCGTTCTGGGATGATCCGCCCAGCTACCCCGGTAGCAAGGCTATCGATCGCATGATGGTCCCGCTCGACTACGTTCCTTTATCGCTGGAAGAGCGCACCCGATTGCAGGAAGCCGTTTTCAAGTGCAGATGGTGTACAATGGACCGGGTGCGCGAGCAGATCCCGACGATGCAGATCCTGGCAATCCACCGTCACTGGATCAACGCTGGGATTGTGACAAGGGAAGACCAGCAGGCCCAGCTTGAGAAGTTGCTCAATCGCAAGGATGATACCATTCGAACTTTCCATGGCAAGGGCCCGGCGCTGGAAAGGATCGCTCGTCTGCTCGAAGCGCAGCAATCGTCTACTTTCTCCGAGTTGGCTCCAAATGCGAAACAACCAGGCCTTCACGATTTTGAGCTTCGTTTAATGCCCATGGTCAACACCCAGGTGATATCTCCAAACATGAATGCTGTCATCAATTTCCCTGCCCTGAATCTGTGCAGATTCCCGTCCCATCTCCTTCGAGGGCGCAGCAACGGTTTCCTGGCAGACGACGTCGCATTCTTGGAGATGTTGCGTATGAGTTCGTGCAATTGGATATCCACAGAGGATACATGTCCCTTAACCACGACAAAAGTCGATCGTAAAGCCCTGAATGAAGGAATCCAGAACGCGATCCGTCATCAGAACTTCAACGCCATGCTTTCTCTTCTCAAAATCGACGAGTTTGTCTTCCGACGTAGTGCAGAGACCAAAGGCCTGCCCGTTTTCTATACCATCCCGCCGGAGCATTTCCTCGCTGTGACTCGCACCGGCCGCGACAAACCACATCTCAACCTGGCTTTCTTTGAGACTCTCCTCCGTGCAAGTGCCGAGTCTGTACCCAGCCACTCGCCCGAGATCACGCGGTGGATTGTCGATAACATGGAGCTCGCCAAGAAGAATCCGAATGTTTACAACGAGATCAATGGGAAGTTCGCGCGTTGGTTGTCGAATTTCATATTGCGTCTCCCTCAACAAATTGATTATGCTTCCGATTTCCCGATGGGCCAGCTATTCTGTGGCGGTCAATTGGATATCATGGATCTTGAAGGCTGTCACTTTTTCGAGCAGGTTCTTGAACCCTTCCGTGAACCTCTAGGGAATTGGTTCAAGGAGAGTTCGTTCCGGACTGAGGATTACTGGTTGAAGAAGCCTGGTCCTCCTCTTCCATGAGTGTGTTTTGATTAGTCCCAGAGGAGTTTGTTTCTAGCCCTATACCCCTATTTAGACCTATTGTGATGTACAATATATCCAGATATATTTCCGAGAGAATGATTTGTGAATTAAATGTATCAACTGTCAGGGATATGACCCATGACAAGATGAACTATGTATAGTACAAAGTGTGTGTTTGAAAAATGAATCTTGAAATGGTCAACCATAAGACCAAACCATCACATATTGCCCAACAGCCGTAGAATACCAGAGATACGCCCACCCAGCGTCAATTGATACCCCGTCTCGACAATACCCTTACACATCTCCCATGCTGCAACCCCACTCTTAGCGTCAGCTGGGTTCTCCCGGTTCTGAATCGGATAGTCCAGGCGCGGCGGAATAGCAGTGCCGATCAAAGTAGGGAAACGATCAATGCAAACAGATTTCATATTGCACAGACCGCGCAGTCCCTCTGCACCTGCGAATCGGCCATATCCGGACCCGCGCACGCCGCCGAATGGCATCTGCACGGCGTAGAAGGAACCGAAGTCATTGACAGCCACCATCCCGGCGGAGATCTGCGAGACGCAGGCTTCCACGTCTGCCCGGCAGTGACCATGAACGCTGGCACCTAGTGCATACTCAGTTGAGTTGGAGATGGCGATTGCGTGCGATACGGACTCAGCGCGCATCACGAGGAAGACCGGAGCGAAGAGCTCTGTTTGGGCAATACGCATGTCACTGGTTACATCCACTAGGAGGGTTGGTGTGAAATAATGGCCGTGTTCATGAACTGGGTGTTTGTATTGGGTTCCGCCAGCGAGGAGACGTGCGCCCTGTTGTACGGCTTCGTTGATGATAGCCTCAAGCTTGGCGAAGGAGGTTGGTGAGATCATCGCACCAACATCTGGGGTTGTGGCGTCGAGGAGGACGGACCCGAGATAGAGCTTTTGAATGCGTGGGGTTACGATTTCGATGAGTCGGTCGTATGCGTTTGGAAGGGCGATGATTCGCTCGACACCAATACAGTTCTGACCAGCTGATTGGAAGACACCGCGCATGAGGAGCGAGGCAATAGTGGGCATATTGCGGAGAGTGCGGGAGTCATCCAGGATAACAGCTGGGTCCTTGCCGCCTAATTCGACACATACGGGCGTAAGGGCCCTGGCGGCCGATTCACAGACCTTGTGAGCGATGGGTCGGGATCCGATGAAGGTCAAATGGGCGATATCGGGGTGCGAGGTGAATGTATCGGCCACGTCGGGCAGACACACTAGCATCTGTACCAAATCGCGAGAGTGACCACAGCTGGAGAGTGCGCCACGCACCATATCAAGGAAGTATAACGCCGACCATGCGGTCTGCTCAGAAGGTTTCACAACAATTGCGTTGCCGCTGAACAACGCACTGATGATGGGGCCGATGAAGTTGTGTAGGGCATAATTCCAGGACACACAGGCACCCACAACACCAAGCGGTTCGTATCTGACCACATTCTTCTTGTACATCATTAGGAAGTTGGTCGGCCGCCGTTCTGGCTGCAGTGCCTTCTCGCCATGATCGATTGTCCACTTGAGCTTCTCCACCGTCACTAGGATCTCGCCGAACGAAGCGTCAACTTTTGTTTTACCCGAATCGAGACAGCATGCGATAGCGAGGTCATCTTGGTGGTCTAGAACGTATCTGCAAGAGGTTAGCGGGACAGTCTTCAGGGGGTGTCGTAGATTAGGCGCCCAATGGCCCCGAAGAGCAGCACAACTGTGTCCACGTACTTCAACAGTGTCCGGAGAACCTTTCTGCGCTCCGCAAAGGTGGTCTTCGCCCATTCCGGCTGAGCAGCTTTCGCAACTCGAACGAGTTCGTTGACATCCTCGACTGTGGCGGGCTTGATTCCTTTACCGAGCACCCTGCCATCGGCGGGACAGTAGCTCATAATCAGTTCATTGTTCCATTTCTGCATAAAAGACCAGCTATTAGCCCAAGAACGCAGAGAAAGAAGGCTCCAAAAAATCAATTCCGAAAGACCGGGCTGGTCAACTCACTCCACGAGCTTGGTCCTCCAACACTATCTTCTGCTTCCCCTGAGCCTCATCCCATGACTTGATAGACGCGCTATTGCGCACTTCCGATGGAATAGGAACATTGAACACGACCGCTGCCTCTTTCCAGCTCTGGGTGTAGAGGTACCCCACGTACACGGCGACAAGGGAGGCGAACGCGACTCCGATGTATGGGGCGTACTCCACCACCTCAGGAGGCATATTATCCTCCAGGAGAGTACGCAACGAGGGCGGAACGCGTGCCAGAACGTCCATGGCGGGAATGTGCAATTGAATGCCCGGAAAGAGAGTGGCCTTGGGAGGTGAAGGGGGACTTTCTGTTTTCGCGATAAGACGCGATAACCAGAGTCGTCCCATACATGTGAATCATCTACACTGTGATGGGAAGATTGCAGAGGAGATTTATTGATTGATTTCGGAGATTGCAAGGGTGTTGTTTGAAAAATATATTAATACTGTCAGGCTGAGAGCAATAGCAATGTCATAAGGTATATATATATATATAATGATAATAAGGCTCAACCCATTCGTGTCTGATACCCATACCTCAATGTGTAAAAGTCCCATTATCATTTCATATGTTTTGGTCATAGATGCGTTCATTCGTCACTTATACTGTCGGAAAGTGAGAAGTCACTTTCCTCACTTCCCTCAGTTTCCTCTCCCGAGTCGTGATTCTTTCTCTTGCGATTATTCGTGGCCTTACTGCCAGCTGGTTTCTTCTTAGAAACCACCGCCGGAGCAGGGCCCTTCCGCTTGCCATCACGAACCAGTAGGTGATCAATCACACAGCCGTCTGCCCAGCCAGCACTGGATGCGCCGGTAGCTGCTCGGCAACGGGGACAGCTCTTTCCATGCCGAATGAATAACTGGTGGAGGGAATACTTCAAATGGTTGGGAATGCGCACTTCCAGGTGGCTGAAAGCAGTCACCTCATTGGCACGAGGGGGGATCCACCCCAGCCAGCGGCAGAGTCGGAAGATGTGTGTGTCAACAGCGAAACAGGGCCGCTGGAGGCAGAACAGGATCACGCAAGCGGCTGTTTTGGGTCCGATCCCGGGATATTTGATCAGATGGGTCATCGCTTCTTCGGTGGTGAGATTGTGGAGATGATTGAGGGAAAGGAAATTCTGGTCTGCGCATGCAATTTCATATTGCTTATCCTTCTCGGCCTTCTCAGGCAGCATATTGGAGACTGTGTCCTTTGTGGACTCAGAATCCAGCAACGTGGCTCGGCGCGCCTGGTTATCCTCATGAACTATGTCGAGGATGGCTTTCAGATTTTTGCTCTTGATGTCGGCTAAACCGCCACATTTGATCGCTTCAAACACATCTTTCACAGTGGCCTGTCGTACAGCCTCCCAGTTGACACTTCCTTTTCCGATCCCTTCCGAGAGAATACCGAATCGTTCTACAAGCCCACCAAAGGCCATGGCAGAATTATTGCCGGTGGTGGCCCCGCTGAGAAGAGTACGGATCAAAGCATCTAGAACAGATGGGACTTCACCACAGCCGGTGACTGTTAGGGATGGCTCTGGGATGGTTTCTGGAGCTGTCACTACGCCATGAATGCTGGAAAGAAGCCGGTTGACCTGTTCACACTCTTCGGAGGTTGGTCGAACCAGTTCAGGGAAAGGTGAGCGGCCGGGCGTTAGACCATAAGTATTCTTTTTGGGCTTCCTGCCGTTTGGGGTAGGTTGGGCCTTTGGTTCTTTCAATGATTCTTCCTTTGACTGAGTGATGGCCTTGTTGACAGTGTCTTGGAGCTCAGTAGCCACGGTGTCAACTTTATCTCGCTTCAGAGATTGGTTTTCTTTGTCAGATCCAGCAATCGAGAATGCAGGACCTGTTGCTGCAGACAACTTGCATGACATAGGTCCTAGGTTGTGAGGAAGTTCATCAAACAAGGCTGGTTGCAACACTGGCTTCTCTTGCTTGATTGCTTGGTTTGTATCATTGGATGACGCCTTTTCAATACTTGCAGTTGTTTTGCGCATGTTAAGTGAACTGTGTGTATTGGATGTGTCAGTGGGATTGAGACGGAGACGCTTTCGTTTGGTCACTGTAGAAGTGCTTGGCGCTTGTGTGATAGAAAGGCCGTCTTCCTCTTTTGCGATTGAAGCAGCAGCCGCCCGGGCTGCAGAGCGAGTAATGCGGCGATCCATGATGGAGAGCAGACCACATCAGAGGGCCCACGGTAAGCGTGAACTTCGTTCAATGTGACACAATAAGCAACATGCACGAGAACTGACAACAGATGTATGATGGACCCGGATACATCAGTTTGAGTCATTTATCAGTGAGAACTCGAACCAATTGCCGTCTTAAACTTGCTCTGACGTAGATCATATGGGTCCGTCGATGATGCAGACAGATGATGACTGCCATTGGCCGATCACAGGGTCACCACGTGACATTCCTTTTTCGGACACTCGCACTTCGAAGAAAAAAAGAGCATGACTTCGACATTGGAACATTGCATTTATTGACTAGCTTCATTATGGATTATTAGAAAAAAGTGTGGGTTAGACACTGGGTATTTGTATTTTCAATGCGTTTCCACATCAGATGACGGTAAATCAGTCACCCAGCATGTAGACCATTGAACAATGCTCCTTCAAACAAACGCCCAGACACCCGATGCAAACTGCGGAAACAATAAAGAAAAAAAAATGAGATTCAGAATGTGTTCATAATCATGCCTCATGATGGTCAGCCATGTTGTGGATGCTGATATCCATGCGGTCTGAAACCTTGGGGTTCGGTTGATCTTCAGTATTGCTGGCCTGATTGGCACCGGCGCTGGTCACTGACTGCCCATTCTCAAGGGCCGGAATGATCTTGCCATTGGTGTCCATAGTGACTCCATGAGCAGCGATTTGAAAATCGGTCATGTTGGCAACGCCATTGGAAACGGCTTCCTTGGCTTTGTCGAGAGCCTTAGCCTTGCGGCCTTCGCCACGGACTAACTCCAGATGCTCGAAATAGCCGGATGATACGGGGGTAACGTAACTACCGCAGAACACACCAACCTCAAAGTTTGTGGGTTCCTGCTGGCCATTCTCACGGGCAACATCAGCACAGGCGTCCTTGAGATCAGGCAAAGTTTGGAATACGACCGCCTCTGCACCAATGTGCTTGGCAATGGCCTCTGAGTTCCGATTATGAGCGACTAGCTCTTGAGGAGAGGCGAGGTCGATACCATAGATGTGAGCATGGGTAATCTCCGGAGCGCAACTGGCAAGGTAGACCTTCTTGGCACCAGCTTCCCGGGCCATGTTGACAATCTCACGACTCGTGGTACCACGCACGATACTGTCATCAACAAGTAGAACGTTGCGATCCTTAAACTCAGCCTTCATGGCATTGAGCTTGCGGCGGACACCCTTTTGACGTGTCTTTTGCTCCGGCATGATGAAAGTGCGGAAGACGTAGCGGTTTTTGACGAAACCGTGACAGTAAGGCTTGTTCAGGTACATTGCGACATTGGTGGCAGAAGTAGTCGCCGTTTCAGGAATGGGAATGACTACATCAATGTCTTTGACAACCTCAGGACCGAGAACTTCGAGGATTCGTGCACCGAGACGGTCACCCATGCGTTGCCGGCTACGGTACACACTGATGCCATCGATGACTGAGTCAGGACGAGCGAAGTAGACAAACTCGAAGATATCCGGGGCATAGGCCTTCTTGGGGGCCACCTGGCGGAAGACCGGCTCACCACCCTTGGCGATGATAACAGCCTCTCCAGGTTGAATGTCACGGTGGTTGGTGAAGCCTAACTGGTCCAGAGCGACTGACTCAGAAGACATCATGTAGTCCATGCCAGGTCCATCCACCGATTGACGAGAGCCCAGAATGAGGGGACGGATGCCGTATGAGTCACGGAAACCCAGAATGCCGAATCCTGAATTGCCAATTAGTATTATATACCAGATATGTTATATGATTGGCAACTTACCAGCAAGCATAGCAGTGCAGGCCCATCCACCCTCGCAACGTTGATACATACGGCTCAAACTGGCGAAGAGGTCCTCGTGGTTGACACGGGCCTTCTTAGTTTCGCTCAGCTCATCAGCGAAGACGTTAAGCATGAGCTCGCTGTCACTGTCGGTGTTGATGTGACGGTGGGCTTCAAGATCGAGGTGCTTCTTCAGGTCCCCGGCATTGATCAGATTGCCGTTGTGCGCAAAGCAGATGCCATAGGGGCTGTTCACGTAAAAGGGCTGGGCTTCAGCGTTGGCACTGGATCCCGCGGTCGGATACCGCAAGTGGCCAATACCCATGGAGCCGGGCAGGTTGGTCACCTTGGCACCTTCCTGGAAGACCTTGGCAGCCATGCCGTTGGCCTTCAGTTGGTAGATCCGACCCCCCGATGCACATGTTGCAATACCAGCTGCATCCTGACCACGATCTGTGATACCAGAAGCCTTAGTCTCGCGGTCGCAGATTAAAATCTCCTAGCCGAAACTCACGTTGGAGAAGATAAAGGGCCTCATGGAGATCCACGGCAGCCGAGGATGACGGGTTCGCCTGGATCAACGCAATAATACCACACATATTGACGCGGGGTAAAGTTTCTGAGTGAAGAGAATTAGTATCGGTGTTCACTCATTGCATTCACAGTACACAGGTAGCAAGATTGTGATGTCTCGAATCAGATCAGGTGTTTCTCCGCAACAATTGTTTAGGAAGTCTAACATCTATAAAAAACCAAAATTCATCATAAAGACAGGGGGAGGGAGGAGCTGGTAGAAAGCTAAACAGAAGGAAACAGTGGCACATACCAAAACCAGATCACGTAAAAGAGAGAGAGGAGTTCAGAGAATGGTCATCACCAGGAATGAATAACCACCCTAAGGAGACAGAGAGAAGAAAAATCTCCATCGCATTTGTGTTTGGGGGAGGTCGTGCTGCCCCACAGAATTGATTTTTCTCTCTCCGCCGACCTCGGGGGCAATGACTCAGACCTGAGTCAGCTGGGCCCCGCAATTCTGAGAGGTTCCATGGTTAGCAGCCCTAGCTTCCTAAAGGGGTTTAGCGTCTATAGTGTTGGCATCGACAGATGCAGCTGTAGATAGATGTTTGGATAAAGCAGACATCCCAATGTTCAATGGACTTCATTTGAGAGATACCATGGCCTTATGCCACTCTTTTATGCTTAACCCCATTGAGTTGCATATTTGCTTTGTTCAGATCTAGAGGAAGATGATATTCTCCATAGTACCTTGTCTTAGAAGCGATGATACATAGAGCTTCCTCTTTTTCTAGATCTAAATCAGATCGCTGTCCGCCAGCAAAATTATTTTGAAATCACGCGAGCCTGGTTTTGTACCTTCGACTATAGCTTCGCGCGTTCTAGAAAACAAGTCCATCTGTATCAGACAACCCAAGATCCCAAGATCCTCATCGATCTTTCAAACTTGCTTACCTTCACCTTCTCTTCTCTTCAAACCTGCACTTTGCACCATTGCACGTACTGGGTACTGGATCAGATCCACCGGGAATTCAACTCAATGGCGGGTATTGATGATCGGTCCCGTATTTCGGTTTCTCCATTCGGAGGCCCAACTGAGCTCAATTGCGCCGAGTCTCGAGCAATGAACAGAGAGGTAATCATGGCGGATGTCGATGATCGATCTCGACTCTCGGTCTCTCCTTTCGGAGACGCAGCCGCCTTCAATGCCGAGCCTCGACCAATGACCGCCAGCCTGACCATGGTCGATAACGACACTGATATGGTGGATTCGTCGCAATCTCTTTCTACCAGTAATGCAATCCACCTAAACGAGAGCTCGGAAGTCTCAAACAACTCCACCGGTCGTCCAGAAACCTTTATCGATCTCACCAAGAGTTCAAGGACCGTCATCGATCTCACTAGCGACGACGAGACTGAACGGGCTATTGACGAGTTGACCTCTGATATAGCACACGTCACAGCTTCCTTCACCCACGACGCGAGTAACTTCTATGGCTTTGGCAGTGCATACCTCAATATCCTCCAGCCGATCAATGGCAGCTCAACTCCTGAACCGAAAAAACCCCAATATCTTGTTAGCGGCATTGCTTACAGAGCCGGAATGTCTCTGGAGCTTGATGATGGATCGTTTATGCGCGTCACTGACGTGGTGCCCGAATCCCATAATTTGCGTTTCTTTGGCCGGCGCCTTTACCGCACGACTCATCCCGAAGCCAAGACATATCTGCCCAAAGTCCACAATGAACTGGTCTGGCTCACTCAGGATACCGACAATGTCAGCATCAAGAAAGTCAAACGGGTTGTGCAAATTATCTTCACCAATTTTCGAACCGATTTTATCAACATTCCACCTGAACAAAGGGGAAAATTGATTTGCCGACTAAAACTGACTATTCGCCAGAATGGTGTCATCATTATCCCAGGACAGGTGCCCTTGACTGCTGAGCAATGTGCCGTTGAATGGCTCACTTTCGATGAGTCGGATTTGGGATATGCTTTGCCTTCTAAGCAGCTGCGGGATCAGTGGAGAGGCCGAACTGTATACTTCGGCGATGCTGCCATGTCCTCTAAAGATGAGGATGCGAGGGCTGAGAACCGTGAACGACAGGGTGTGATTGATCTCACTGAGCCCAAGCGTGCATACACTTTTGGTGATGCGTACTGTGGTGGTGGTGGTATGTCCTGCGGTGCCAAACAGGCTGGACTGAAGATTAAATGGGCTGTTGATATGGATAAGCATGCTCTGGAAACATATCAGCTGAATTTCAATAACGTGGAGGTCGAACATTCCGACTTTTTCAGCTTTCTGACCAACGATGCCAACTTCTTGCGGGTGGACATTGCTCATTGCTCCCCTCCTTGCCAAACTTGGTCTCCTGCTCATACTGTGCCCTGTCCTCGGGATGACGCCAATTCCGCTTGCGTGTTCTCTGCTGGAAGCTTGATTCGGGAATCTCGTCCCCGTATTCTGACATTAGAGGAGACTATGGGTTTGCCACAGCGATTCCCCATAATTTTCAACCGAGTGGTGCTAGACATGGTGGAATTCGGATACTCTGTTCGCTGGGCGGTGCTGGGCTGTGATGATTATGGCGTGCCTCAAGAGCGGAAGAGATTGGTTTTAATTGCTGCGGGGTAAGTAATCAAAGCAAAAGACCGAAGCAAAAGACATGGAGGGAAAATGAAGAATCTCTGTGTTTTCTTTTTTGGATATGTCTAACCACGTGCCTATAGACCCGGTGAGTTTTTGCCAAACTTCCCTCAACCTACGCATGGGTTGCCTGGTCACGGTTTGCTCCCTCGTGAGACCATTTCCTCGACCATCGATAATATTCCTCCGGATGCTGACGATCACGATGTCGACCGAGCCCTCGAGCGATGGGCTTTGAGCCATCGCACGCCCTTCGATCGGTTTGGTCTTGCTCGGACCATCACTTGTGGCGGTGGTGAGTTCAACTACCACCCTTCAGGCACACGGCCCTACACTAGTCGGGAGATGGCTCTGTTGCAGACATTCCCCCTGGACTACCAGTTCGCTGGCAAGTTCATGCGCAAGCAAATTGGGAATGCCGTGCCCCCACTCTTCGCCAAGGCCATCTTTGTCGCGATCATCGCGGCTCTGACTGAGACCGACGAGGAGGAGTCAACTGGGTTCTTCACCTAAGTCCGTACGGGTCAGAATAGGTGAAAGAGGTAGTAATGGGAAGGAAGAGAGAATCAGGAAATGAGAATTGAGGATTGAGAATGGCCTTCTGGCCTGTTGATCTGCATGTGAGGCCGCAGATCAGCCGAGGGCAAAGGGGCTGTGAGCTCCGTCCAATTCAAATGATTCTGACCGTTTACTTTTTCTCTCTTGCATATTCGGACCGCGTTTGTTCCGATTTCGGTACATATTGCGTCGGCGCATGTAGCTACCATCTGTTGCGCTTGGGAGTTACATCCGAATCTCGGATGTTAAAAGACCGTAAAGTAGGAATCAAGCAGGCCAATTGAGTAGAAAATAGTGCAATTGGTCTCTGTATAGGGTCTAAATGTGAACCATCCCGTCAACAAGGGCCATTCCAACCGAAACAGGGGGTTCTATTTGGGTATATCTGGGGACATGGGCAACAGTGGTGGAGGAATAACCGGCTGTAACCGATCCCTCGGCAGGATGAAGTCAGCTAGGAACTCTTCCCCGGTCCCTTTTCACCCTTGCCCCCAACATTTCTCCATTTCTCCATTCGTCCATTTGCTTTTAAATAATTCCCCCTCTCCCTTCCTCCACATCAATTGTTGGATCTTCAATTTGATCCTATTACCAAGTTCTTTGTCTTTCACAATGTCCCTGCCCGCAGTGAGACGTCTGACCCACACCTCTCCCCGCACTTTGGCCCGCATCTCCAGACTGCCCGGTTTGACTTCTACCCTCTCCATCACCCCCCGTATTTCTGTTCCTCGCGCACCTCGCTTTTCCACCATGGCCGCCCGTCAGTCTGCCGCTCCGGCGGTTACCTCCGATAAGTCCTACGATCCTGAAATCCAGGATATGGCCTCTTACATCCACGACTACAAAGTGGATTCCGACTTGGCAGTAAGTTAGCTCGGTTCGGTCACACGGAGCTCCGGTTAACCTCTATGACTTTGTTTACAGTTTGACACCGCTCGTTTGGTGTTCCTCGATACTCTGGGCTGTGGTCTAGAGGCTCTGAAGTTCAAGGAGTGCTCTAAGCTCCTGGGCCCCGTTGTGGAGGGCACTGTTGTCCCCAACGGTGCTCGTGTGCCCGGTACCCCTTACCAGCTGGACCCCATCAATGGTGCCTTCAACATTGGTGCTATGATCCGCTGGTTGGACTACAATGACTGCTGGCTGGCTGCTGAGTGGGGTCACCCCTCGGACAACCTGGGCGGTATCTTGGCCGTGGCCGACTGGATCTCGCGCACCAACCGTGCCGGTGGTAACCTTGGCAATGGTAAGATCCTCAAGATCCGTGATGTTCTGGAGGCCATGATCAAGGCCCACGAGATCCAGGGTGTCTTGGCTCTCGAGAACTCCTACAACAAGGTTGGCCTCGACCACGTGGTTCTGGTCAAGGTTGCGACCACCGCTGTTGTCTCCAAGATGATGGGTCTCACTGAGAAGCAGACTGCCGATGCCATTACCCAGGCTTGGGTTGACGGCCAGTCTCTCCGTACCTACCGCCACTCGCCTAACACCATGTCCCGTAAGTCGTGGGCTGCCGGTGATGCTTGCCAGCGCGCTGTCAACTTGGTGCTCAAGGTCCAGAAGGGTGAGGGTGGTCTTCGCACCGTTCTCTCTGCTCCCACCTGGGGCTTCTACGATGTCCTGTTCAAGGGCAAGAAGTTCGAGTTCCAGCGCCCCTACGGCAGCTACGTCATGGAGAACGTTCTGTTCAAGGTTTCTTATCCTGGTAAGTTCAAGGATATTCCACGGAAAACAATATTCTCCAAGGGAAATGATCACCACTAACATCTTTATTTTAATAGCCGAGTTCCACTCCCAGACTGCCATTGAGGCTGCCGAGAAGGTCAACGCCAAGCTCGCCGCCATGGGCAAGAGTGCCAAGGACATCAAGGAGATCACCAACCGCACACACGAGGCATGCATTCGCATCATCGACAAGCAGTTCAAGGAGATGGACAACTTCGCCGATCGTGACCACTGTGTGCAGTACATGGTTGCCACCATGCTCGTGTTCGGCCGTCTGACCGCCAGCGACTACGCTGATGGCTCCGAGGCCGCCACCTCCCCTCTGTTGGAGGAGCTCCGCAAGAAGATCCGCTGCGTGGAGGACACCAAGTTCACCACTGACTACCATGACCCTACCAAGCGCACTATCCCCAACGCGCTGACTGTCACCCTGAATGACGGCACTGTCCTGGAGGAGATTGTCGTCGAGGCTCCTCTGGGCCACCGTCTCCGTCGTGAGGAGGCCAAGCCCGAGATTCTGTCCAAGTACAAGCGTCACCTCGAGGCGCACTTCGACCAGGCCCGCATCGATGAGCTGATGAAGGTGGGCTGGGACCGTCCCCAGCTGGAGAACTACGATGTCGACCAGTATGTCGACCTCTACGTGAAGGACAAGGTCATTGCCTCCTCGTAAATTTTTTTGAATGAGCGTTTGGCCTGATTTATTGCGTTTGAAAACACACGTGTATGATAAACATACCTTTTTATATACCGCAAAAATTGCATAGATTTTTTTGACTATTCTTTTGCCTATGGAGACATTTCGTACACAGATCGGTATATCTATCTAGACATCCACTTTGCCTTGTTGCTCCTAGAATGTGTGTAAGACGTGATGCAGAGCACATCATAAGATTACAAACGGGAGATTCGAAACATTACTCGTTTTCCTTATAATCCTATTATAAATTTTCAAATGCAGCAAAAGAGGACAGGGAAATATGATCGGAGCCCATGTCAACCATTGGACTGCGAGAAGGCCATATAGGTTCCGCAGAGTCCTGAGGGGTGACTGTCTGCTCGTCTCGCCATTCGAAGAATGCAGCAGAGTCATTCCCAGGTGTTTGTGAATCGAAAGGCTGGAGGGTCCTAATTGTATTTTCTACAATCTCTACAAACCCATTGCAGACTTTGCACATCGAGTAAACCTCGCCTTGTGTGCAGCTAGTCCGTGATACCAGGGCGGAGAAGAAGCTTGCGGCCGAACGAAGCAAGCTCAGGTTCTCGATACAAGATGGATCCTGTTTGTCTTCTAAGATGGCGGTGAAAATGACTGAAGCGGCTTCAAAGACGTAGTAAATCAATACCCTGAAGAAGTTTGTAGCGAAACGTTAGCCTAAACAACGGGAAATACAGTAAGATAGGCGAACCATATCAGTTGGGTGTCGAAGCATGTGGTATTGGAAATCATGCTCAGACAAGCGCTTGCAGCGTCACGAGACAGGCTGGAAGCATTGTAAATCATAGGAAGCTGGGGTTCTGCCACATCGCCCGGATATTGTGAGTGGAATGGGATATCGGTTGCGAAAGGGACCTGCTCCATTTGACGGCGAAAGGGAAGTCTGTTGACTACCATGAGTGCATGATAGTAAGATAGCTGCAACCAAGTGTCCGCGAAATCCGAATGCTGCCTCGGCGTTCCGGTGTCGAAAGGTGATTTGATTTGGAAGGGTACCGTTTGTCTCCATCCTTCAAGCTGGTGATAAAAGGTATGTAGCATATGCTCTATCCTACTCGGAGAGCTCATCCTTTCAGAATAGAATTGGCGCAATACACGGCAAGTGATGAGAGTCAGAAATACGACGGCTTGGAAGAAAGTAGCATCCCCGTTGTCTCTTTCGGCGAACTGATTGCATATCACCATACCATCAATGGCGGATCGATCGATTTCTTCGTCAACGTGTAACGACTGAAATCCGTTATGAATACAACTTCTATGAAGAATTAGTGATGGGAACTGTATATTATCGAGTTTGTGGTGTTTACCTCAAATCTAGAATATACGCGATCTGGAATACTCGGGTTCTTTGTCTGAGCAAGCCTGGGTCCAGGCCCACGACACTGTCTTGCTTATGAAGGCCAATTTGGTATGAGGATCTTAATGCCGCGGTAGTGAGCGGATGTGCGGCCTTCCCATCGCCCTGCAAAGATAAAAAGAGGGCCTTGGAAAACGTGCATCAGGACTAAACTTGAAGGTCGAGGAGAACTATACAGAACTATACGTACCATTCCCAAGATTGCTTGAATGGACGACATATTGTCATTCATCATAACTAGATGTGGGAACATCGACGACGCTGCGCTGAAATAGGCCCACGCCCTTTGATTTTCGACCTGGGGTTCGAGACTTGTGCCTGCTTTTCGGCTATGAACCATCGCAATCATAACATAGATACTTGCTAGTAGCTCCGTACTGAACCCAACGCATTTTTCATATGCCATATAAAGAGATTGGTAGAACGAGAACTCATGATAGAGGGGTACCAGAGAGTTGAGCCAGGAGAAGTATTCCCGAATCTCCGTAAATAGCTCTTCGCCTGGAGGCAAGCTTGGAAGGCCCACGGTATCTAGATTATCAGGCATTATGGAGGCAGCATTTTCATCGATGGGTTCTCTAAATAATGCCGAGAGGGTTTCTTGGTAGTTGAGTTCGTTGTTTGGGTGAGCCAAGCGCTCAGCAAGCTTTGCTGCAGTGGCAGAGAATCCTGGGGTCATATTTGACAGGAACGTTGCATTTTCCTGACTTGGTTGATCCGCCCGTATGCCGGAATTTATGCCAAGAATAGGTATTGGAGAACAGCTATCCCGAGCAAATGGAGCTGAGGGATCTCGTTCTGGGCTACCCATGGAGATATAAGACTTTGAAGAAATCGAGGAGGCAGGGCAAATATCTTCTACCGGTTTCGCGGTGCCGTCTTTCATGTCCATATTAGGCGAGTTATCCTGTTGATTTCCCCGATCACTGGTAGGATTCTCCGGGGATCTAGTTTCATGGTGGATTGCACTTTGACAGTTGTCGTAGGATTCCGCTGAAATGCCCACAGCCTGTAAGATAGAATCAAGATGGTTCAGTCTCTCCTCTAGGGCCTTTACCCGTGACAGGCTACAAAGCAGATCAATAAAGGCCTCTTCTATATCAAGTCATACAAGCAAACTTACTCATCACTCCCCCCTCTGGTAGAGCCCTTCCGTCTTCGTGGCTCTTTCTGGGTGAGTTTACACTGTACTTCACAATGCATACAGCTAATACACATGCCCTTTTGAACGTCGAAGTCGCATCGTGTCTTGTATTTTCGGCACCTATCACACGCCTGACAGTCTGTATGTCAATATGGAAAGCTCATGGGGGACGAGCTTATTACTTTCACATGCCGCTGCCCATTAAAACGCCGGTAGATGCGAGGGCTGCAAGTGGATGATTTTTCTGTTAGATGGAATATCGAAAGAACAGGACTGGAGAAGATACCTATACATAGTAGTTAATAATGGTGCTATGCGTTAGAAATGTCAGGAGGCTGATGCACCGTTGAAAATCGCTTTGCCCGACGTCCATCGTACCACGCCCGTCTTCCACATTGAAACGCACCGGTGGAACTCGTTGAGACATCTCCGCGTAACCCTGATGTGCCTGGAGAGGTGAAAGCGCTTGACAGAGCGGAGTGACGCGAAAGTGCACAGAGAAGACCAAATGCCGGGGAAAGTGGACTGTGGATTTGGCGCGTCGGCTTGAGAAATCGACTCATCGCTCCCAATCCTATCACACTGAATTGATCTCGTTTCATGCCGATTGGCTGTCTTTCTAAGATGAGCGGGGCAAAGAGACAAATCAACATCGTCGTCCTGACCCTTTCCCCTCATTCTGCAAGGGATTCGGGCTACGGAGTACTCCCTACTCAACAGTCGCAGATCACCCTCCGAGACCGAGTCTCGCACAGGATGCATCCGAAAACCCAGCATTTTGTGGGTTAGGCAACTGAGTGTGCAATGGACTTATATACCGCCTCGCCCTCCCTTAGTCCCCCCTTAAACCCCCTTATACTAACACCAAGGTGTATCTACAACCCAATCTATTCGCATCACCCCTGATACTTCAATATGCTTTTTACACAGGAAATCGTCGAATGCAGTCCGGAAAAGCTGGCAGCCCGACAAGCTGTCAATCTCCATCTGGAGAAAGCCACCAATACGCAGACACACTGGACAGATGCCCCGAATATTGAAGAATATCGTCGTTGGCGAAGGGAGGGACTGAATGGGTTTACCAAAAAGTACGAACACCCCAGAGCTACCACAATTGAGATACCCTCCGCCCATGGCCCGCATTTGATACCACTTCGTATCATCCCTCCGAGTGGGGAGGCAAGAGGGCTCTTTCTTCACTTCCACGGCGGTAGGTAGTGAGCCCTTTCCTCTCATGAATACCCGCATGGTGTTGTGCTGACAAGGAAACACAAGGTGGCTTTGTCCTTGGATCTGCTGCATCGCAAGACGATATGCTTGGAACTATCGCAGATGAGCTTTCCCTCGTGGTGGCTTCTGTCGAATACAGATTGGCTCCGGAACATCCTTTCCCTGCGGCGACACATGATTGTTTGGATGCTGCGCTATTTGCTCTGTCCGACGAAGGGGCTGCCAAACTTGGGGGAACTCTTCGTGTGATGGGCGGGGATTCTGCTGGCGGTTATCTGACCATGTACACTGCAATCCAACTACGGAACCAGGGCATTCCCGTACGGGAAAAGATCGTTGCGCTGGTGTCCTCCTATGGTGTCTTTGACCTGTCCATGACACCATCACTGCGGAGTCATAAGCGACGGATTCTGCTTGGCTTCGACGACGCTGCTGGTCTTCTGGAGCATTATGTCCAGACCGAAAAAGCCCCGGAGGATCGAAGAGACCCTTGCCTCTCACCGCTCTACGACGATCTTAGCAATCTTCCCCCCACCCTATTCCTTGTGGGGACTGCTGATCTCCTCGTGGACGATAGCACCTTCATGGCAAGTCGCTATGCCCTCGCTGGCAATGAAACCGAGTTGAAAATCATTCCGGAAGCTTGCCATGGATTTACTCTTGTTCCGGATATCGAGGTATCCGTTGAGGGTAATCGATTGATCTTGGAATACATCCGTGCGCGCTTAGATTAAATGACCTATGTTCTGATGGCCTTACGGACACAGCGTATTCGAATCAAAGATCGTTGACCTTCTACATTTCATACAGAAAGGCCTCTCTAAATCTTTCCCATTCGACCTCGTATCGAGCTCTTGAGTTGCGCATCCGGTTTATCTATAACGGCGATTTAAGCAAAAATAACCTCATCCCACGAGATCGTTCATGTCGATACCGATGTTCGGGTTTCTCCCTGCTCAAATCCACATGGTTATGTATACACTTGGTTTTGTTCGCATACAGAAGCGTCGCATAGAGGAGTAGCCAATGACAGCTTTCCTTACGTTTAAAGATATTAAAAATCAAAATCAAATCAAATTAAATTAAATCAAGAATTCGGACGCAAAAATGGATAATGACAATGCGAGATCTCCGGTGCCATGTTGTTCTACGTCACGTCTGTGTGGCCGATCAATGACGCATTCGCTCTGCCGATTGACACTGCCTTGTTGCGCTCCAATATAGGCTCTGTGCATGAGACAGCCTATCAAATGCTCTGTTTCACTTACCCTAGCTCAACCCCCCGCAGCCCCTAAAACCTGGGTAATTATGTATCCTGTGAATAAAACGGGTCTTCGTTTTATGGACTTTGATCAATTTTGTTCAAATCTGCGATCGCCATTCCTACTTAGGCACTCTTCATACGAGACATTTACTTGGCGGATGTCGGTGGTGCTTGGTACGAAAACAGAAATCCAAGTTAGAGCTTTTTACGCTCGCCCATTGAGATAGAATTAGCACCGGGATTCTTCATAATATCCATCTACTGGATATCGAAGGGATTGAAAATTTCAAGGGAAAGATATCTATGTTTTCCAATACTGTTTGATCTGTCCCTACGCTATACGCGGTACGTCCCTATACCCTATGGGAGGTTAAAGGGACACGGGCTACGCCCATGTTCCAATGGATGTTCGACCATAATACTACGCGGAAAACTCACTCCCACGTATTGTCTATACTGTGAGATAGCCCAAAGAGTACTCAAAGGAATAATAGTCGGAGGAAATGTCGTTATTATTAGCTCCGGATCTTCAGCCATTCAGACCGTACTCTCCATACAACCGCACGTCAAACACATAGATATCTTTATGCGCACACGTACACTTCAATACCTGCTTTCTCAAGAGATGATGGCGCTAAAGGGTTGAGTAGCGATTTAGTTCGTTAACATTGCAGATAACCTCGGGCACAAATATGGCTATACTCCTGAACAGAAAGATGAATTCTGCGACCCAACAAAGCTACTAGAATATACATTATCCCTCAAAAATAGAAATACAGCTCGCTACTCGATAGAGTAAGCCTTATAAGAGCCCCACAGCCCAGAAAGCTGCCAAGAAAGCTTTATCGGAGGGTGTGGCCGGCATGATCAAAGATTCCCAGCTTGCGGAAAACATAACGCCTGGATTCGGCGTTAGCTGTAGGAGGAACACGCCGCGAGATCTCTTCATTCAGTGAGTACCTTCATCCTCCTATATGCATCAAGGAGAACGTCGATGTTCATTTCACAGGTACCACAAAAAGTCACTCTGACCGGCGTGATAGGTACAGAGTGTATTAAGAGAAAGTGGGATTTTATCGTATATATAACTAGATTTGACTAGTCAATAATACAGGAAACCTTTGATTGTTTGTGAACAGTTTATCTTAGCTTCACCAAATTGCCAATGTGAATGATCGCCGGCGTCTTTTATTCAAACTGGCTGTTGCCCTCCGATGACAGGACAACGGCCAACACCTCGCCATGGCCAATTTCAAGACTATCAGCGTGATTTTGGGTCGTATCTCTATCATGAGTGTAGTCATTATTGGGATAGGCAAGGTATTCCCCCGTGCGAGTATGAGACTGCTGTCGCCGTGAGGGTTTGAGAAGTGATTATGATGGTCGGATTATCGCGAGTCTTTATAATCATAGTGTATATGAAAGCCGAGTCTAGGGATTGACTATTTAGCTTGATCGGTGGCTTGGATGTGTTCCTATCATTGAGTCAAGAGTGTACCCAGAAGAGACCATCAAAAAGAGACTCAATCTACATGATGTATGTATGTTTCAATAAATCCCTCACTCCCTTGGCTCATAAGCGTAAGGCAGTAGCTCATCAATAGACACGGGTTTTACATCTCCGCCTTTCTGCACAATCACTCGAATCCCAGGATGCAGATCGTACAGCACCTATCGACATCGACCGCGGGGATTGAGAATAATCCTTGGCTGTCTTCTCCCACGATAACAAGATGTGATAGACGGGGAATCCCGGCTCCGGCGGCTACTCCAAGAATCACAAGCTCAGCACATGGCCCGCCAGCGAAGTGGAAGACGTTCACGCCGGTGCAGACTTGGCGATTTGTTGGAAGCGCTGCACTAGCAGTCCTGTAGATATCTAATTTGAGAATTGAGTTGATGCTGGTTTTAGCGACTTCGATTAGGTTGGTTTTGACTGCAGGCAAGTCCATGATGAAGGCCTGAACTGCAGGGATTGGGGAATTGGGCTTTCGAGATGGTATGCAAGATAGTGAGATATCATAAATTGTGGATTATTGGATGCTATGGAATCTATTCACGAATTTACAATTGGGGAAGACGACTGATGTGAAGCTGAGAAGAATATTTCCTAATTGGGTGCCCAACCAATCATTGCTTCAAGTCGAAGGTCAAGCCCTGGAGGGGTTTTGAGACTACTATGAGAATGCAGATTTGAAGACCCTTGAATCTCCGAGGGAATTGGTTATGAGCTCGGGCGTTTATTTTTACGTCCTTTGATAATGAAACAAAGAAGAGAAAGGAGACAATGAACAAAGCCCGAGAATGCACCTAAGAGGACACTACATGTACTTATGAGCCTTGACTGATATATCCTAGGAAACTTCATCCGCATATTTAGGGATGGCCTGGCCCTATTCTGAGACTTGAACTGCCAAGAGAGCTTCAAATTAATGAGCTAAATCTATTTTACGGGCCAAGCCAAAGCCTTTGTGATGGCCCCAAAAGAGACAAAACGTAATCTGTGATGAAGGATCCATTTAGGATCACATGGACAGTGCGGGCGGAAGCTTCGGGTGCAATTAATCGAAAGCAGTCCGAAGCAGATCGCCTTGTCTGGGCGTAAGCCGTGAGATTGATCCCTGTGTTCATCCCCGGAGTATACTCCGTACTGGCTTCCCACGGGGCGAACCTATACATTGTTTACCATACGTCCATCTCTTCAACATACGTGCATATAGATCACATGCATAGACTCAGAGTGAAGAATAGAAACGCTTCGTGTCACATTGAGGGATATCTTAAAGCAAAGCGCGGCTAAGAAACAGCAAAGGAAGACTGATTGATAACGCCGGGTAAACCTGGGGGAGTATAGCCGGGAATATCCATGCAAAGCCAGCGATATCAATCGGACTTCACTCCAACCCCAAAGCATAACCGGCAGGTGAAACCTAATTTCATTCCGAGAATTATCCTCGTGCTTTGTCTTCTGGCGAATACGAAGCTTGGCAGATCGGGCACTTGTACCGACGGTACTCAAACCAGGACTTGAGACATGCGAGGTGGAACGCATGTTTGCAGCGGTTCAGGACGAGAACCTCGCTACCGGGTGGATCGTGATGCGCCCCGCATGGGCAGTGAGAGTCGGGTCGCGTAGTTGGGTTGGATTGGTCGTGGGCTAGAACGGCTGGGTCGGGGGAGGCGAGATAGGGAGATGACGACAATGCAGAGAGACAGATGGGGCTAGGCCAGAGTCAGCTTATTTTGGTTCTAGAAGGTTCAGGCGATTTGCCCGGGGACCGCTGGTTTTTTTTCCGTGTCTGTTATCTCGGGCCAAGACCGTGGTGGATTTGTCCAGGAACGAAGCGGCATTGGCATCTGGAAGGTTTCGCGGGCGAAAAAAACAGCCTTGCCCAGAAAGCCTTGACCCGCGTCGACAAGACCTCACCAATCCCAAACAGGCAGATCCACCCAGAGCCTAGTCCTGTCCCCGCACTACATCATCGAGCCGCAGGGCCAAGACGTTTCAAGGAGGGGGGCCGGAATCGGAGGCCGGTGGAGCAGGCGAGCTATTGACTTACCAAGTATCTTGGCCGTACTGCTGCGCATTGGCAGGCACGTTTTGTTCTTCCAGCCAGCGGTCCACGGAGATAGAATGGCCGAGTACATTCTGCATCGGTACCTGATAGACCGGCGAGATGATTCGAGTTTGGGTTACCTGCATGGCAGCGCGTCGTCGGTGATACCACATGATCATCCTGGAAATCCATACAAATCAATGGTTAGCACGTCAGAGCTTCGAGAACAATTCGCATGCATGAGGCGGGGTGGCGAAGAGTCCGTGCCTCTGCAACTCACATCGGAATCATGCTGATCAGGGAAAACAGCGCAACGGCCCCAATGACAATCCCAATGATCTCCTCTCGCGGCATGGAGTCGTCCGCCATGAGTGGAGGGTCATATGGATCTGGGTCCAAGCGAAAGAGATACGAGAAAATAAAATAATAAAAAAAAGGGAATTGGAGTATTCCCCAAGAGACCCAATGAAAACGGAGGATGGGCGTAGCGTGAGACAGTGTGACCTGAAATCGGACTGTTCGGGCTCACTTTTGGGTTCAGGCACCGTATCCCCCAATACCATGGTCCATTGTCCGAGGCAACCAGAACCGTCTTCAAAATCAATTATTAACACGTTGAGAATAGAAGGTACCTTACCGGCGAAGCGGGTGGATTTGAGGCGGAGGAACTCTCGAGCCTCGAAATGCCAAGGAAAGCCAAGCGCCAAGAGCCAAGGCGCCGAGAGATGGGGGAATTAATTAGGGGAACAGAACAAGGCGACCTGGCCTGCCAAGGCTGCGCCAAGCCCCGTCCGCACCAATCAGAGCCGCGTATCTGGCGCGTGGCAGGTGCCCAGAAGTCGTTTGCGTCATTGGCTCAAAGAGGAAAGCCAGTCTGATGTGCCAAGATGCGTCCGCTTAATACCGACAGTTGGTTCATAGCGCCGATTGGCTGTCGATACATCATCCTGTTGGTGACCCCGGGACGTCGGACGCTGGGCGATGCCAAGTTGAATCATTCCTGGAGATAACCGGTCTGCTTTCGCCATCGATGTGCCGATACGACAGCATTTATACTGTGAAACATCCCCCCGAGAGGGGAACGAGAAGGAAGTCTTTTCATAGAATTGTATCTATTACTCAAAGTAACTCCGGTGTATGGACTCTCATTCCCTGGCGGATACCTTTTATATGACGCCCCCCTAGAGCCTCATAGGAGTACATCTTGATACACCTTTCACACAACACTAGAACCCACCACCGCCCCCATCTCTGCCTTTGCGAGATGTCGCAGGACAGAGCCCAGAAAGGCTCCGGCTCACAAGACCCCACTGATATCACTCAACAACCTCTCTCCCAACCCGCTCACAGCCTCACCTTTGAAGATGTCATCGCTGAACTCGGCAGCAACTCGGACGATGGATTGACCACTGCAGAGGTCAAGCAACGCTTGGAGAAATATGGCGAGAACATGCTGGAAGGAGACGAAGGCGTTTCCTTGGCAAAGATTGTCATTCGGCAGATCGCCAACGCCATGATGCTGGTAAGTTCCAAGACTACGAGAACCAATGTCTGGCTACTAACAGTTCCAGGTCCTTATTATTGCCATGGCCGTTAGTTTTGGCATTCAGTCCTGGATTGAAGGAGGCTTCATTGCAGCAGTCATTGCCCTGAATATCGTCGTCGGTGTTTACCAGGACTATGCAGCGGAAAAGACCATGGACTCGTTGCGATCCCTTAGCTCACCTACCGGTGTAGTCTCCCGTGATGGAAAGACATCCACTGTTCCCGCCAACGAAATTGTCCCTGGTGACATGGTCGAATTGAAAGTAGGAGACACCGTTCCCGCGGATGTCAGGTATGTCACACAATTCTTGGACACAATATTGCTGGACCACCCAGCTAACTCCTTCATAGACTAGTTGAAGCATTTAACTTCGAGACCGACGAAGCTTTGCTGACCGGCGAGTCCCTTCCGGTTTTAAAGGAAGCCGAAAGCACCTTCGACCCCGATACAGGCCCAGGCGACAGACTGAACATCGCATACAGCTCATCCACCGTTACCCGAGGACGTGCACGCGGTGTCGTCGTGGGAACCGGAATGAGAACTGAGATTGGAGCTATCGCTCTCGCCCTCCGCGGAACCGACTCAAAGCGTCGTCCTGTCAAGCGTGGACCGGAAGGTGAAACCAAGAAGAGATGGTATATCCAGGCTTGGACATTGACGACTACCGATGCTATTGGTCGATTCTTGGGTACCAATGTTGGCACACCTTTACAGCGAAAGCTCTCCAAATTGGCGCTGTTGCTATTCGCTATTGCTGTGATCTTTGCCATTGTCGTTGCTGGATCGAACAACTGGCGCGGTGATAATGAAGTCATCATTTACGCGGTCGCTACAGGTCTGGCCATGATTCCCGCCTGTTTGGTAGTTGTGTTGACCATCACCATGGCTGTTGGAACTAAGCAGATGGTAAAGCGCAATGTCATCGTTCGGAAATTGGACTCTCTCGAGGCTCTCGGAGCTGTCACCAATATTTGCTCAGACAAGACTGGTACCTTGACCCAAGGCCGTATGGTCGCAAAAAGGGCTTGGCTTCCATCCCTGGGAACCTACTCAGTCGGTGCCTCGAATGAACCTCTCAACCCCCATGAAGGTGATTTGAGCTTGATGCCCGAACAACCGATCAAGCTGGGCTCCGACAACCTTGGCCAACCAGCATCGCCAGATGATCTATTGAAGGACAATGTTGCACTCAAGGACTTCCTCAACGTCGCTGCTATGGCCAACCTGGCCCATCTCCACCAAACTGCCACCGAAGGGTGGCAAGCTCGTGGTGAACCAACCGATATCGCTATTCAAGTCTTCGCCTCTCGATTCAATTGGGGTCTCGATCGCTGGACCAAAGGCGAGAAGCCTACCTGGCACCAGCAGGCCGAGTATCCATTTGATTCAAGCGTGAAGAAGATGTCTGTTATTTTCTCCAAGCGCAGCGATGACTCCGAGAAATGCCATGAAATGATTTTCACCAAGGGTGCTGTCGAGCGTGTACTTGAGGCCTGCACCACCATCAAATGGAAGGCTGATTCCGAGCCAGTTGCTATTACCGATGATATCAAGGACGAGATCTTGCAGAACATGGAAGCTTTGGCTAAAGAGGGTCTTCGTGTCCTTGCTTTGGCCGGTCGCGAGAATACTGCTGGCACCCAAAAGGGTGGCGAACCCCTTCCCCGCGAGGAGGTCGAGAAGGATCTGTCGTTCTACGGCTTGATTGGTCTTTATGATCCTCCTCGCCCTGAGACAGCCGGAGCCATTGCTCAATGTTACAAGGCTGGAATCGCCGTGCACATGGTGACCGGTGACCACCCCGGAACTGCACGGGCGATCGCAGCGCAAGTCGGAATCATTCCTGCCAACATGGATATGATCGCCAAGGACGTTGCTGACGCGATGGTCATGACTGCTTCCGAATTTGATAAGTTAACTGAAGACGAGATTGATCAGTTACCTACTCTCCCACTGGTTATTGCTCGCTGCGCACCGAACACCAAGGTCCGCATGATCGATGCTCTGCATCGCCGTGGACGCTTTGTCGCTATGACTGGTGATGGTGTCAATGACTCCCCATCGCTCAAGCGGGCTGATGTCGGTATTGCCATGGGCCAAAATGGTTCTGATGTGGCCAAGGATGCATCGGAACTCGTGCTCTCTGACGATAACTTCGCATCGATCATCAACGGTATTGAGGAAGGTCGTCGCATCTTCGACAACATTCAAAAATTCGTTCTCCACCTTCTTGCAGAGAACGTTGCTTTGGCTCTGACCCTGCTGATTGGATTGGCCTTCAAAGATGATAGCAACCAATCTGTCTTCCCTATCTCTCCTGTCGAGATTATCTGGATCATTATGATTACCTCTGGCCTTCCTGATATGGGACTTGGAATGGAGATCGCCGCTCCAGAAGTCATGGATCGCCCTCCTCAAAGTGTATGTTCTGCTAAGCTCCCATCCCTTGAGTGAATCAATTTGCTAACAAGCCGCAGAAACAAGGTATCTTTACCTGGGAAATCATTATCGACACCCTCGTCTATGGAGTCTGGATGGCTGGCCTGTGTCTGTCAGCATTTGCCCTCGTCATGTTCCAATGGGGCGATGGCGACCTTGCCATGGGCTGCAACACGAAATATAACGACCCGACCAAACCTTACACTTGCGAGACCGTATTCCGTGCTCGCGCTACTACCTTCACCTGTATGACCTGGTTTGCCCTCTTCCTCGCCTGGGAGATGATGAACCTCCGCCGCAGCTTCTTCCAGATGCAACCCGACTCGAAGAGATACTTCACCCAGTGGATGCATGATATCTGGCGCAACAAGTTCCTCTTCTTTGGCATCATGACCGGCTTCGTCCTTGCCTTCCCTATTCTCTACATCCCCGTGATCAACCACAGTGTCTTCAAGCACACCAGTATCACCTGGGAATGGGGTATTGTCTTCGTCGAGACTATCCTCTTCTTCCTTGGCATTGAATCTTGGAAGTGGTGCAAGCGTGCCTACTTCCGTCGCCAGGATCGCAAGGCTGCTGCTCGGGGTGACCAACCCGGTGGTGAGCACCGGGGTCTGAGAGATTTCAGTCGCTACACCACCATGGACCGGTCGGACACAACCGGTAGTGAGATGAAGGTCGAGCAATCGATGGTCTAGTTTTTCTTTTTTCCTTTTGCTGTTTGATTGGCGTGCATATCCCTGAATAAATTTCAGAGACTTTGACTTGCATCTGAAGATTATTGATTGATTTTCGCGACAATGAAACCTTTAGACAGATACCAACTAGTTTTTGAAATTTACGACTTTTATGTTTTAAGAACTGTCGAACAGTATTGAAGCGACGGATTTGGATCAATGGCCTAGGTGAATAGTTTCGGGTAGATAAACTAGGATTTCATGCTCCAGAGAAACAGGGGAGCTATTAGCTGGAAACGACAGTCTCCCGCATCTACGAGCCATCAAGCTTGTTATATAGGGCGTTATTCATACCATATTAGGAGCATGCAGAAGCGCCCTAACTACTCCCCGTGTTCTTTTGTCTTGTTTGCACGGCCAATTGGAGGCCGTACATTTCAGGCGTCCAGTCCTCGAGGGTGCATGGAAGCTTCATGTTCGCCGCGAGGACTGATCTACAAGGTGGATTCGTATACTGGGGTGCACCACTAGTTGTTATCAAAGCTGTTTCTGGGAAGTTGTCCCGTGTAGCAGCATCTATGCAAAGCGACCTACATCGGGGAAATAATCTCAGAATCATGATTATCATTACTATTCTCACATCTCTGAAATGATCAATTCACAATCCAGCACCTAGGCGGGTGGTCCTGACTTCGCCCACCACGATGCATCATGTCCGTCTCGATCCCTTGAATTGATATCCGCTCCATGCTCTATGAGCATGCGGACTGCTTGAATCTGTTGGTACTGTGCAGCCCAGGATAATGGCGATCGGCCATCGAAATCCGACAAGTTGATGTTGGTGTTGTCAACACCGAGGAGCCGTTGTACTGTGGCAAGCAGGTGTTCTTGCTGGATGTTGAAATTGGGATTTGCGAGTTGGTAGTTCTCGAATATCGGGATGGGGGTTGGTCTTCCAGTCAGGAGACCCTGAAGCTCGTGCGAGGCGTCAAAGCCGAAAGAGTATTGGTGGATCCTATGATCCGCACTGGTCCGACCCGTGAGTAGCAAGGCAGATCCAACAGCCCATGACAACGGGGTGCGGCCTTTATTATCTTGCGAGTTGGGGTCGACGCCTCCGTGTCCTAGTATGACTTCCACTGCAGCGACCCACCGCTCCCCTGCAGCCCACGACAACGGGGTTCTACCGGAAAGGTCTCTACAGTCAGGCCGGACACCGTCGCAGTTGAGGAGGCAGTGGAACAGAGAATCATCGTAGCTCCAAAAGCCCTGTGCAGCCATGTGCAATGGGGTTCTTCCTTTTTCATCCTGCGGGTTGGGATCAATACCCTTCTGAATCAGATGTTGCACCATCGAGTGACGACCACTCATTACAGCCCAAGAGAGCGCCGATCTGCCTGTATTGTCTTTGGCATTCAGACTGCCAGACTCCGAGGCAAGTAAAATGTCAACCACGTCGATGACTCCATGCTGGGCGGCGTGCGACAATGGTGTTCTACCTTGTTCATCGGTGAGGTTCATCACAACTCGGCCTGAGTCGAGCAAGATTTCCACCATGCGGAGTGGAAGGACCGATTGAATGGCGAGGAACAAAGGCGTTTGGCCATAGAGGCACCTGGCGTTGGCATCCACCTCGGGCATTTGTAGCAGCATCTTTGCACTCTCTGGTTTGCCCCACAGTGCGGCCAAGCCCAGTGGTGTTGTGTCCAGATGTTCGCTTTTGATGTTAGGATCAAACCCTTCTGCAAAGAGATAAGAAAGTATCGCATTATCTCCGCGTTGCAAAGCGATGTAGATCAGTGAGCTATCACGAGGCTCTGCTGGCGCACCCCAGCCGCAATCGTCGACAACTGTTTTCACCAGCGCGAGGTTTCCTCCCCCGACAGCGTAGTAGATACTATTCGAGTCGAAACTGACCCGAGAGTCCGCGAGTAAAATATGTGCTATTTCTTCGCATCCCTGCGCAAGAGCGCAGTTCAATGGAGTGCGGCGGGCGTCGTCAAGCCCCGAAGCTTCGACAACAACACTGTCCTGAATGTGGGGGTCCTTCAAGAGCAGTTTCACAATCTCCACACGCTTCTTGGATACAGCCGTGAGCAAGGATGTTTCTTCGCTCCTGTCGGTGTGGTTGATGAGATCCGGGTCGTGTGCAAGCAAGATTTTCACGATCTCGGTATTACCATAAAAGATGGCGATCTTCAATGGACACCAGGCGTTGCGTCTTGGTGCAGAGCGAACATCCGCACCCAGGGGGAGCAGCTTGGTGAGCAGCTTCTGCTGGTCGTGACGGCATGCCCATCTCAGGGCTCCGCTCTGGTACTTCACGATGTTGCAGACGTAGAGGGTCCTTTCGAGTATCAAGTACAGGCGGGCATTCGCCTTTCTGAAGGCTGAGATGCTGGCCTGAGAATCTAGATGACCCGCGATTTCGAGTATCAACTCGGCAGGCAACTTGGCGAGCGACATCTGTTCGTCGTATTAGCACCAGAAGTCAACCAAAGGTCCGCTGAGAGTGAAGTGACGGGAAACTGACGTTGAATCACAGCTACAATGAAGGGGCTCGACCTTCAGATAGAACACAGTTGGGGAAGTGTGCCGCGGGAAGATAGGCACGGGAGCAGATGCAGCAGAAAGCAACGATTTGTGCGCCAGTGAGCAGCAGGAGTTGGACAATAAATACCCCAGCATCGCGACGATACGTTATGGCCTTTTCCCAAACGGGAAATGTGGAAAATCGCCTAGGTAGCGACCGTCGCGGTGCACACGGACTTCTGGAGAAAGAGGAAAAATGGCCAGCTTGACTGTTATAAAACTGGCCTGCAATCATATTTCCATATTAGCAGGGCGGGCCGTAGTCTGCCTCAAAGGATTCCAAGAAACTGCCTGCTAAAGTTGCCTTTATATCTGGTTGATCTGGCTATGGCGAATGTGGATCACAATCACCCAAATATCATAGCCTTGTGTGTATAGAAGGGGAAGGGTGGATACAGGGCATATTGGAGCACCGTAGAGTAAGCGAGGGACTCAGACTGCCCAGGTAAAGTAGATCAGATTGAGTAACCAAGAGTACAATGGCCATGTATATGAATGCATATGGCATTGTGGTAGTAGAACTGGAGGGATGTAGTGCACTTATTAGCATAGTACTGGTGAAAAGGTCATTATCACACAAGGAACAAAGACATCATATCCAAACGATCAGAGAAACAGCATGTCCCTTATAGCTTCGATGCCGTTATGTGATTCCGATCTAGCCATGACTGGATCGTCCGCACCAATCCATCGATCTCTGCTCCTGTATTTCCCGCATGCAAGCATACTCGCACACGTTCCTTTCCCTCGGGAATGGTTGGTGGCATGATAGCACGAACAATGAATCCGTTTTCTTGACAGAGACTTGCCAATTGTCGGGGTTGTGATGTGCGAAGGGAAATGATGGGAGATGTTGGAAAATGGTCGACCTCGAACACAACCGATTTGTGTGTGTGGAGGTCGTCCAGTCGTTGGCGGAGATGGAGGATCAACTGCTGGAGTCGGAGTTGTAACTGCGAGAGAATTAGATACGGCTATGGAGGACGTGGGAACGGGATCGACTCGCCGATTCAGTTTCACCAGATAACAGGAGCTCATATGCAGCGCGAATCGATGCTAGGAATGGGAAGCCCAGAGCTGTTGTGTAGATCAAACTCCGGGCATAATTGATCAAATAATCTCTCGTCTCCGGTCCACAGAGAACCATCGCTGAGTACGTGTCAGTCAGATAGTTCAGTGGAAGCCCAACTCTGCCCTAAAAACGTACCTCCGTGACTCGCCAGTGCCTTTCCGAACGTGTGCACGCGAATGAACATGCGATCCTGAACGCCAAGTTCTTGAACTACCCCAGCACCTCGTGGTCCAAATACTCCAGTAGCATGTGCTTCATCGACATAGAAATATCCATTACCTTTGGGTAGCAACTCATCAACAACTGCGATGAACTCCTTGATCGGAGCCACATCGCCATCCATACTGTAAATTGACTCAATGACCACGAAGACATTCCGTGTACCTTCAGCAACTGTCGGGTCCTTTGCGATCTGCGACTTGAGAGTCTCCCTCAAGCCAATTGGCGAGCTGTGGCGAAACATCTTGCGAGAACCAGCCCGCGACAGACGCATGCCCTCGTGAGCACTAGCATGGATGAGCTCATCGTATAGAATCACATCGCCGGGTTGTGGAATGCTAGAGAGCACCCCGACGTTAGCATCGTATCCAGAATTAAATAGCAGTGCCGTCGGAGCTTGATGGAATGTTGCGACAAAGTTCTCGAGTTCTTCCGCATACGCCGAATTCCCGTCTAATAGCCGAGATCCCCCACTGGCCAGGGGGAATGACGGCGGAGTATTGTTCAGAAGTGCCAGGAAGCGCTCTCGATATGCGGAAGACGTTGACAACGACAGGAAGTCATTCGACGAGAAGTCCACTGCCGTCCGAGGTAAAACAGTCAGCCTCCGACGGGCGGATTTGGCCTCCCGACGCGACAATGCGGCGGAAAGTGAGGCCACGAGGGACTTGGGTGCTGCCTCTTGTGATGGACCGGCCATGATGCTCTTGTCTGTCATGGTCATTGACGTCAATCTGCGATGGGGAAGGCGTTCCTGTTCCTGATGCTATTTTTGTTCTGATCCACTTTAATTCGGAGTGGACTGGACTGAATTTGTGTTGAGGACGATGGGCAGTCAACAGAACCTACTCATAAAGTCAACACCCTCGTTGAGAAGCCCCAACAAGACGAGACAACCTCGGTGGAAGCAGAAATGTGGAGATTAGGCGTGGGGACGATGATTCGCCTGAAACTCTCTTGATCCGGAGTCGGTTTCAGCTTCAGAATCCAAACATTCACCATCAAATCACATCCAATCTCAATATCTCCGACTCACAATGACCGTCGGCGCAGGGCTCTGGCGCAGTTTGCGTGCCCACCAAGTCTATGGCGCTAACACCGACGTGGGGAAGACTATCGTCTCCACGGTGTTGTGCAATGCCGTTCAACGCCAGAAACAACAGGCCGCATTCCTTAAACCCGTGTCGACGGGCGCATTGGATGATGCTGATGATCGGTGACTCTTGGATTCACTGGCGATCTCACAGTCAATTGCTGACGGTCGCAGGCATCTGAAGCGCTATGGCGCCGGGACCCTCACCAAGTGTCTCTACCAATTCGACGACCCAGTGAGCCCGCATTTGGCAGCCAAAGATAAATTCGTGAGTGTCATAGTTCTCCTTTTGATGTTCAGGAAGCTGATGGCGTAGATTCCACGAGACGATGATTTGCTTGCCTCAATACACAAAACGCTCTCCGGGTGGGCGCGGTCGGAGATTGACTTCGCCCTGGTCGAGACGGCTGGCGGCGTGCACTCACCAGGTCCCAATGGCAACTCCCAGGCGGATTTGTACCGGCCTCTCCGTTTGCCCATTGTGCTGGTCGCAGACTCTCGCCTGGGAGGAATCTCCTCCTCGATCTCAGCTTACGAGTCGTTGCTACTCCGTGGCTATGATGTCTCGTCGGTTCTCTTGTTCCGAGACGAGTACTACCAGAATCATGAATACCTCCGTGATTACTTCCAGAAAAAGAACACCCCTCTGGTGTCATTACCCGCACCTCCTACCCGACCGTCGCGGCAGGATGCCGATGCCCAATTGAAGGACGAGGAGGCCATGCTTGATTATTACCAACACTCCGCCAAGGACTCGGAGATTCTCCAATTGCTGGAGGATCTGTCAGTCAATAACACAGAGCGTGTTCAGCGTCTGGAAGAAATGGCTGATCGTGCCCATGATCTCATATGGTACCCCTTTACCCAGCACCAAGGCATGACCGCCAAGGACATCACCGTGATCGACTCGGCGCACGATGATTACTTCCAGACGTTCGGCTCCAATACATCTAAGAAGACAGAGGGAGAATTGCGCCCGACCTTCGACGGGTCTGCGTCCTGGTGGACACAAGGCTTGGGCCACGGCAACCCCGAACTGTCACTGTCTGCAGCCTATGCCGCCGGTCGGTATGGCCACGTCATGTTTGCAGGTGCAATTCATGAGCCCGCACTATCGCTCGCAGATACCCTACTGAAGACCATCGAAAATCCGCGTTTTACCAAGGTCTTCTACACAGACAATGGAAGCACAGGCATGGAAGTCGCGGTAAAAATGGGTCTCCGCGCATCTTGCGACCGGTACGGCTGGGATGCCAGCCAAGAGCAGATTGGCATTCTCGGTCTTAAGGGCAGCTATCACGGAGATACTATCGGAGTCATGGATTGTTCGGAGCCATCAACGTATAACAAAAAGGTTGAGTGGTACCGTGGTCGGGGCCACTGGTTCGACTTCCCTCTTGTCAAGATGGTTGGCGGATCTTGGAAAGTCGAGATCCCCGGCGAGCTACAGGTGGAATTGGGCGAAGATATTGATTTCACTTCATTGGGGTCGGTCTTTGATCTCAATCAACGTCTTGAGTCTGGCACTGCTCAGCGTTACAAGGACTATATCCGTCGCACTCTCGAGGATTTGGTCCAGCGACAAGGAATGAAGTTTGGGGCGTTGATTATGGAACCAGTCATCCTCGGTGCAGGTGGAATGCTTTTCTGGTGAGAATCCTGTGTTCCGAGCATTGATTGATCGTTTTGACTAACTAGCTTCTAATAGTGATCCCCTTTTCCAGAGATGTCTTAGCGATGTGGTCCGTGATCACCCCGAGTTGTTCTCCGCTAACGCCCCGGCTCCCAAGCAATCCCCATCATGGTCTGGCTTGCCAATAATCTTTGATGAGGTCTTCACCGGTCTATACCGTCTCGGTCGCCGCACCTCCGCTTCTTTCTTAGATGTACACCCCGACATTGCGGTCAACGCGAAACTTCTCACGGGCGGACTGGTACCGCTCTGCACGACGGTCGCTAGTGAAGAGATCTTTGATGCTTTCTCGAGCCCAGAGAAGAGTGATGCGCTTCTCCATGGTCATAGTTATACGGCTCATGCCGTTGGGTGTACGGTGGCTGTTGATTCCTTGAAGACTATGGCGAAGCTTGACACTGATGGATCGTGGGATGGATACCGTGATGACTGGCGTAGTAGCTCCCTTACTACTGTTGAGGCTTCGACTCCAGAAGTGTGGAGTGTGTGGTCACATGGTATGCTTCAGGACCTGTCTTGCGCGGACTCCGTGGAGAGTGTCTTTGCCATTGGAACGGTGCTTAGTATTTCGCTTCGTGATACGGAGGGAGCAGGTATGTTTTTGCGACTCAAATATGCAGCCGCCAAGCTAACACTCTTCCAGGCTATAACTCTCATGTTGCCAAGGGGCTTCAGCAGAAGCTGGCTGCGGGTGGTGATCAATTCAACGTTCACTCGCGCGTCCTTGGGAATGTTCTTTACCTGATGTCCAGTGTGACCTCCAAACCCGAGTCACTTCGAGAGTTGGAGAGTCTCCTTCGATCAGCATTGATATAAATATGGTCAAGGTAAGACTATATACAAACATTACAACTGAATAATTTAGGGCACTATTGCATCTATTAGCAGAGTCTGCAGAGGCATGAATATAGATAACCTCCACGAAGTAAAGTTTAAACAGGCTGATTGTCCAGAAAGAAAGTAAAGATAGAAAAGGTTAATTTGAAACGCAGATGTAGCATGTTTTCGGGGGTATGTAGTATGGGATAACTTCAAAAGTAACTACCTATAGATGCAGAGATGGAGATATCCAAAACAGTTACTACATGACTATACACTGCCTTGGCGTATATGGAGTCATGCTTTCTCTGTACCCCTCTAGGGATATCATGCTTTCAAGGACTAGATAGAGAAGTTAGTCAAAACATAGGGTGTCATTGAGAAGGATTCAACTGCAACGGAGCTCAACTCACATTCCCTTTTAGCTTCTTTACTTTCAGCCGTGTCGTGCCACAGCCTCAATAGCCATGTAGCGACTAGTGCATCCTTCAACTCCTGCGACAGAGTCCCCGTAATGGACAATTTATATCGGTCATCTTCTTTCTCTTCAACAGCTACCTGTATGCCATTGGAGTCGCTCCACTTATAGCAATTGCGACCTGTTTTCCTGTTTTGGTGGATATCAAACAAGAGAGATTGTTGCGTGCCCTCGTTGAATAATGGCTTATCTGAATAAGTCCTTTTGGGACTCAACATCGCTTTGAAGGATTTTTTTTGAAAGCGTGACTCGAAAGTCTCAAGGCGGATATTGCCCACCATCTCGGGTACGGCAGAGGTTATATAGTACCGAGCAGGTATGTCCGTTCGGTATTGCGCATTCACAGGGTGCACGAGGTAGAAGAGATGTTGCTTTTGCGATGTGCTTGCAATAGCGCCCTTGGTCCCGATCTCGAGCTCAGGTGCTTCATGCTGGACTCTTTCGAATGCCACAGAGGACTCCTTGTTCGTGATTGACCTGATATCTCTGTTGAATTGGTAAAGTGGGGTTGGATTTGCAGCTTCAGCGTGGACAGATAAGCCTGACAGATAGAGGACGACCGGCTCAAGAGTGTTTCCTAAGGGTTTCCCGATATCCTCGTATGAATCAGAGTCCGAATCCATTGTTTTGGGCATTGAGTTCCATATATCTCAACACTCCTAGCAGTCCAGTGTGTATTTATCTGGTGTGAAAGGGACATCCAACCATAGTTAGATTGATCTAGAGGATATGTAGTAAGATGGGTTGTATGGAGGTAGTAGTAGGCCATAGTCGAGAGATCGGGGGAAGAGCACCCGGGATCTGGGTTCCACATTGGGAAGGTGAGGCGGGCACATGACGTTAGTCAGCACTCGTCTTGGCCCCTGGCCCCTGGCCACCTCTATCCAGTATCTCGCTATCGTCGCATGGTGGCCGGCTCACCTACCACAATCAGATGGAAGACAGTTAATTCTATGAGGCTTTTTCCTCCTCTTCTTTTCTGTTCTGTCCCCATCTGAGAAATCCCTGACAGTATGTTGTACATGCGCCAAGTTTGGGGGCGTAAGATTTGATTGCGCTTACGCCAAGGTGGAGATATTGCATCTAGTGTTCGGCGCCGCTGTGGGCCAGAATCAAGGTCTGCCCCGGCCCAATTTAGTGTGAAAGAATCGGGGGATGGTAAGTACTTTACAATGACAGTCTCATTACATCCCTGATAAGCATGGTGAACGAAATACCGTCAATTTGAACGGAATTGTTCCAGTTTCAATAATCTCGCTTCCTCTATGCATCGAAATTCAGCCATGCGGTCTGCTTTGAACGGGGTACTTGCCGCGGCGCAGGTCGTCGCTACGTGTTTCATGGCTTGGAAGGCTCTGACAATTTGGACCGGTACGCCATACCCGGTGATGATCGTGACTACCGAGTCTATGGTTCCTGCATTTGCGCCGGGGGACATCTTGTTCATTTCCAATCATCATCGAAATGTCGCGATAGGCGACCTGCCTGTATGCTGGCTCCCTGATCGCGCGTTTCCAATGGTACATAGGGTGGTTCGGGTCGTGTATGAAGAACAAAGCAACCCGGATTTGACGTAAGCACTGCGCGATTCGTTCTCTTACAGTGTGCTGATTTCGAATACACTATAGCCAACTCATATTGACAAAGGGAGACAATAACCTCATTGACGATACATTGATGTATCCTGAAGGCCAAGATTACTTGTCTCGCAGCCAGATTCTCGGATTTGTCAGAGGTTACATACCCTTCATAGGATGGTTTGTGATCGTGCTACAAGACTTTACACACCCTCGCGAGGCCGCTACTATGTTGTGTCGGGGTATTGGCTTGATATAATCTGAGTGAAGATTGAGTCAATATGTATATTACAGCTCGTCCCTAGATTCATAGCATTGGATGCAACAAAGCGCGGTAAACCTTGGGATAGATCCACATCGGAGCACTGCAGAAAAAGAATATGCAAACCCATGCCATGCCCATGACCGTTCGCAACAGTGGTGGAAAGCTTCCTCTCAACGTGCTCATGACTTTCATCTTGGATACCACGGTCTCAACCGCGGCAGCGAGGAAACACAGCTCGAAGAACAGGACGTCTCGGAATAGTGCTGCGTCTCCCAATGACCATCCGACCAATGCATGGGAGAGACCAGATATTGTGAATATAAGGAATGCAGTCATTGTTTTGTCCAAGCCTGAGCCCGGCGGTATTCCCATCAATTCTTGAGAAACAAGTCGTGAATAATGAATGTATGTAGGTATCGTCAGTTGATGCCAGAATCGACCCCAAAAGCCCCGCACACTGTACGCTTTCATCGGGCTGCCGAAGAGAGGTGGCCAATCTCCAGGATCATCGAACCGTAGGATGGCAACAAACACAATGGCCAGAAGGGAATGATAGAATTCCAGAAAGAAATAAGCACGCCAAATCCATTGGAGTGACATGATGGCGCGAACTTGGACTTGGTGCAACGATAGCTGGAAGGCTACTTCCATTTCGGGCGAGAAGTCGGCCACAGAGACTTGCCCAAGCGCATGGATGAAGACCTTTTGGAAAGCAAAGCGCTCAAATGCCCAAAGAGTGGCTGCTTTCATAGCCTGTTGGAGGAGGAAAAGTACGCGAGAATTCGAATCACTTGACGCCTTCTCTTCAAAGGACGAAAGCCGCAATGGTAGGTTTCGAGGATTGTTCCATATCCTATAGCAATCGACAAAGCTCCAGTCATGTGTGTTTAGGTCTGGACTAAAAGTATGCTGATCAAAAGCGAGTGTCTTTGTTGAGTAAAGTAGATAAAAGACCACCAAGCTTGCAAAAGTGCTATCAGCGCCAATCATCCAAGACAGCCTATGCGATGAGACCAATGACATTAAGGAGCATAGCCAGACTGGCCCCAGTAGTAGAAGACGAGTTCTCCGGCGTCTTTTGAGGCCAGTGATATTCAGCAGACTGGCTATCATAAAGTAAAGCAGCGGTGAAAATGACTCGTGATCCATGGCCTGCATGTTGCTTGAAGCTTGATAGTAAGAAAGTCCAAAAACACAACAGTAAGTATGAAGATCGAATTCAAAACAGAGAGTTTCTTACTTGACATTCAGGTAATGTTTCAAAACAGTGAAATACCGTCCCTGATAAATTCTCCACAAGTGGAGAGATCTATATTGCGCTGAAGGGTGGATCGTCTCTTCATCTTCCCCAATAGGAAAAAGCACGAGATATACCCTATCTAGCAGACTATTAACGCCTCGTATTCTAGTATTTCATGTATGCAGATCAGCATTCCATCAACCTGTGAGTGAGTGGTCCCATCTCCTTCGAAGTAATGAATGGCCAAAATCCTGAAGGTCCACGCTACTGATTTGGGGGCCATACGGCCATCTTGAAGCTGTTCCCTATTCCCGTGGTACAAACTAACGCTATAGAACAATTCTTGGTCGCTAGGCTTACGAAGTAGGTCTCCTACAGTTCCCTCTGGTCCACCCGCTTTGGGCACGCACGGTAGTTTGGCTCGGAGCATCTCGCTCAAGTGTCAGCTCATCTATGGATGGATATCTTGCCCACGTCACAATGGGCATGTACAAGCTAAGGGGATCCAGATGAACGATGTTTGGTCATGTCGCAATCCTGCCCTGAGCGAATTTACTCACACAGGGTAACTAGTAGACCCACCGAGACATGAGCGAGAACTCATCCCATCTGCGTGTCTAACTCTCCATATGGGACCCTCATGCAATATGAATGGAGGTAATCATTGGCTTCTATTGAGCACCTACCTCTATCTGAACTTGCAGCGCCGAGCCATTCAAGTCATGCGCCAGCTGCCATTTACTCATGAATACTACCTAGCTAGCATCCATGCTATCTGCTTGGGACTGGAGTTAGATTATGAACATTAGCTGAGTATGGAAGGTTATGCGGGATATCAGGAGTAAGACCTTTGCCATGGGTTGCTTTGAATGGGTATAAAACACACGTATGCCTTCGCATCTGTCTTGTTCTTCTTCTCCTTATCATAGCACCAAGACTTAAGATTCCTCAAGCAGAGTATCACAACTTCTTCCGATCAATATGACTCCCCTGTCCCTCAAAGCACTCGGTGGCGCTGCAGCCGTATACCTGTTGGGCCAGCAGGTTCAGTGCCCATTCCTCGCCATTCCTCTTATCGCTGATGCTGTTGCCATGACTGTCGCCCAAGTAGGCTCGGCTGCAGCGTCTTTTGGTGGTGCCATTGCTGCCGCACACTTTGCCCGGGATCTCGAGGGACGTGATACTCAGATCAATGCCCCCGCTGGAGTGCCTCAGTACAACTTCGATATGTGCGCCGAGAGCCTGAATGACCCTGCTGTCACTGTGACCGTTACCGGCCCTGTTGAGAACAACGGTGAGTACCTGTTATAACATAAATTTAACCTCTATATCAGGCTAACTCTTTTCAGGTATCCAAATTGACGGCCTGCCTTCTACCTGCATGGTTCTTGCCAATGTCATCGATGGCGATGCGGTCAATGGTCCGGTGCCGACTCCCTGTGGCTCTGCATGCCTTCTGTATAACAACCTGAACGCGGATCAGTATGGACAGATGCAGTCCGTTTTCAACGATTTGAAGAATCTATAAAGATCCGAGGCGCTTTTTGCCAATTATTTCCTTGTCCAAATATGAGTTAGACTCGTTGGTTTTGTTGTGTGTTGTTCAGAATGCCATTGGAGGAGGTCAAGGCCTCGTGGGCCGAGGAAGAGTAAAATTACTTTGTACAGAGAACAATTCACAGAATCATTTATGCTCTCAACACGCTCGCTCGCTATCTTTGTGGCTGCTGTAATTCATGTGGAAATTCTTATATTCTGTGATTCTCAATGAATCTCTTTCAAGACAGGACCAGACGGTGTCTCACATACTTAACTCACTCTGACAAGGCATATTTTGCGGTTGGTCTGTGACAGGCCACCTCACCACCGGGCTCAGGAACAAATTGCTCACTCTATGCTAACTCTTTTATGGAGGTCGGCTTACCTCTTTGGTCAACTACTTCACATCTCTAATTCACGAAGAACCGGGGTTTGGTGCTATCAGACAATGTATAATGGAGGATGGGACCTCTGTGGTCGCATTAAATCGGGCCCCAAGATATAAACATATATATTTCCCTGCATAGTTGAGTTCTTTCGACTAAAGATACACGAAATTGATTGCGACAGACTAATTAAATTCATAGAGGGTACAGTGACTTTGATCTATTGGTGTATCATGGGTTGCCGATTGAGTATGGTCCGTAGTCACGGAACTGGTCCAACAACTAGTCGGAGGTATGAAAATAACAACGCTCAAGGGACAGACGCTAGTCAGTTTAACTGAATGTAAGACTTGGGACTAATTTGTCGAACTCTTCTTTCCGATATCGACTACAAACTTGCTTGTTCTTCCCTTGACATGTAGTGTATAGAGCCTGATTGCAGTCACGATGACCATAAGAGTCCACCGCGCTCCCAACACGCTAGACTGACCGTCCCCTAGCTCAAGTGTGAACGCATGTGTCATGCGGGGCCAGGCCATAACCCATTCAACAAAGGCGACAGTCTCACCATCTTCGACAGCGGATGGAGACGAGGGCGAAGAGGGTTTTTGAACACTGCTGTCGCTCGACTGGGAGATCTGCTGGGTCGATAATAATCGGACCAATTTGAACCCATTCCTTTTCGCTTGATCGTCCCCCTTCTTGACCTTCCTCCATGCGAACACCTCCCGCTGCTTTTTCTCGCCTACCTCGATGGAGAAGTGGAAGGCGATGTGGTTGTTTGTGCCAAGTTCGGCGCGCATGAGCTCCGTGTCCAGACGGTCGGATTTCGAGTCCGAATCCAACGGCGGCAAGAAGATAATCCCATCTGGATTGAATGCATGGAGGCCGCGCGACTCGTCACCGGCAGCAGCAAGAATGAGATCCTTGGAGCTCATTCCATTGCGCAGGATAAATCCTGTTCTCATTCCAAGTGGAGGTTTGCCACTATAGCCAGTTTGCATCTCAATTAGACACAGACGCTCCTTGGCATTCGCTCCACACAGATTCATAGATTTCCATTTTGTCCACTGGCCATGTACGCTCATGGTTGATGGAAGTGAGCCATAGCGAGATGATACATTCACCGACGCCTCTTCATAGGCAGGTGGGGCATCACTTTCCTGGGGTTGGGCCATGGCGTGAAGAAGAAATTGAATAAAGAAAACCAAGATACTGTTCATGGCTCTAGTCCGGAGACATTGATTTTACTGGCTTTATGTTATACACACTGTCCTCCGCAGTCCTCCTGCACGGGTGACTCCGCCACTTCCTGGCTGCAGGATCATGATGTTTCCAGTGGGTCAAGTGTCGAGTGGGATCCCTGATTGGCGTTGTTGCACTCAGGACGATATTATACTATGTAGATCGCTGTTCCGGGGGCCAAAAACACACGATCTTAGCCCAATCAGTCTGCGTAGTTGAGATGAACCCAAACCCTTGGAAGGGGGTCCAAAGTCTTTTCCAAAAGGGCAACTTATCCGTCGAACATTGCCTAAGCCACTTATGTTGTAATCTATGTATCGTATCTCTGCAACAATATATGGTGGATTGGATTATATGAGGGTTTGGCCTCCCGCACTTAATTCTTCTTGGCTTTCATTTTCCAGACAGAAAAGCTCCACGTCATCAATGTTGTCTGAGTATTGGTGTGCAATTATTCGGTTCCATTACCGAGATGATCAATTCTAAATGATGAAGTGGGAGATGGCACGCAAGAAAAAATGGTGGTTTGTGTGGCCTAGTCTACTCCGTAGTGGTGAAAGACTGTGCAAAAGCGTTGAGAAGATTTAGATTGGAGAGAAATTGATTGGAGAGAAATTGAACTGTTGTTCACTTATCAGGCTGTTTGCAAAAGACTCTGTTGAGGACATCTGGCCTTGGCAGGCCCAAGATGGTCTATCCTCACCTCGCTTGTGTTGAACGTAGGTGTTGGAGGCTCAGTGGTGAGTTCCGAGGTAATCCCGGGCTGAGTCCGACCTGCACCACGTGACTGGTTATGCAATGATTAAGGCGGCGTCAGATTGACATATCCAAAGGCGGCGAGGGGTGAGCCCTAAAGCGGACAGGAAAGCCGCAGAGCTTTCAACGTTGTGTTCGGGATAATGAAGAAAAAAGATAGATCTCCAATTCCACTTGTTGTGTCCGGAGTACAACTTGCAACACAATGATTGTCACCCCACAATAATTTGGAACACGATGAGGAATCCCAAAGTCTTTCAATCCTGTTTTACTGTCTCACTGCACCAGATAATCTAGCAAAACCAACGATTTATGATTAATTATCACAGCCGACCACGTCTATGTTAGCATGGACTTAGAACTGGAGGTCGCCTCTCAAGAATGGGACTTACCGACACTGGGAGCTGCGACAACCAAACTTAGAAGGCCTTACCCAAATCCTATCATCCGCGAAAGCGCATCACGTCCTTTCTCCAAATCGCTCCACCGAACTCCTTCGGAAACAACACTGGCAATCTCCACGGATTTAAACTCAGTTCATTGTGAAAATGTGGACTGGTCAGACAGAACTATTCTAGAAGTTTGGGGTACGCAACATAGCGTGTGGCCGAGGCCCAGCATGTCGTATGACTACCCCCACGAACCTGCATGGACCTACCTATATTGGTATTGGAACGACTTTGTATGTTCCACATCTGGACCACCTGCACGGTCATAATGACAATTCCGGCTCAGGAGTGTGGAACTTGCTCTGGTGATATGACGATCTCTGGCCGCCCTGCTGGAATGGGATGCGGTCGTACTGCCTGAGAATGAGCAGTTGATCATTGCGCTCGAGACGGATAATCCGAGTAGTCGATTTATGCACTGTTATATTACATGACAGATGGAGTAGGGATTTGCGAGACACGTCGTGGGGCATAGAAACAATAGGGCCTGTACAACATATGGCATTGTTGGGCATGATGATCTCCACGTTAGTTACTCCGTACATGAGGTTGAGTGCGGTGGACGGTTTAGCGATGTATTTAAATCCGACTTGTGCTCGAATTGCGCGCAACCCGGGGCCATCTGGGGAAATGTTTGGAGATGTAGGGGCCATAATGTGGAGTCAGGTCTACTGTACGGAGTACAACACGCAAAGAAATTGCTTTAACTTCCCTCTCAGATTGTGATGTATATACAGTGAAATGGCCTAATTCGGACGTGATGGTAGAAAGATTGATAATAAATTGCGGCATGGCGGTCAGGGGAGTGTTCAGAGTCAGTGGAGTACGAACAGAGTATGTACATACCTAGTCCATAGCGCCGGGGTAACGTTGGATCCGGTGCATAACATACGACTTTTATGTACACTGTACAACGTAGCTTAGCCTATGAACAAAGTTTAGTTTCCATGACATAAAAAGTGTGCACTGGCCCTATAAGGCACACCGGTGCCTGAACTTCCGCCTTGAAATTCGGATATCCGGCTTCGAAATGGGGATACAGAATCCGAGGACCTGAACCATAAATGTGAATGATAAGGATTGCCTGAGATTGAATTTTTTTCAGGTGGCAAAGAGCTTGACTGGAGCTTGGCTATCCCGAGCCACGAGATTCTCCAGACGTAGTCTTTTTGCCCTCATTTGGCCAGTCTGAACGAGTTTGCCATGTTACATGGGTTCTACAGCCGAGTCATTGAGGCTCGCGATGTTATTTCCAAATCTGATTCTGGTTACCAAGGAGCATTTCGTATGGTGTACGAAGTATATATCTGGATTTTCAACCGAAATGATTGAATGTGTACCTGCTTGGCATTGAGTAACAGAAAGCATAGAGACTTGGGATTGGCTGAACGACGGGGCAAGCGGTTACTCGCGGCCAGCCACGCGAGTCCGGTGATTCTTGGTGATTCTTGTTAGATAATAGCGGGTTCCAGCTCGGGTAGACTCCAAATTCTCTCGGGTAGACTCAAAAAAAAAATATTATGTCACCACCTAGTTTGGAGTCTACTATAGATACCATATCTTAGGGGGACTCCAAACTAGGTCATTATATCAGCCATTTTAAACTAATCACATAGTATGAAACTCCTCTTAGCTTAAACCCGACTATATTAAACTACACCTACTGTCTATACAATTCTCTATCACTATAAAAAAACCTTATATTTACCACTATATTTAAATATATACCTACTAGATAAATAATTTAAATGATTTAATATATATTCCCCTACTACTATAAATTAAATTTAAGTCGTAATATCTATTATATAGCTTTAGAATATATACTAAATAAGATATATATTTACTCTTACCTAACGTAGAACACTAGTGCTCCTTCCTTAATAATATTAGCTAAAATTTTATTTATTTATATTTTCTATATTAATATCTTCTTCTTCTTCTATTATTTCCCGTTACGTCTATTTTTTTTTTATATATACTTAATATATAATTATTATATCTCTATTAATTAACCTTAGACTAGGACTAACTCGATAGGACTTCGATAACCTAGAAGTTCTCTATACCCCGAATCCGTACCCCGTAACTAGCTAGGCCTATAGTACGTAAAAGCCTATATTCTAATTCTAACGTATATTATATATACTTAACTTATATAGGCCCTATATAAGATCCTAACCCTAGATAGAGGCCCCGTACCTAGTATAGAGCTATAGTAGCGGGTAATAAGCGATACGATATTAAAGCGGGTAATATAGTTACTAATATACCCCCTAATACTACGTATATTCTTAATAAAGAGAATATCGGTATCTACGATATCGCTATTAATAGATAGTAGATATATAGGATAATCCTCTTAGAGGGTCCCGCGCTACGCCGTTACCTCCGATAAGAATATCCTAGGGTTAGTATATATCTATATAAAATATATACTTAATATATACTAATAAACTTTTTATTATAGCTATTACGCCTACTCGCTACTAGAAGACGACATTAGAAATCGCCGCTAGGGAGAATATAATTAAGCGATAGATCCTAACGAAAGGATAGTAATAAGCTAGGTATATATATAAGCCTAGCTATAGACCGGTAGATAGGAAAGTAGGCTACTAGTGCGACGCCCTTAAGCGGATCGCGTAAGTAAATATAACCTTAGATATATTAATTATATACTAACTTTATTTAGGAGCTAAGATCCTAACTTTACCGTTAAGTACGGTACCCGCTTTTATCGCTATATATAGCCTAATACCCCTAGTTCTAGCTATCGTAGCTATCGAGTAAGTTAATAACCCTAATATAAGTATAATATATACTAAATATATATAGTGTAGCCTTAAACCCCCTATAAACCCTATTCCCTTCTATAGATTTAGCGCGGTCGTCCGAACTACCGATAAAGTTAAAGAGGCCCCTAAAGTTAGAGAGGAGGAATACGAAGAATATAAAGAATATAAGGGGTAGAAGGAAGATAAAGAAGATAAGGAATATAAGGAAGAGTCTAAGGGAGAGGATAAGGAATACGAGGAAGAGTCCGAGGGAGAGGATAAGGAGTCTAAGCCCGAGTCTAATAGCGAGGACGACTTAGCCTAATCGATATATATATTATTATAGCCTTTACTTTAAGTCTTAAATATAATTTTAATATACTTAATATATAATAAAAAACGCTAAAATTGTTAAAAAAATTAAAATATATCTAATATTTAATAGATTTTAATCTTATAGCCCCGATATATATACTTAATATATAATAAAAAACGCCTAAAACACTAGAAAAAATCGAAATATATCTAATATCTAATATATTTAAACCTTATAGATCTAATAAGTATAGTTTATATATATAATATACCGTAAATATATAGATTAAAGGCCTTTTATATATAAAGTAATAATAATACCCTTTATTATATAGGGGATAATAATACCCTTTTATATATAAAGGAATAATAATACTCTTTCGTATATAAAGTAATAGTAATACCCTTTTTTATATAGGTAATAATAATACCTTTTTATATATAAAGTAATAATAATACCCCTTTATATATAAAGTAAGAAGTATTAAGTATAACCCTAACTATAACTATATAAAAGGTCTATCCTATCCCTATTAGATACTATTAAATACTATAGTTTAAATAACTATTCTATCTTACTATTATTACTATCCTACGATTATTATTAGAAAAATAGCTAATAACCCCTACGTATAT